ATAGCCCCCCAACAACTCTTTGAAATGTATTTTGACCTGGCAGACCAGATCATCCAAAGGGACACAAGGTAATATGTCCACAGTGGGGTCCAATGACTAATGGACCTTAAGACTATTGAGAAATGGTCCCCCCATAGCCCCCCAACGACGCTGAGAGATGTATTTGGTCCTGGCAGACCAGGGCACCCAGAGGGACACAAGGTAATATGTCCAGTGGGGTCCAATGATTAATAGACCTAGTTTAGCGTGTTTAGTTTGTTGGTGAGAGGCATACAAGTTGGAAGTGTTTTGCCTGTTCGGTGATTTTCTGCCATCGAAAAAATTAATGAATAAAGTTTCATAAAATGTTGTGTAAAAAATGGAAAAACACTTGAAATGTTGACAGTGGCGTACGGTGATTGTACTCTGAGTCAGAAAAATGTTTACAAGCTGTTAGCTATTCGTTGTAATTTTCTAATTTTGCACTGTTTTCAGACTATACTGAGATAATGATGAAGCTATTCGTCTCATAAATCCATTTTTTTACCGATTTTTATTTGATTTTTATTAGAACGAATAAAAAGTCTCCAGGTGTCTCTCATCTTGGAGTAACTTGATTTATGTTCTATGATTGTGAATACGAAAAGGAAATATAAGAATGCAGATGAAAGAGTAGAAACAAACCTTTTTCAATAGAATTTGAAAATTATTTTTAGGAGCCATATCCTCAGATGAAAATGTTTTATTAACAAGTATAAAACATTTTCATCTGAGGAGATGGCTGCTTCCCGATTGGTCAAGAAATTGAATATTTTGTAAGTGAAAATCTTTGTATATTAGAGTAGCCATAACTTATTCTGCTAGGCATCGTGCCAGAAGAAGAAACTAACGAAACACGTAAATATGTTGATAACTGACAGTTTTGTCATTCTTTCGAGTGGCGTGCCAACTGAAAGAGAAAAACAAAAGCGAAACGACTTTCCACATCGTCGTATTAATTGTATACCCGTTCAGCTTCATCTAATCGTATCGATGGTGGTTTTTATAATTAATTTTTAGGGCAAAGACTGTCGTTTTTGTGCTGAAAATCTCGTAAGAGAGATCCTGTTCGAGCAAAACTAGTTATAACGCCCTCGCAAAAATGGAAAAGCGAGTTCGAATCAAGAGAGCTTAGTTTACCCGCGGCCTTGCAATAGATCGAACATTAACATTCGATTGTCGATGATAATAATAACAACAATCAGTGTCGATACAAGATTTTCTTCCGTCTTCTCAACGAAACGGGCTGATTTAGTCGGGAAGCTTCGTTTTTGGATTTCGGTAGTTCTTTTGTTTGCTTTTTCTCGTTTAATTATATACTGCGCCGCTCGCTTGTTATGTTAATTTGTTGTTTATCGAGTTTGAAATTTATTGAGTGCGTGAGTGTAAGTATTCATGTATGAAATTATTTTACGCGCTGCTCCGGTACGGTTTGGGCGTTTTGTTGGAAAGTTTTTCCGTTGCGTAACGACGATGGCCGTCGTTTTCTTTCCGTCAATGCGATATCAATAACAAACGACCCCGCACTTTTTTTTCATCGGCCCAATCGAAGTCAATCTCTCTTACGATCATTCTATACTTTTCTTGTTATTTTCTTATTTTAGTAAGAAAATAGTAGCATTGCCCAGGTGGAAATGAGTTTGCGGAGGCAGAGACGCGGTTTTACTTTTGATTTTAATAGGAATTCAATTGAAAGTGTTGAAAATGGTTCTCCAAATCAACGGGTCTCATCACGCCATCTACAGTGAATTACAAAAATATTGTACTCCCTTCTCAATGCCCGTCACTGTAGATTAACTCATTTGCACTTACACAGGAGGCTCCCCAATAATACAATCTAATAAAACTATTAATAAGGTTTACCTATTTGTTTTGATATAATGAAAGAAAGTCGGATAGTCAAAGATTCAAAAAAAATACTCATCCGTTTTCTCGTTAGGAATATTTATTAATCTGATCAACAACAAAATCTAGGGGTTTCCCCAGGGTTCAATGCATTAAACCTTACAACTCCTGATCGTTATCCTATCTCTAAGATCCATCAAGGTATAGTCGAAGTAACTAATATAGTAATTCTTAAAGCTATCGGCGAACTCAAAGGCCAAAAAAACAATAGAAAGAAATAATGCCACTACGAATTAGTCCACGTGGACTGAAGAACTGAATATTTTTTTCTAACCGAGTTTTATGATTGGCTGAAGAGTCATAAAATTGAATTTGAAGTGTCATGTTACGATGACGAATAGAAATCATGGAATGCGGCCTTTGGTTATCGCCGACGTGTTCAGTTCAGGAACTGATCGCGATTTAAGTGTTGAAATTCGATATTGGTGAAGTTATAATTACTTAAAAATTTTTTTATATGCTTAAAATGTGGCGTCCTTGGACAAGTACTAATAGTAATAACGAGTGTGATAACAACGCAGACTTTTTCCTGTGTGGTGATTCCAATAGCGCTGGTGAACAATGCGAAAAAGAGATACCAGTGAATAAGATTCGGATGCATTTGAATATTGAAACACAGAAGGTTTCAATGTATATAAGAATCTACATATCAAGTTTGGTTTCGAGGGAAAAAACTATCACAAGCAACATCAGATTTGACCGAAACTCCTTTCCCAACTGTACGTAAAATAGTCATAAACAAACCTTATGAACGCAAGACGCGATGTGGTGCGGGATTACCAAAACCTTTAGATGTTCATATAATAAAATCATTAAAAAAACAATATACGACTGTTGCAAATGCAATGAGATTCCTAGAATTGAAATTATAAGGAAGAAATTGAATACTTCCGGCCATAACGTGAGCTGCTGGGACAAAACTCTTCAGAATTGGATAAAGAAACTAGGATTTAGATTTGAAATAATAAACAAACGTCAAGCAGTTATGGAAAGCAGAAGAATAGTGGAATTGCGTCACAAATACTTAGAACAAATTACTAAATATAGACAAGAAAAACGTCAAATTTTCTATTTGGACGAAACTTGGTATGACACTCACGACACAGTTACGAAAGGGTGGACTAATGGTTCGAGAATGTGTACGCCTAACATGTTTGCAAACAAAGGATCGCGACTAATCATTGTGCATTGCGGAGGAAGTAAAGGATGGGTTACAAATTCTTTGAAATTATGTGGAAAAAAACTTGAGGACTGCAGTGTTGACTATTATAAGAACATGGAAGCTAATATTTTTGAGGAATGGTTTGAAAAAACATTGATCCCAAATTTGGATGCGAATAGTGTAATAGTTCTTGACAACAAATAAAAATTCGAGGAAAGATGAAATACAAAGTTTTTTAATGGATAACATTTTGTATTTTGAAGAAAACTACCAAAAACCAACTACTTGAAGTTTTACACATTTGTCTGTGTAATCAATCAATGTTTTCAATGTGTTTTCAATCAATCTCATCGAGTTGATTTGGGGAAAATTGAAACAAAACATCAGGCGTAAAAATAATTTTTCAAAATTTGATAAGAAGGTGATAGAGCTAGTTTAGGAACAATTATCTAATATTACCGAAGGAGACTGGCAGAAAAGGATTAAAAAATTAATTTTAGTTGAAAACAATTATATAGAGATTGGACAATTCCATGTCAATGGTGGATATAAATTCATTATTGATTTAAATGACGACAGTGATAGTGAAACGGAGAATATGGAAGAGGAATTATCAGAAGCTTTCGAAGAAAGTTAGTGAAGTGTTTTTGAAGCGATCGATTGTAAGTAGATAGGTTAGGTTAGGTCACAAGTGAGGGGGTCTATTCGACCCTCCACCGCAACCCGCAAGGGTTTATTGTGCACTATATCGTTTACTTGAACTATACCAACGATTTTATTCTTTTTAGTCCTCTGATATGTGATTCAGAATTCCTGAAAATTTCTTCAGCAGATATGTAGGATCTAGGTTTAAAAAAAAGAGTTTTAAATCTGTTTTTCCGTTAACCAGCTGTTGCACCCTTACAAACGACAACCCTCAGAGGTCGAAATTTGTGCGAGCTAAGGATTAACGAGGTCTTACTTTTTAACGCGTGATTCCTAACACGAGTTGGACGATAGCAAGTGAAAATCGATCGTTCAGCCTGAGGCTTGAACCACCGACCAACACGGCGGTCGGTCAATTCGAGAGAGTGAACAAAGCACCCACATTGAACCGACCGACTCCAATATTCTATCCAGCTGGCGAGTTTCGCGTCGTGACTTGGGCCTGCGCCCAAGGCAGAGCATTGTAAGTGAGTTTTCAGTTTTGATTTAAAAATGGCTATTGGGGTTTCTTTGATGGTGGTGATAGAGCAGCCAGTTCTGTTTGAACCACGCTGGTATTTTTTTCCATTCACCACTTAATCCTTAGGCTTAGTGATCTGGAGTACACTCCACATCCTGAGCCTTCTCTGGTTTTTGAGACGTCTGTATGGATGCGTATTGTAGCATCTGACTCAGTGTTCTGTTTTATCTGTATTTCGTAGGGTTTATCAAACACAAACCTGGGTTCAATTGCATCACTGGTTGCCTGCAGCAGAGGTTGCGCAGTAAGCGCTTCTCGCCATAGGCTTAGCCTCAATTGACTCATTCCTACTTCGAGGTTTACACCAACCGTGCACAATCGTGACATGACCATTAACGCAACCTCCTTAACGTACAGGTCCAGAGGGGTCAGACCAGGGCCGTGTTCCAAAGGAATTCGTTCAAACGTTTCGTCTGCTACTTCGGCAAACATCTTCAGTGGTGTATGCGTTGACTGCCAGGGCGAAGGTAGTATCTCGAAATCTCGGCTACGACTGACTAAATTATTAATATTGCAGTCCACCTTCAACATTGACAGTGACAAGTATTGAAAAGTTGACCTTACAACAAAGTTTCATAGAAAATATGCGTTTCAAATAATGTTTCGAAACAAGATAAAAGTAATACCGGCAAAATGGAGGTTATGTAGATAGGTTTTTTTGATTGATCGTTTATTTTGTTTGATTTCCAGAGTCAAATCATCGCAGTGATTCCAGTTCCGGCTATTGGCAGCTCCAGTTGGACCGCGACTTGGTGGACACCATCTCCTCGATATACCCCGAGTGGTTCAGGAACAACATGGCGGAGGGAGGAGGCCCTCCTTCCAGCCCCCGGACTTCCCCTCCGAAAGCGGTCGTCGACACATCGCCCATCATGATCGACCAAAACAAAGAATGTAAGTTGAAATATTTCATATTTGAATCGCATTTGAAATGTATTAATAATATTATTATAATTATTTTAGGTTTTCAGATGAGTTACAGTTGGTACAATGTATTGAAGTAGTTTTATTGACTTTAATACTTCATAATTCACGCGATCTTTCACCTGGCCCATTTTCATCGCATCTACGCCACTGATCCCTCTGTTCATCCGTAACCACATACACCGTTTGTGATAGGCCAGTCTTCATAAGGGTCCTCAAATTCTCGTTCTGGTTCGCTGTAGGTCGACCACTTCGGGGTTAAAAGTTTTCTTCTTTTTATAAATTCATTTAATGACTGCTCAAGGAACGTGATGAATATTACTACACCAACGGTTCCAAACTGTGCATCACAAGCAAAGAACGTGATTTTTTTTCTTTTACTGCATTTTACTATTTGGAAATCAGATTCCCTGTGGGAGCGTAGGTTCGAATCCTACCGACTGCGCCATGTTACGAAGGGACACCTCAATAGAAACGACACTTGGCATAGCCTGGTTTATTGTGCTCTCTCCACTATTATAATGAGGTGCGCTTTATACGCATATTCATACGGATATCGGAATACGGAGCAAAATATGATTCCAAAATGAGAAAATACAATACAATAAACATGAGTATTCAGTCTTCCGCAGCAATCGGTGGTATTGGGTTTTTTAGGCCGTCGTGGGCTTTTTTCCATTTCGGTTTTCAGGCGGAAATTTTGAAAGCTGACCTGTCACAGGGCTACAGTTGTCGAAAGAATGTAAGATATATAAGAAGAAGAATGTACAGAGGGTTGTGTATATGTTAGATGAACCATACGGGTGAAAGGTTGAGAGACGGTTTTCATTCTCAGTCAAAAAACAGTTTCAATTTCTTTCAAATGTAATTGCGGTTAAAGATTTACGTTTATCGAATTGCAGTAGGAATGAGTACGATATACAAATTGATTAGCATTAACCGTTCCTTTTGAAAATTATTCAACAATCGCGGCATTAGCGGTCGCTGTGCTTCCGCCACGGACCGACACCGGAACAGAACCCGCGGAATATCCTCCAGACCTCAAGCCAGCGTTACCAGATGCAGAAGAATTTCTTCGGATTTAAAGAATTTCGTTACAATGATTTTACGTTCTCATCTCATCTAAAGGAGAATTCAATACAGTGAAGATCAGTTTCTAAATATGAAATGTTCGAAGGATCACAACCAAAATCGGTAAATTCGGTAAAAGTTACATAAAAAAAAGTATAGCGATAGAAGATAACGTGTTTCCATCATCCATTCTTTGAGAAAGGATTTTCTGGATATTTAAAAAAATGAATGTGGGTTGTGGCGTAGTGAGTGGTGAAAAACAGCGGTGATCCTTTGAAATTTGAGGCCGCTTTCCTTTGATTGTTTTCATTGCTTTCAGCGACACGAGATTACAGAACAAATTGTGATTGAATGAAAACAAGTCAATTTTTGTTACACTTTTCATACAGACAGGTTTCCAAAAACACCCCGTCAAATTGCTCCTTGTTTTATACTGATTGATTTGACAAGTGACAGTTTAGCTGTTTCGTGTCATCTTGAAGCTGACTGTCGAAGCAACCGAATTCCTTTTTTTTGTAAATATAAAGAGGATGTGAAATGAGACACCTTTGTCAAAGAGTTTCTGCCTGAATGCTCGTAAATAATATAAAACTACAGTAATAATTGCGACGAAATTGAGTAGAAAATTCCTGGCGACCCTAGAACAGAAATGAAATAATTTGAATTGAATTTGAAAAATCCACTTCTCCCAACCTCCTTACACAGTAGTATATGGCAAATATTTGCCGGAAATAACTACTCCCCGGCTAATACCACGATGGATATTTCTTTGCAGGTAATATTGCAATAGAAATCTACGGAATTGGGCCAGTTTAACCGATCGTCGATGATATTATACCAAGAAAAGATTTGAGGAGACAAATAAGTTCTGTGTTTTACTTACATTCAATTTAAGTCTGTTCTGTGTGAACCAGCTTTTAACTAAGTTTTTGTTTGCTTAACCGACTTCACAATAGTGCTGACATAAGTCGTTTTATGTACACAATAAATAAAGAAGGTCCAAGTACTGAACCCTGTGGTATTCCATGTTGTATCGGTTCAAAGTCGGATTTGACATTATTAATATAAACAGACTGATACCTCTTTTCGAGATAGGAGTTGACGAGGCTCAAAATGGTACCTCTCAAACAATAAGGACTCAATTTTTTATGGCATGTGATACACAATCAAAAGCTTAGGCCAAGTCGCATGACTATGTCATTCTCATGTCGCGATGGACGAACGAGAAGTATCTATCGAATATAATTCAATGTCCGCCGTGGCATTAGTCAGAGAAGTAGTTGGCATTTGTCATATCCCTTGTGTAAGAACGTTGTTTAATAAATACAACTCGAAATATTTACTCAATCTGGCAACACTGCCTACAGCAGAACCGTCTCTGCTTCTCCGGATCACAGTCGACTCGTTTGTTATTGTTCGCGTACCTCGTTCAGTGGTTCCGGAGGCGTGCGCCAGCCGCCCATGGAGCCGCTGCCCACGAAGACGAAGAAATATCGCCATCGCGTCCATGGCCGCCTTCTCGTCGACAAGACATGTGTTGTTTTGCGTCGTTCACTCTTGTTTTTCTTTTGCAGCCCTGAAGGTGAAGTTGCTGCTGCGTCGGCCGTTCGACCAGCTGGTCGCCCAAGGAATCATGCCCCGTAAGTATTGTGCGTTGTGGGGGTTGTTTTTCTGTTTTCGGGGTGCGTGCGGCGTTGCCGGTGTTTCGGTTTTGGTCTGTGATGTGACGAAATTGTGAGGAGGGTTGAAAAAAATGTTGATGGATTCTGCTAGGGTTGATGAATGTTGGTATTGTTGTGTTTGAAACGAGAGAAGGTGGTTGGTTTTTTTTTGGACTGCAATGGGAATCGGTGAGTTTTTAATTTGTCTTGTCGATTAGAAAAACAGTGTGAATTGTTATCTCAAGTTTGTTCTGTTATCTGAGTTAAGTAAGTGGATATTGACAATTATCATAAAACAATTGTTTAAGTGAACTTGAACAAATAATAAATAACGCTACATTTTCACTCCACACAAAATAGTAGATTTTTTAATGCAGTGGATTCCGGTTGAAATGAGCCATCCTGAATAAGTCATTTGATACTAAGACTGTACAAAAGAAGACACATTTCTACGTAAAATGTAATCTCTCATCAGCCACCCCCCCCTCTCCAAAACAATCAACAACTCAAATATTTTATAGAGAAATTGTCGTCGAGTGATAAATTTTCTGGAAGGTTTATTGATTCTGTGCCCAACCCTGTAAAATTATCGACATTATAGCAATTAGTGAAATCAGAAAAAATAAGATAATCTCTTGAGTTATTACGCAATTTCAGACTAAAAGTTCTTGCTGAAAAAAAATTTCCACTATATTAAAATGTTCAAACTGAGCACTATCATGATACTGATGATAATTACAGAAATAAAATAANGTGTTTCAGGACACCATTCGGTTTGACCAACATAGCATCTGTGACAGCTTCCACAGTTCAATTTGTACACTATATTGGAATGTAGTTCTTGTGGTGCTTTTGTTTTTTGTTCAGAAAAAAAATGCTTTCCAACTGTATTTTCATTTGAAAAGGCCACTTCAATTTTATCGGTACTGAGAAGCATTAGAAGTTTATCAGATATATTTTCTACAAATGGAATTTTGTGATATTTGGGTTTTCACTCCTATATTTTGGAAAGAGGAACTTCTTTTTTAAATTACTTTTCTTTTATTAGAGTTTTTTTATTTTTGCCTTGTTTGAAGTCGAGTTCTTATATACTTGAAAGTGTTGAAATAGTGGATTTGTAACAAGATCATGATGATCATTTAGGCAGAAACGTAAAGCATAAATACCAGGTCTGTTCAAAGAATAAGGTAAAGGTTATTACTGGTGGTGAATCATGGGTATATGGTTATGACATCGAAACCCATGCCACACACGTCCGGTATTGTGTAAAAACAATGGTTTTTACACTCGTCGTTACTTGTTTGAAATTGTTTGACAGAAAACAACACCGTTATGATGCCTCAGCCACCGTATTCACCAGATTTGGTCCCCTGCGATGTTTTCCTGTTCCCAAGATTGAAGAGGCTCATGAAAGGACGGCGTTTTGCGACGATTGAGGAGATAAAAACTGAATCATTGGCAAAGCTCGGGGGGGCAAAATAGAAGTTGATGATTAAATATTTTTTTTGAGAAAAATGAAAATCCACCTTATTTTTTGAACAAGCCTCGTATAAGACTTGTGGAGACTTATTTTTATTTGGGATATTTTGTAATATTCTTTCTCGTTATCCAACATATTATTTATTATATGATGGATTAACGTGGCAAGTCGATCAAAGTGATATTGAAAGAAAGATTGTTTGGTGTATTGTTCGTAAAATTGAGAATATTTTAAATAAGTTATGAGCGAGCCATATTACCCCAATATTAATTTTCAGATGATACAGTTTTTTAGGCTGGTCATTTCAAAACATCATTCACATGATCATATTGAAGTGATCGAAGTAATTTTTGTTACTGTCTGGATACAGAGCTTGATTATTTACAGTCCGAACACATTTATTAATTAGTAACGGGAAGAAGTGCGAAATACGAATCCACGAAATTGTTCAATAACCTCCTAGAGTTTAGTTATACTAATTGCTCTCGAAAAATCGCCGATTATCATATCCTCTATACGATAAATCTCAATTAGACATGGTTCGTTGTTATTTGGGGAGTCTGGTAATCAATTGATAAGTATCTAGTTGTGGAAGACCGACTTTCATGCATATTCTGTGTCTTTTACATCTGAAATACGAGCAAGAGTTATACGAGGGTGATTCCCAAAGGTACCCGGCCTGACTTAGAAATGGCGGCAGCTATTTGAAAAACGTCACTGTATTAGAAAGTGCACAATATAAAAAGCATTTTTGTCAAGTTTGAAGACACACTGCGTTGTTCAGTATTTGTTTGGCAGCCGTCAACAGCCCCCTCGGATCATTTTTTGTTCCCAAACTCGAAAAAATGGCTCAGTGATCGAAGATTTACTCAACGATGAAGAAGGGATATCGGCAGTTAATAGCTATTTTGAGGAGCAAGACTATTTTTATTATTGAAGCGGTATGGAACTTATTGAACGTCGTACAGAGCTGTAAGAAGATTATGTTAAGAAACACATTTTGTTCCAAAATGTTTGTATTCTGGTTATTGGGCCGGGTACCTACTTCTCCGACCGCCCTCGTACAAGCTCAACTTCGACCACAAATAATCCTCAGATATCTTTTTTACTGGCAACGTCGCGCTTCTACATATCTCTCGGGCACAGCTAATTCGTCTTGTTTTTGTTTCCCAATGAACCCACACAAGTCCATTTATTTTTGATCTTGGCTCTGCTCAATATTTTGAATAGTTTTATGATAGTTTGTCTATATAATTTATTGTAATTCTTCCTCGGAAATTGTTTTTTCAACCGAGGAAAATGGCGTTACGTTGTGCTGAGAAACTTTTTGTGAATAACGACAGTTATTTTATCGAAGTGAAAAATGTGAAATTATTTTTGTCGTTCTTTAATTTTTTGTGTTTTGCTTTAGGAACTCGAAAATTTTTCTTCCATTTTAAATAATTTGAAGAATTTCCGCAGTTTTTCTACAATCTCTTGAAATAAATAATGTTATGATGTACACTCAAGGTCAGATGAAAGTTAGAGTAATTGTGCCATAACTGCATGACATAGTCAAAATTAACATGATATGATTGAGGGAGGGAGAAGAAGGATAGAAGTAATGGGCAGGTTGGGAGGTAAAACAAGAGAGAAAGGAGGAGAGACATGAAAGAGAACAAAAATAATGTGAAAGAATATGACAGATAATATGTGAATGCTAAGAAATAATAAATGGAACCGAAACTCATGACGCCAACTTTTGGTTCGAATCAAAATGCTTACTAACTAATTATTTCTTCTGCAGCACACAAGACACCCGCCGCCTTTCATGGCCAGCGCCGTCAACTGGAACGGGCGAAGACCGGCGACATGCTAAAAGCGAAAATCCAGCAGCGCCCGCCTCGGCAAGAGCTCGAACGGCGCCATATCCTCGAAATCGACCCTAGTCACGTGGACCCGAGCATAGCCGAGCGGCAACGCATGCTCAAGAAGGCCAAACTGGCCGATCAGCTCAACGACCAGCTTTCGCATCGGCCCGGCCCGCTCGAACTCATCCAGAAGAATATTCTACATACCGAGGAGCCCATCGAGGAGGCGGTCAAGACCGGCCGAATCCCGTACAAGGCGACCTGCGAGGGCCAGCTCCACAGGCCACAGCTGCCCTCAAACTACGTCAACCCCGAGGAGGACTCGCAGAGCTCCGAAGGTGACACCCGCGTCAGCCCGAGTCCGACAGATGTGCTGGAGACAGCGGCCAAATCGGCAGGTATAGTAGTCTCCTTGATACAACCGACGGAAGGGACGTTTGTCGTAACGACAGCAACCGCGCCCAAAGACAATACCGAAATCGTGTTCGCGGACCTTTGCAGATCCGTCGCCGCGCCCCTGATCTCGGCGACAAGCCCCGCCTCTCTCTGCACTTCCTCTACATCCTCCCTGAGTCCCCTCTCGTCCGTCGCTAGTCCGGTGCCTTCGATCGTATCCCAACCGGCGACGCCGGCGCCCCCTCCACCGCCCCCACCTATCTCCCTCATAACCAGAACCCTGCCCTCGCCCGCCAAGAGCGAATCCTCCGGCAAGGATAAAAGCAGGAAGAAATCCAAGCTGAAGTCCGTCCCGAAGACACGCACCATCAAATTCCACGAGTACAAAGGCCCGCCAAGCGCCCACAAGACTTCCGCTTCCAGCTTGAACCCCGAAGAGAGCTCGTACGACCTGCTGCTGAAACAGCAGACGCTGCTGCTGCAGTTCCAGCTCCAGCTGCAGCACAAGTACCCGCAGATCATCTTGCCGGCCTCGCAGAAAGCCAACGTTGCCGAGAACAACAACAACGGCAGCAACAGCCACTTGAACGTCCAGCAGCCGTCTCCAGCCCCGTCGACTTCTTCAGAGTCCTCGACTGCTGCTAGGATCACCGGCAGACTAGAGGACATGAAGGTCAGCGATTTGAAGGCCGAACTGAAGCGGCGCAGCTTGCCCGTTTCCGGCTCGAAGCCGCAGCTGATAGAGAGACTGAAACCGTTCGCGGCGGGTGACGTTGTCAACCAAAACCCCGCCTCTATAGACTCTTCTGCACACAGCAATGCCAGCGTGGATCAGTCGCATAACTCGCCTGTCTACCAGGACATAGACTCGCCCTATGACACCACCAAGGACGAACAAACCGAGCACATGGAACTCGACCCGACGAGCCCTTCGCCTCAGCAGATTCACGAGCAATTCGTTCAGAACCAAGAGCAGAAAGCCAAGGAGGACATCGTACGCGAGCAGCAGAGACAGATCGAGGTGCTCCAGAGAGAGTTAACTCTGTCACAGTTGAAACTGCAGGCCGCGACGAGGTCCGAGCCGAAGGCGCAGATGATCGCACTGCAGAAGCACCTGCAGGCCCGGCAACAGCAGCAACAGCAACGGCAACAACAATTGCAGCAGCAACAACAACAGCAGCAGCAACAGCAACAACAGCAGCAGCAGCAGAACTTCGCTCTGCAAATGAAGCAGCTGCAGGCGCTGCAAGCGAGGCAAGCACTCGTGAACGAAGAGCAGCAAAGGATACAGCAGCAGATCTCGTTGCAAAACCAGAAGAATATCGCCGGCGGATTGATTTTGAATAGCGCTGACGCGGCTCTCGTCTTCAACCAGTTGATGCAGCAGGGCAAGGCGAAAATTCTCAACGGGCACGGCAGGAGCCAGTCGTCGCCAAATTTCCTCAATTCGATAGTAACCCCACTGATTACCGCCCCAGATGTCAAAGCGGACTACATAGAGGATCACAAGCCGACTCCCGAGATCAAAATCGAGTTCCGGGATCAGATGAAGCCGCCCCCGCCACAGTACAACGAAGCCACCAAGCAGATGAATAAGAAGAACCACATCAAGAGTCAAATCGTCGACGACGTCTTGGAGATTTTAATAAAGAACGGTGAACTGCCCCCGAGTGCTGCCAATGATCCCCTGACGCCAAACTCGGCAGGTACCAAGTCCACCGAACCTATCTATCCTTCTTCTCCGCCTAGCGACAACCACAATAACCGCATCGAAACCCACGTCGACATCAACGATGCTCTGGACAACATCCACGCAAGTCACAACAACGAATCGATGGAGGAGCCTGACAGCTCGGAAACCGCTCTGGAGATAGACCCGACTGACCTGCTCGAAACGTTGGATAATCTCGATAACATGGACTTCTCGCAGCTGGTCATGGAGCTCGGCGGTTGCCACACCCCCGTCGATAACAACAACTACCATGGGGAACCGATGATGGACGACGATATGGCTATGGACACCGACGACTGGCTGGAATCGCTGCTCCCCAGCGAGAGCTCCGAGTATAACGGCAACAACGGCGTTTCCACCACCACCGCGCCGTTAGCTGTCCCTGAGAGCGATCTAAGCGGATACGATCCTTTGTTAGGCATCGCGCACGACCCCTACGATCCTTTCAATCTGGAAGACTTCCGATCTGCGTCTGATCTGACGGCCGCGCTCTCCTGGGACAAGGTTGACTACGCCACGTGATGCGCCTCGTACCAAACACTTCAGGCGCGTTGAGCCATACATCGGGCTTATTGAGTCCACACCGTGCGTGTTGAGCGTAAATCGAATGCGTTGAGCCGTAAATACAACGGGTTGAGCGTGATAAACTTGACGCACCACCATCTCACGCGTGCTCAAATTGAATCACCTTCTATCCCTGCGCGATATGCTCACAATGCGGTGAGACTAACCTAAAAGCGGTTGAGTCTTCCATTTATATGTGTATGCGTCAAATCTGGTACGCGTATGATGCGCGTTGAGTTTCCGAACGTGTGCGCGATACATTTGGTGTTACTGTGAAATGTGTGGGGCTGCTTATTCCAATGATGTGAAATTCCGCTCGGTTATTGATTGACATTCCACAAGATGGCCGCCGAAATCGCCTCCTTTGGAGAGGCGCGGGACCAGGGCGGCCCAATCGGCCAGGGAACACATCAGCATATGAAACTATTGTAATATTTATTGTACATATATATATTTATAGATACACGTGCCGTAAGATATACGGTGTGTCGCGAGAAGCTGGTAAACGAAATGTCGAAATGTTTGGTTTTTATATTTATATATTGTTGTGAGGGGGGGGTTCGGTGCTATTGTCTGTAGGGGATGTTTGTGAAAGGACACTTGTACAAGTGAGGCGTTTTGCTGAGGTATATATTTCGAGTGGTTCGACTCGACTGGCTGTTGTTCCTAGAGCAAACGTTTCGATGGGTTACTGATTGGTAATACTTTTTGTTTGCCGGTTCTCGCGGCCCAAAACTTATTATACTTAATCTATTGTTTAGTTGTAGGTATTTAGGACCTAATGAATTTGTAAATATATTCAAATTTTTGACTTTGATTCTAGACAAGTTTGGCGTATGTTCGTCGGATTTTTCGAAACGTACTGTGTATGGCAAAGTGTATATTTTTTTCCGAGTTGGCTATTTATTTTATGTATTTATTCTTTTTCATTTGGGAAAATATTTCTCTTCGGTTTGGAAAGAGTCAGGGTTTTTCTAAGAGGCAATGTTTCTATGCCTTTGTTTTTTAAGTATTCTTAGGAAAAGTTTCTATTTGCAGAGAAAGCCAGTTTTAAATTATGCAGTTTCGTTCATTATCCTTTGTACTCTAAAAGCATGACCTCCTTGAAATATAATACAGAAAAATTTCAAATTGAAATGGGAAATATAAAAAATTCATTGGATACCTTATGTATTCGTTATTTTTGTGGTTTTCCATGAATACCTGTCAAAATGACTGATGATTATCGTCGAAATCAGACTGACATAAAAAAAGAATGACTGAAATGTAAAGAAGCAATTTGAAGATTAAAAATAGTAAGCTGAGAAAATCAAATGTAATGATTTGAATTATTTTGAAAATTTCAAGAATCCTCAAGAAAACATTGAAATTCAAAATAGTCTTTGAAAAAATTGATGAAATCTTTATTGGAATCGATAAAACGATCAATATAATTTAAAGTTTGAAGATGATTTCATGCAAATGTTGTCTGCGGCTCCGCTTTAGATGGCCCATGCGCAAGGTCCAATTTTGGCACACTGTCTCTAACATATCGACCGGTATTTCACGTATAAATGTTTCAATATTGGCTTCCAGAGCGTCAGTCGTTGCTGGTTTATCCCTGTAGACATGAGCGTTAACATGACCCCACAAGAAATAATCCAAAGGCGTTAAATCACACGATCTAGGCGGCCAATTGACGGGCTCCAAACGTGAGATGAACTGTTCACCGAAGGCGGCCTTAATTGGGCCATTGTTTCGCGTGCTGTATGGCATGTGGCACCATCTTGTTGAAACCACATGTCAGGCATATCCAATTCTTCTAGTTTGGGCAACAAAAAGTCGTCAATCATCACACGGTAGCGCTCGCCATTCACAGTAACTTTCCGGCCATTGTCTTCTTTGAAGAAGTACGGCCCAATGATGCCACCGACCCATAATCCACACCAAACAGTGACTTTTTCGGGATGCATCGGTAGCTCTTGCTATGCTTGTGGCTGGTCTTTACTCCAGATGCGCCAATTTTGCTTATTAACGTACCCATTCAACCAGAAATGAGCTTCATCGCTGAACACAATTTTTCGATAAAAATGTGGATCTTCCTCCAACTTTGGCAGTGCCCATTCACCAAATGTTAGACGTTGTGGGAGGTCGTTTGGCTTCAATTCTTTCACCAGCTGTATCTTATGAGATTTTACAACCAAATCCTTTCGCAAAATTTTCCACGTAGTGGAGTAACAGAGGCCCAATTACTGCGAACGGCGGCGAATCGATATTTCACGGTCATCACGAACACTGGCGGATACAGCCGCAATATTTTCATCGGTCACACTACGTATGCGTGTTGGTGGTTTAATGTCCAATAATGTAAACTGGGTTCGAAATCTAGTCACAAGCTTCCGAATAGCTCCCTCAGTAGGCCGACGAAACTGCCTACAAATTGGAAGAAGTGCACGATGCACTTTATTCACCGAGCATGAATTTTGATAATAAAATTCAATAATTTGCAAGCGGTGTTCATTCGTAAGTCGATTCATGGTTAAATTGTAGACCAAACTGAAAAAGTTCTACAATGACACAAGACACGATTCACGCGTGATCTGTCAAAAACAGTGTTGCCAAAAAGATACCAGCAAAAAAATTACGCATCATATAAACATTCAAAATAAACAAAATAATTCAAACATTAGAATTTTTGATCACAGAACAGTAACACATTTGTTTTTCAATGAATAACAATGTTTGCTTTTTCATTTCAAGTAAAAGATTGATAAGTATCAGAAAATATTTATGAAAAATATTTTTTTATAGGAATTTTGTCCGATTTTTTTTGACATACATTTTTGCCGTAACATTTAATGAAGCCAAGTTCGGTTACTTATAAAATCAACCATAAACAAATGTTTTCCTAATGTATGCTAGTACAGAATTAAAGGATTTTCAAATTGTACAAAAAAAAATGTTCTTCATGTAAATTAATTTTTTTAATTTGATTATATTTGAATTTTCTAGCTTCACTTTGTTTTTCAGAATCACTTTTTTTGTATACTTTGATATTTTTCAGCATGGTAACTAATTTTTTTGAATAAATTGGCGATTTTATCAGTCATTTATTTCCTGTACTATAAGTTCAAGGAGGTGATTTGACGAAATGAAATGTTTCACGGAAAAAGTTCGATAAATAATTGAAAGTGTACATGAAAAACTGTTTTACGCCAGTCCGTGCTCATGTACAGGGTGAACTAAAAGTAGCGTCCGACAAAGTCAAGGTTGGTTGTAAGGAAATAACTTTTGCGATTTTACGAACTTCGTTGATCTCTACAAAGCTTTTATCACTGAAATTGGTAGTTTTCCAAGCATTATATAATCTAATGTGAAGTTTTTTTTTTGTAAACAAGTTTTCAGATAGGTTTTGTGGATGTCGTCGAAGTTGAAGAAATACCTCCTATTCAAAATACATTCCTTTCATTCGAAATTTCCATTGTGCGACGAATCTAGAGACCATTCACGGTGGAAGCAATGGTTTCCAGGGGCCACCTTCGTTAATTCAGCCTTTGACCTTCTGCTGTGCATCGTTATCAAACAGTATCGTTCGCAATTTTCAGTGCGCCCTGTATATTCCAATTTTCGCTCAAAGGAGCGCATCGCTTAACGACTGGTCGCCAAACAGTTTTGCCGGTGAATGTAGTTGGCAAAGGACCAAATGAAATTTATTAATTTCGTTATTTAAGGATATTCTGTAGTTGGTACTAATTTAGAATAAAGCAGAGCCGAGAAGGAGCCTTCGTAAAGTTGTCTAGATGAAAAGTTTTAATAACAGAAGAGTCAGGTAGGAGGAGGGAACTCGAATGATGGAGTGCCAAATTTAAAACGGGAGGAAAGGGGAATCGGAATAATACTTGAGGTTTTTTCGCTTTACTACTTTTGATTATCGAGGTATGAGAAAGACAAGTGCGGTTTGAAGAGATATGAAGAAGGAAAGTATTGAAAAAACAAACGAAAAGTGATATAGCTATAGTTCTGGCTCATTCCTTACGGAAAAACACGTGCAAATTTGAGCAGGTCCATTCTGGCGATTTTTCAGGCCCAAGTCACACAGAATGGACGTCTATTCTGGTAATTTTTGGACATCAGGCCTAATTCTCACAGAATGGACGCCTCCATCCTTCTTTGCATCGTTTACGTCACACGTTTCCCTCTCCCACTAACTAAAGTCTCTCTCTGAAAAACACCTACCTCGAGTTGGGTGTTCCACAAGGTTCCGATGTCTTGAAAATTGCAAAAAATTAGACGTCATTAGAAAATACATGGGATTTTGCGCTCCTACCCGCCTTGTTCATCTACTGATTTGAATTTCCCACCTGTTTTTCCATAAGGAATGAGCGAGAACTCCTCAGCTATATTGCTACGAAATGGTGATGAGATAAAAGTTATTTACTCAGGGTCGTTCGACAAAGAAAGTGAGTAATTTCCCAAATTGAATAAATCCCTCGGTTTTATTGAATCTAGTCCGAATAAACAATAAATAAAATAAAAAGGACGATTTGTTTAAATTTATAAAATCAGATATGTGATGGAATCGGCCGATACTTGATGAAAATCCATAACGTCTTTACACGCCTGAAGAAGCTTTTTATAGCGAAACGCGTGTTGTGTTTTTGTGAAACTGGTAAGTGAAAATCTCATAAAATGTTTCACAAAAATGCAACACGTGTTTCGCCTAACAGTGGCTTCTTCGGGCGTGTGTAAGCACGTGTCTATACAGTATAGACACGCCCGTAGAAGCTATTTTAAAGCAAAACACTTGTTGCGTTTTTGTAAAACTGTTGAGTGAAAATCTCACAAATTGTTTCCCAAAAATGCAACACGTGTTTCGCCTAACAGTGGCTTCTTCGGGCGTGTGTAAACACGTGTCTATACAGTATAGACACGCCCGTAGAAGCTATCTTAAAATGAAACACTTGTTGCGTTTTTGTAAAACTGTCAAGTGAAAATCTCACAAAGTGTTTCACAAAATTGCAACATATGCAACACAGTGGCTTCTTCGGGCATGTGTAAACACGTGTCTATACAGTATAGACACGCCCGTAGAAGCTATTTTAAAGCGAAACACGTGTTGCGTTTTTTTTTAACTGTAGAGTGGAAATCTCAGAGAGTGTTTTAAAAAATGCAACACGTGTTTCGCCTGACAGTGACTTCCTCGGGCGTATGTAAACACTTGTCTATACAGTATAGACACGCCCGTAGAAGCTATTTTAAAGCGAAACACGTGTTGCGTTTTTTTTAAAACTGTAGAGTGGAAATCTCAGAGAGTGTTTAAAAAAATGCAACACGTGTTTCGCCTGACAGTGACTTCCTCGGGCATATGTAAACACTTGTCTATACAGTATAGACACGCCCGTTATGGATTTTCATCAAGGATCGGCCGATTCCATAACACAATCAACATAGTCTTGGATAGATGAAACTTGTGATGATTCTAGAGAAGCAGAAGAAGAATTATGGAAAACGAAAATATTACAAAATTAGTTTGATAGTGGGTGAAATGGCATTGTGAGATAAAAAATTCTTTTGAATCTCTTCCGATCTACAGTTACTGATGATTTTGGTGTACAATCAAGAGTGGTCGGAAATCATCAAAATTCGCAGCTTCACTTTCATTTTCATGGACTTGGTTGATACTTGGGAAAAATTGTTATGAACGTAATGCAGTTCTCACAAGGGCAGTTCACTCAAACCCCCCAACAAGTGTTTCACTGTAAATACTGCTTCAGGATTTATATGTTAATCTTGTCCTTATAAGATATTTTTCTATAATACTCATTTCCTCAGAAATATACCCAGAATACTTGTAACGCATTGTTTTCTCAAACTTCGATGACGTTCACTTTTTGAAACTTTAAAAGCAATTTTGATAAATCATTCAACTGATGTATGAACTGAAGTTTGACATGTACCACAATAGGAAATGTAAATACGTGAAAACTCATTAGACTAGTCAAAAAGATTAGATGTTAAAATAAAAGTGCACTAGTTGTTTTTGAAATATCCGAACAGAAATTTCGAATCGCAATTATTTAGAAAAAATATTGAATTTTTATTTTTCTCCTTGGGTTTTGAAAATATTGCTATTGGCTTTCACGGGTGGGAAGGACTTGGGTTAGATTATAAATTGTTGTAAAGAAAGTTCTGCTTGACTCTCTGAACTGAAGTATACCGAGCCAACACGAATCATATTAACCTCATAATTTTACCTGTATATTCATCCGGGATATTGAATTCTACTCACGGAAGGATATAAGGGTGATTCGTGTTCGCCAGGAGTAGCTAACTACTTGTACAGATTGTTTTGTGACAAGATCGCTATTATTTGTTATTCGAATGTTAAACATTTATTTTGTTGACTATTTGTATTTAGACAGCCATTTTGCCAGGCTGAGGAATGTCGTGCTTAGAATTGCCTAAATGTGAGACCGATCGAGATGCCTTATACATACATACGATGCAAACACTGATTATTGCATGATTTTTGGAAATTTTTTTCTTCAGTCCATACTGTTTGCGGCATCGTATTTTTTGCTAATTGCTATCTTTTATATAAACAGTATGCGAGTGAAAGCGGTATTTAGCCATGAAACAATAAAATAATAACTTGACCATTGGTGTGTTTTATTTTACCTCATTTTGGTAGAGCGCCATGTTTAACATTACCACATATTTTTCGAGAAAAATCCCATTTTCCTCGAAAAATATTCATTTATTCATCAATTTCTGTTTTGTCCCCTTCAAAATATTTCCCCTCAAATATAATACGCTTTTCCAATCGTCAAAGCAGTTCTGATATGCGCTTTTTGGAATGTCCTTATGCTCTTTCAGTGATTCGGTTATTATCACCTCGATCGTCGCAAAACTCCGTCCTTTCATGGGTCTCATCAATCTTGGGAACTGAAAAAAGTCGCAGGAGGCAAATCTGGTGAATGCGGTGGCTGAGGCATGATTACGTTGTTTGTGGCCAAAAAATCACGAACAAGACTAGTGAACAGGTGCATGACAAAAGCTATGAATTGTTTTTCTGCAATACCGAACGTTTTCATCGTATTACTTCTTGCAAGCGACGTATAAATTCCAAGTTAATACTCCTTAGTTTCCGTACAACCATGTTGAGAGAACTCCTGCTGCACTACGCCACGGTAATCAAAGAAAACCGTGACCAAAACCTTGATATTTGATCGAACATGGCGTGCTTTTTTATGGTCGTGGCTCTTCTATGCTCTTCCATTGAGACGATTTAATTTTGGTTTCGATGTCATAACCACATACTCATGATTTGTCACTAGTTATAACCCTTGATTCAAAGAGTACAATCACCGTATGTCACTGTAAATATTTCGAATGTTTTCGAGCACTTAATTCCATTCTTCACACAAGATTGTGTAAATTCCAAATTTGGGGTAATTTTCTGTAGAACTGTAAATACAAAAAATAGTTTTGATTCAATGTATCCACCTTGGGATTCCATTTGACCCACCAAATTCCAAGTTGATACCAGAAGAGACAAAATAATTATAGGGCTAGACTAGATCTGTTTATATCCATTATAGAAACGAATTTTAAAAAAATATTCGCGCTCCAATGTCTACCCAAGGAAATGGAAATAGTATATTTTAATAATAATAATATCGTCTTTATTATCTTCTAATACATTTAAAGCAAATTAATCATGTACAGTTCATTTATTATATGAAGATAAAAGGCGAAGTTCAATTTACATGATGACAAGACATCATTCAATTGCTCTTCCACTTAACCTCGTTTTCAACGCGGTCAGAACTTCAATATAGTTTTCTGATTGTAGAAAATGATACAGCATTTGATAATAGTAATAGTATTTAGTTCAATTTTTACATGCTATATTCCAATTACGTTGAAAGTAACTATATTTTGTTTACATACCAGGAAGGGGTAGTTTGGTGATGGTTGATATTTAATAATATATTTATTCAATATCACGGGGTTATTAGGTGTTTGGCGTTTTACTCGGGGCCAATTGATGAAAACTAAAATATTGCAGTAAGTGGCATGATTTCTATACTTGTATAGTGGAAATTTGAAGAACTGTATATGGAACTGATTTATGGAGGTCATAATAGTTTTCTTAAAGTATTTTTATGCAGTAAACTCAACCAAAAATCGAAAAAGTTTATTAGATTGTGATAAAGTATCTAAGCAATATGGTTATTGTCTCCAGACAACAGCTGTTGAGTGGTGACAAGTAGAAGTATGCTATATGGAACCGGGCGATCCAAAGAAATGTCATTTGTGAAAATGAAACGCACATATTTTTTATATTGTACCCTAATTTTAATTTCCTAAACTTATTCAACTGGGAATATTAAACACTGGTTTTTACTAGTACAATGCACAAAACTGAAACCCAGGTATATAGAACCGGCTATCATTGTTCAATGTTTTTACTGTTTGCCACAGAAAAGTAATGGTATTCATTGTTCGTTTGTAACAAGTTAATTATGACAACTGAAATAATTTACTTCTCCTTGTCTTCTGTATGGAAACTATTGAATTCGATTAGTTGAAAAAAATTAAAAATCGGTTGAGTTGTTGATTGAAATCATTAATTTGAAACTAGGATAACATTCAAATTTACCTTACTGTAATAAAAAATCACGGAACATCATGGACAAAAGTAGTATTCCTTTGCCTATACGGAACATACTATTTCTCATTTGAAGTTTTATGTTATAGAGAGCTTTTGTGTTCCGTGTCAAAAAAGATCAATTCGTTTTCGTGTTATCACCATCGACATAACCTCGAATTTCAACTATTGATGCATTTATGGTCAAAACTCTAAACCAATTATGAAAACAATACTGTTAGTATATCACTCGCTGGTTGTTAACAGCACGTTACGTTTCTCAGGTTGTAGTATTGTTTCCTAAAAATGTGAACACCTCTTGAAAAGTGGACATAAATTCTATCACTGTTTGCCACATAGACGTGAGATATGAACAACAAAAGGAATATCATCAAGTTAGCACTGAATAGCAGGATACTTTTGATAGTTATTCAGTATTTTAGCAACATTGTACTGCCTGATCACAATGCAGATGCTTTTCGATATGTAAAAACTAAAAATACAGAAGAAAATTTCCTGGATACAGCTGTACAGTACACTTTAGGAGGATTCGTGCGATGGGATGCCCACTATTTCATGCAAATTGCAAAACACGGATACGTTTATGAGAACAGTTTGGCTTTCTTTCCATTGCTTCCAATCACCGTTAGAGTTATCGGTTATGGGGTACACTATTTTCTTCCATTCTTAAGCATAGACAGTGTGCTATTACTAGTTTTCATCTACCTCAATATTGGTGTGTTTGTGCTCTCTGCCATTACTCTGTATAAAATTACCGTGTTAGTTTTTGATGAGACGGTGGCATTTAAAACAGTAGTGCTCTTTTGTTTCAACCCAGCATCGGTCTTTTTCATCGCCCCATACACCGAATGTCTATTTAGCTATCTCACGTTCCAGTCGATACTAGGTTGTTTGTTGCTGATGAAAAAGTACTCTGCCAAAGACAGTAGGTTTCACTACAGCGACACTTTCTGCTTGATTCCCATTAGTCTCAGCACCGTCGTACGTTCCAACGGAATCTTGAATATTTGCTTTTTTACCTATACTTGGGTGTGCATTTTCAGAAAATACGTTCCGCGTACAAACATTGTTCAGAAACTTAGATACTTGTTAAACCAATCCCTTGCGATTGGCGTTTCTTCAGCTATTTGCCTGCTGTTGTTCGTCCTGTTTCAAATATATTGTTTTGATGCTTTCTGCACTGATTACCGAGCCGATTTGCCACAGGAAGTCATCGATAAAGCTGTGAAATACAAGTTCGTGCTGCCAGGTGAGGTGTCAAAGCACCGCCAGAGCTGGTGCTTCCAGTACCCGCCTTTAGCCTACTCGTATGTGCAGGACCATTACTGGAAGGTGGGATTTCTGAGATATTACGAACTGAAGCAGCTACCAAACTTTTTTTTGGCAGCTCCAATACTCTACATTGTCATCAAAAACTGTGCAGCGCATGTGAGAAATGTTATGACTAGAAATATTGCGAACTTATTCAGCCTCGATGAAATATTTGTAAGGATGGATTTCGAAAAGAAAATTCTTCACAGAGGGCTGAATGTTTTTGTTGTACACGCTCTGTTTCTGTCCTTGTTCTCGCTGCTGTTCATCCATGTCCAAGTAGCAACGAGGATGCTGTGTTCAGCTTCTCCGATCTTTTACTGGTACTGCGTCAAGTATTTGAAAGACCACCAAAGGATCATCAAGATATATTTCGCTGGCTATTTCATACTCGGCACTATTTTTTTCTGTAACTTTTTACCTTGGACGTAATCAGAAAATTAAATAGTTAAGAGCAACAGTTTGTTTTTATTAGTCGCTAACATAGTAAATACAAAAAAGGCCCTCTCTCTCTCTCTCTCTCTCTCTCTCTCAACTTTTGAGCGAGACAAGACAAAGTCTCTCTCTCTCTAAGTTTCTTGACCTTTGCTTCCGTATGCAATTCTAAGTGAAAAAGCTCAATTTTGAGTCCTTTTCATTAGGAAAAACCATAGCTTAGGATCTCTCTCAGCTGAAAGGGCATACTTTGGTAGCTTTCTCAATTATATATCCAACACTGGGTTATTTTCGGATAGCAGGCTAGTAGCTTTTGTGTCATATTCTTTGTGAGAATGTGAAAAAGTTATGCACCATTCAATTCAGACAATAATGAATGTATCAAGAAGGAGTAGTAGAAAACCAAAAACTTTCTTCCCCAAAAAGTTTATCACTCCTAAAAATATAACCCTTTAATTTGAACAAGATTCTTTTGGCTGGGATTTAATCAAATAAGCAAATGAATGTAATCGATGACATGGGTGGATCGAAGTCATTCTCTGACATAAAGTCGTCATTTATGAATGAATTGTTTATTTTTTCTCATAATGTTATCCAAATTGGTACTAAGCCTTAAGGCAAGTGTCTTACGGCGAAACATCGATGTCTACCAGTGAGGATGACAGTGTTCGACGTAAGTGAAATTTTTACCTTTCATTTAGTATATTGTGTAGGAATCCTGTGAATGATATCTGATTTAATTCCACAAGGAATGTTTGGAATACAAACTGAGTAGAAAAACTGGTTTTTGTATAATTCAGTGTTCATATAAAACTATGTGTTCTGAATCTTTCCTGTAATTCAATGTTTATATGAAAGTAGCTGTTTCAGGAGGGTTTTTTCTTCCAGTTTGTGTCTGAAATTTACTTCATTGCATCCCAAAAATTAATCTTTTCTTCCAATTTAAAGTAAGACTAGGTTTGTTCACTAAATAATTCTAGTGCATTTGAATGTTTTCGCTTTGCCGACATTGTTATTAGCATTGTTCTGAAGAACTAAAAAAGCTATGCTTCCATAGCATTATTTCTTTTATTCCCTGTATTTTTGTCACAATTTGAATCGGTTCCACTTGAGGAAATTCAACTCAACATCCTGGGATTCCACAATTCAATGATTAAAAAGTTCTCAGCTATCTAGTTAATTATTTTTAATTGACAGTAGTGACGTTGCTCATCCATTATGGGTAGATTTCATATTAGTCTTTATATAATTAATTAAAATATAAAACGAGACAAATTTGTATTTTCCCATTCATTATAGTTGTAGATCACAACTTTCATTTTCCAAAGCTCTTTTAATAAGATATTAATGAATCATCAATGGATACAAAGCTGAATCCAGTTCTGTCTTTCCTTTACCTTGAGATTAACGGTCTGATTGTATACCTAAATTTAATAAATTTACAAAATAACTTCAGCAACATTTCGAAATGTATGAAAATTTGTTAACAGGTTTAATTATTGTCTGGAAATGGATGGTGAACATTTATTGAAAAAAACTTGAATTTTGAATGGAATTTGATTTTACCTTTGTATGTAAATCCACAAAGCAAATACAATACTTTTTTCCTCACAAATTAACCTTTTTTCTTTTGAAAAATTTTTGTAACGGAGCTGTTTTTCGCCAAATTTTCAACCTCAAATGTCAATTAAAAGTAAAATTGTACAAAATAATTATTAAGCAAGGCGAGTCACATGTATCCCAGTCATTTTTGTTATAAAAGAGAAATTTGACTTTTGTGGGGGAAGGGCAAAATTTCCAAACGAAGGGAGGCTGTGTTTTGACTTCAGAATTGTGTTCTGTTTAATATTTTATGTAATCACCGATTTGGGCAAACCAAATATTTACATCATTAACTTATTCTGAACAGGATGGATCAAATTTCATAAATTAGTGCTTCGCCATGTGCTTTCCAATGTAAATTCTACAAAAACTTTCTTTCTTACATAAGTTTTGCCCAGCCCAAAAGTTGTGATGTATGAGTAGATTTCATGTTGGCCTTGGATTAAAACACGAAATGAAACTACAAGTTAAAAATGTTGGTCATACCTTCTCGTTTCACCTATCCCGGTACGTATCATATAATTACATGAATAAGATAACACCGACACAATAATAATAATATACTATAAAAATGCTATGAATGATGAGGCTTCACGCTGTTCATCGTCTGGTGCTTTCGCCTTCCCCAGTAGCTCTCCAAATCAAACGGTTGGAAATCTTTCAGGTGTTGCGCGGTCTCGTCCTGGTAGTACATCACGGAATTCGGGTTTCGGTCCATCTCCACTTTGCTCCAAGACTCGTGAATGTATTTGATCAAATCGTCGTGCTGAGCGTGTGCCACCCTTTCGTTGGAGCCCGCTCTCGAAACGTTCGGGTGTGGAGGCCTGCGACTGTTGCCGTTCGTTTGAGAGATTCCCATTCGCGGGCCGCTAAAAATATTACGTTTCTGTGAAGGACTACATGAGGGATTTTAGTGTGCTATTTACAAAGTGATTAGTTTTCGTTATTAATACTTACCTCATTTCCTGCGAGTGAGGGTCGAAATCGATGGTATTCTTCGATGGATCGCGATTGTTGCAAAATCAGATCATTAATGTAGTAATTATTGGACGTTTGGAAAACTAAATATTTACAACTGCTTTCATTTCCTTAAAAGTGTCAACTGTTAACTTTTCGATATGTCGTTTGTCACTTCTTCTTCTCCTTTTTTTAGCATGAGCTACGGATGTTATTCAGTCTTGTTTTTCGATTACTGGTCAGTGAATGGGTAACGATTCATGTCACGGTACGCCACGTAAATAAATAACTTTAACATTTAGATGTGTAAATCTCTACTCCTTCCACTGCCAAAATAATTCACAAAATAAACATGAAATACTACTTTTTGAAGGATTTATTTTTAACAGAGTCAATTATCAATTGATTATTCATCATAAAACAATTTTATTTATTGAAATAATAATTGATAGTAAAGTAACACTCATTTTACGCACTTGATACAAAAATAACTATTGAATTATATCAACCAGGAATGTTTTTATTGGGAACATGTCACCATAATATATCACTTATAATCAAATTCTGCATTCTTCTCAGACGTTATGAGTTTTGAATAGTAGAGAACCTCCATTAGTTCGACCCAATTCAAATTGTTCAAAGGTTTATTTGGAATATTCATCGATGGTAAACTTTATTTTTGAATCACTACAAGTTGTTCTGTGATGGTGATAGGTTTTTTATATTCTGATTTTTCATGGTATCGTATCCCAATTCGGAATTTTTAAATCAACCTCTTAAACTTCACAAGTTCATGCAACAGTGAATAAGTGTATCATCATATTTGTTTAACAAACGAACTAACCTAACAAAGTTAATGACGGCTCGGTCGATAAATGAATAGTTGTGTTCGTTCAATGCAATCCTAGCGCTCGAATGAGTTGCTTCGCTCGGCTTGCGTTCAATAATGCAGATCTTTTGTCTCAGTTACATCTCTTCTGTGTTCGGTATTTACATGAGCGAGAAAAAACTTGTGATCGATAAGTTTCAAGATCAACGTTCGGATAAAATCGAGAGTTCATTAAATATATTTCGTTCCGCTAACGTAATCACGTTGTATCAAATCTGCATTTGCTAGCTCGGCTCCAAATTGTTAAAACTGATGTTACCTACTGACAGAGTGACAGAAACATAGACATAACAATGGACACATAATGGTATGGACCTCAGAGTGTATGGACTGTCTGTAACATCACTATTACATATTATATTCTATCTGCGGATCACACACATCTTGTCCACTGCGTCACAGCACCATGTAATACGTCATCTTCATCTTTTTTTAGTTGTTGGAGTTGATGTTCTCTCTTGAATGGTCAGTCCTTATTATGACGTCACTGCAATAGGGGAATAGACAGAGACAGACAGTATTTTTAACCTAACCTGAAATTTAAATGTCAGATTTAGGTAATATGAAAATAAATCAACGAATTATTAATTTGAAAAGAACAGATTTCCGCGAAATCTAGGTTTCATCCATCGTAAGTGGAAATTAAATAAATATACTTCTCCTGACTCATAAATTGACTATTTCAGCAAAAACCCTATCGAACTTAACAAACCAAATCCCTGCTGAGTATGATTTGAATCTCGTCAACCATGGACAACCCCGCTTATATATTCGGACGCGAAAACCAAAACGTAGACTACTTCAACAATCCTGACTTGATAAGGAGGCTACCTGTCCACGATGATAATTTCCGAATGCCCGAAAGATTCGTCCCTTACACGCTAGACGAGGATCCCAAAGTGAAGAGATTCATAGGCTCTGGAATAACGTTCATCAGCCTGGTGGCCGAGAATCTACTGAGCCACCCTTTCGTGGTGTTGCGAAGACAATGCCAGGTCCATCACACTTCCCGCAGGTACCACCTGCAGCCCTTTACGCTGGTACCCGTGGTTTGGCGCTTGTACCAGCACCAAGGCTTGACGGCCATGTGGAAAGGCGTGGGATCTGTCTTGGTGGTTAGAGGTATGACCTTAGGGGTGGAGGACCTCATCTCTAAGTTCACCCCCTTGCCCAAGGAAATCAGCTGGCATAGCAGTTTGAAGCAGTTTTTTCAGCATATTGTATTGAAATGCGCTAGTCTAGCGATAGTCACCCCGTTTTACTCAGCTTCTTTCGTGGAAACGGTTCAAAGCGAGATCGCCAGCGAGAAACCTGGCATTGTGGACGTGTTTAAGGAAGGTATGATGCGCCTCATGCACTGGGGCTCTCCGACTAATGGTAGGATGCTCCCGGTGTGGGCTCTGATTGTACCGACGGTAGCCCTAGGTCTGGCACGCTACTTGCTGTCCATGCTGGTGAAGGGGGTGACTTCCAGAATACTAGTGGATCGAACGCAGAGGAAATACGAACGAAAGGGGGCGTTGCTGAAGGATAACAGTTCCGATTTGCAGAACATCGAGGTGATTTCTTCAATTTTCGCTGCTATATCGAGCGACATTATCTTGTATCCGTGTGAGACCGTAATACACAGGATACACCTACAGGGTACTCGCACCATTGTAGACAACTTGGACAGTGGAAGATCGGTTTTGCCAATATTGACGAACTACACAGGTGCCTCGGACTGCTACGAGAGCTGTTTGCTCAACGAGGGGGTTTGCGGGCTGTACAAAGGCTTTGGGGCCCTTATCCTGCAGTACGTTGCTCACATAGCGCTTATTAAAATCAGCCATTTTCTGTTGACGGAGATCGGGGGCTGGTTGGGGGGCAACGAAATTAAGCCTGCGGTTAAAGTTTCGCCACCGGCTGTATCAAGTGTTACCAGTATTCGAAGTTCGTATCTATTGCCATAACTGTAGAAGGAGCTGTAAAAGGATAAGAAATATTTCAAAATATTCAAAACTCGTAATGTTAAGTTGAAATAGTTCTAGTCAGTGGTTTCTAAAGGATTATCTTGATCTTTGAAACAAAACTGGATTTTTGGGGATAAATATGTTTGTTTCTACTTAATATTAATTCCAAAACATTTAGTTTTATGAAAGGTTATTTGAAGTTATTGTTTTATTGTTTACCATTTTAATTATTATATTGGATAGCAAATTAAATGATGGACATAACCATGTATTTTATTGCCTAAAATAAATTTTTAACTCTTTGAAGTCGAATGTAATCAAACATGTTTTTGATAAAGCTGTTGAAAAACGGTGAAGATAAGAATGTGTGAGAAGCTATTCACATCTGAGAAAGTACACTGAGAAAATAATTTGTTTCTTCAACACCTTTGTACACCTGCCATCTTTCTGGCTTTGTGAAATAAGCGAAACCTGCCAATTTTCCAGGTCGTTTGAAGGAGTGAAAGTAGGATGGAAATATTTTGAGTTTTGCATCATAAAAAATGACTACACCTACAATATTGAAACATATTACTTTGATCAAAATTGAGATGTGTTATTTCTTGGTACCGACTCAACAAGATAAATATCACGACCGAGTTTCCCAGGCCATCCAAGAGGTAGAAATGGGGTGAAATTTTTTTGAAAATTCGTATCAAAAGTTGACCTTCTACGGCTACAAGATTTATATTATATGTTATTTCTAGTGATCCGCGGAACAAGATGATTCCCATCACCCGCCGTTACATCGGGTGTTCCACAAGGTTCACATTTGGGACCACTGTTGTTTAACCATTTTATCAACGATCTAATTAGCTGTTTCCATGAAAACAAAGCTTTGCTATTTACCGACGATTTAAAATGTTTTAAAGTAATTAAAAGTGAAGCTGATACATTGTGTCTACATAACAATATAGATTGCCTATCCAACTGGTGTTCGTAAAATGGTATGTGTTTGAATACATCCAAATGCCAAATTCTTCACTTTCATCGAACACATCATCCAATCATTTTTGAATATAGTATAAATAATCGGACCTTACATTCTGCTACTGAAACCAAAGATCTAGGTGTGATCCAAGACTCCACACTTAGCTATAAATCACACATTTCCGCTGTGATTCAAAAATCTATGAAAATGCTTGGCTTTATAAAGAGAACCACTCGTGTTTTCACCAACATCACTGCTATCAAATCTCTTTATATCTCCCTGGTTAGATCTCATCTCGATTATTTTTCCACAGTTTGGTCCCTTCACAACGTTACACAGAAAAAGAAACTCGAGGCCGTACAGCACAATTTCCTGCGATATATTGCCTTCAAGATGCGTGTATACTATGACTAAACTGCATTGGAATGCATTCTGAACATACCTTCTCTTGAGACTCGCAGAAAACATAGAGATTTAATACTTCTATTCAAAATTATCAACGGACTGAGTATCAGTCCCGAGCTTCTCTCCAAAATATCTTTACATGTCCCCAGTTATTCAACTAGAAAGGTGCAAACGTTTTACCTTTCTTTTCACTGATTCAATTATTCATATAACAGCTTTATTCCCCGAACTCTTAGATTGGCTAACTCTTTAAACAACCTTCAAATCTTTAATATATCAGTATCCCGCTTTAAAAACCATATTCTTCACTTAACCATCTAATACTCTCTGCTTGTGTTGTTGTATTGTGTCTAGTATTACTTGCCTGTAAGAATTATATTAGTTCATTTTGTTATACATTTTAACTTTTTCTTAATAATTTATTTGCTATCTTACTTCGGAATTGTATTATTGTTATAACTTACTTTTAATCCACTGTATTGTATCAAGTACTATAAGCACTGTACTACTTATATCTGAATTGGGCTTGCCCGTGTATATATAAATAATTTCTGAATGTTCAGTATGATGAATAAAACCTAATTTCTAAAACTTCCTCAGACTGTTTCTAATACCGAAAATGATGAAAGACAAATCTCACTAAGTAGAACTATTCAGATTATAAAATTGTTTTTTGTACCCTAATTACAACTTCTTTAATCTTCAAGAAATAATTACCTACATATTATCTATTCCTCATATTAATTATTCCATAACAATGAATACAATAATCTTCCAGCTAGAGTTCATGTACTTTTTTATAACTTTTGAAAGTGAACTGATGTTACTGGATTTCGTGCAAAATTTACCATTTCCAGAGTCAAGAAAACTACTTCAAGATGATAATATCCTAATGAAATTGACTGAAATATTTTATATGAGCAGGACAGATCCGCAGCACATTTGGTATTGAAACTGAAAACCATCTCCAAAAAGTTCTTCCTGATTTGGTGGATTGGTAGACACGGTGAAATGGAGTTACCTGTACGTTCTCCAGATTCAATACTGCTTGACTATTTCACGGGGTTCCTTGAAATCAAAGGTTTTATGTAATGAAAAAAAAACATCCACGGTTTAACAGATGGAATAAAACAAGAAATTAATGATCGTGAAGGAAGGTAGGCCTAGTTTAAACATTCGATTCAAAATATTTAGAGGAATTCTGCTTACCTTGTGGCGGGTACATAATTATGCTTCAATGCTTTTTGACACGTTGACGTGTTTTGGGAATATTCACTAATATTTAGCTATTAATGAATTTGTGTTAATTTGAAAAAGTGCTGTGTAGAATAAAAACTATTTTATTATTTCCATGTTCCAGTTCAGTTGATTGGTTTTTATTTTTATTTTGCTCTCATAAGCATTAAACATAGACGCCATCTATGGGATGGACAGATAACTCAATGCTCGAATGTCAAGGGTAAACGAGGCTCCGAAAGGCGGTCAGTTGCAAAGCCATTCAGTTGCAAAGCCATTCAAAAATTGAAATATTATGGCATAAGAGGCACTGCTCTTGATCTGGTAGGGTATCATCTTTAAAATAGGTATCAGTGTGTCGACGTCAACAATATCAAGTCAGATTTAAAGCCAATTTGTCGTGGCATTCCTCAGGGTTCTGTCCTCGGCCCGTTATTAATCATCATTTATATAAATGACTTTATTTATGTAGCTTTATTTCACCAACTAGTACATAGGTACCAGTTTACCTCAAATGATGGACAAAAATAAAAACTTATGAAACACTTGGTTCACAGCGAATAAACTGAAACAGAACGATAAAAAACCCAGAATATTGTGATATCCTCAAACATCAGTGGTACTCTAGGAGACAGTGTTAAGTTTCTTGGCATTCATATTGATGCTAGACTTAGTTGGTCCAGCCATATTGAAGCAAATACTTGTAAGTTGTCTAGTGTTTTATTTGTTCTTAGACAGTTGAGAAATGTTGTAGGTTGGATGACACTGAAGATAGCATATCATTCACTATTCCACGCAGTTATTCCATATGGAGTCTTGATTTGGGGACATTCCACAAACTCAATGACAATTTTCAGATGTCAGACAAAAGCCATGAGAATTATGGCAAACGTAGGATATAGGGAACACTGTCGCCCTCTTTTTATTCAATTTGAAATCATGCCACTTCCTACATTATAAATTTATGTTGTGTTGTTGGAGATTCGCAAGAATATTGAGATGTTTCCAAAACACTCTCACAATCATGATTATTCAACAAGATCCACATGTTCATTAAATAATACATAAGACAGGTTAGCAGTTAGTCAAAAAAACTCCCTAAATTTGAATTTTTACAACTGTTTTCATCTCTCAGTTAAATCTTTGGATTTCAGAAATTTCAAAAATAATATCAAGAGATATCTTCCCAACCACTGTTTCTACACAATCGAAGAATATGCTGCTGTAGCTGGTCAATTCATAGTTCTTGAAAAAAAATTTATTTTGTAGAGCTGTGATAAAGCCTGTTCTTATGTTTGTTGACCTTTTTATATTGATATTTTCATTTTATTACCATTCATGTGACACTGTGATGATTTTAAGGAATTTTGATATGCCAAGTTTATTTATTTATAAAATTTATTACTTTAATCTAGAGATGTTGTTGCTCATTTTAAGTGTCTGACATAGTACCTATAGTATTTAGTATACATGACTTGCGATAAATGTTTTTTGTGTATAAAGTGGTCAAATAAAATACTGTACTCTACTCATTTGTGGTTCAGCCTAGCACCACTGATGAGACCTATGGCGGGTCGAAACAGAGCTTTATGGTACTCAATCACAAATGCGTTGTGTTTAGCTTCTGCTTATTACAATCATAAGCATTAGTTTAAAAATGTTGTAGATATTCCAAACGTGTTTAAAGTGACTGGCTCATTTTTGAAAATAGAAGGGAAAGAAAACACAAAGTAACTATCACCTTAATTTATTTCGTTACACCAAACTGTATATCAATGAACGCTACAAAATAAATAAATATTTCTCTCACTTTTCACATATCTACAGTCATGTCACCTTCCACAACCCTTGGCGAGGCAATTGAATCGTTAGAAATATTTCTAGTACACAACTATAGATACATTCATGCCCTAAATTTAAAAGTATTCAATTACATACTTATGTGAATACATAATCGGATTCCACTGTCAGATCCCATGGCATCTCGAACATGTCCGCTGGTAAATTTACACAGTGTGAGGATTTAAAGTCTTTCATGTACTTTTTGGCCTGGAACAGAAAAATCGGTTTCACAATCACTTCTATGTTAAAAACAATAAAAGCGATACAACTTCTTCGAGATATTCTGAATGCCCTTAAAAACTATCATCTTCCTCACCAAGAATAACCCCATTCGATTCCTTTCTTGCAAGCTGAAAGTCTCTCCGATCTTCATGGGATACTCCTTGGAATGCTCAGAGATGTACGACTGCAGCAACGAAGTGCACAAGTTATCATCCACAGAGTGTTTGATCAAGAAGTCCTCTGAAAAATAATCCAGGAATGATTGCTGTTGAACTACGTATCAAGATCAATTGAGAGAATACCTTGTGCTCTATGGGAGATCTCCAAATATTTGAAAATCGGGTGGTTCGAAGATTCAAAAACATACGGATATCTAAGGCGAAGCAATTTGTACAGGAGATCATTGGCTCTGTTTGAAGAAATGTCTCCTTCTCTGTAAAAAACCAAACCATTGTTCAGTTACAGTTCCATGGAATTCAAATTGAGTTGGTGTAGTCCAAAGGTCCCGTTTGGGTCCCTTTGCTCTTTACAAAGCAGTAAAGCTACCAACCTTAGGCAAATCACTTCGTCTTCGGTACGCCTGATCAACAAAACCGGTCCTGAATATTTAGACAGTTGCTCAAACACGTCCAGATTCACGTGGCTCCTGATAGCGAAGTATACAATGTTTCCCCACCAATTTGGCATGTGATTCTGAGCTAAGGGCAAGAGGTCGTCGAAGGTCGCGTCTAAAACCTATAAAACACACTCGTCAATCGGTTTGAACTTTTTAGTGAATAAAATATAAGTGAGGACACTCACGACACCCTTTATGTTGGGGTAATGATTTGCGGCCCACGACGCAGAGTACCCCCCGATGCTCCAACCATAAATTAGGATGTTTTCCTCTTTGAATCCTAGTTTGTTTATCGCGAAGCTCATGACAGCATCAATAGCGTTGTGTTCTTGTCGTGGAAAAGGTATCCCCTGAAAATATGTTGCATTCGAATACAAAAAAAAACAAATGATGAGTGAATCTGGGATCACAAAAAACCTCAGCTCTTACCGTGCTACATCCGAACCCGGGATGGTTCCAGCCCAGTACTGAATAACCGGCTTCCAATGGAGTTACAGCCAGACCTATCTCATAGAAGCCTGCATTACCTTCGCAACAAATAACCAGCGTGTTGCCGTTAGGAGCAGCGTTTCTCTTGTCCATGAACATTGTATCAATGAAGTTATTATCTGCCGTCTCCACCTTGAAGCGCTCCCCCCTGTATTCTAACACGAGCCTACCTCTGCCTTGTAACAAGCTCTGGTCTAGAAGATCGAAACAGGTGGAATCAAAAGGAGTCGAAATTTTTTTAGGGGGATAAAAACTCACCCAGTATCATTTGAAGAATTCCCAAGCTACCAGGATAAATCAATCTTATTCCAAAAGTGTGAATAGCTGCATAAGCTATGGCTTTCAGAGGAAGCTCGGCGACAAAATTGGTCAAACTGTGAGAAGTCCATTTTTTCTCCAAGCTCAGTTGCGTACGACTGAAAAATGAGATACAAGAATACTTTAACGTCTGAAGATACAGCTACTTCTTCTTCTTCATCTTATCTGTTTTGTTTGCATTATTTTTCTCATCTGTCATTCTTGCCAAAAGTTATTTGCTCTCTCTGCTTGATCATTGTCATCAAAAGTGACTTTTGATGAGAATGACCCAATCCGAATGTCTAGAAAATGTTATATACAAACGTGCCAAAATACCTGTTATCTTCTGTACATTTGAATTCGACAGGCCAAGCTTTGAACTCAAAGTCGTACATATTCAGCTTTCGTTTTGTCACTGGAGTTAGATTTTTCTCAGCTTCTCGCAATGAATTGAGAAATTCGCAATAATCATCTTTTTGCAGCCTCCTCATAGCTCGGACGATAAAAGAAGCTACGATTATTATCCCAAAGCTGGTCACTAGTTTCGATAGGATCATTAGCCTGTCATGCTCAAAGTAACCGCGTTGATATAAGATTCCGATCCAAACTGGCGAAGTGTAGAGCCCAATTTTCCATAATACAGGCAGCTGAAAATTGAAAGTTGATATACACGAAAAAAATGCATTTGTATGTTATATTACGGATCTTATCACTCGATCACTCCATTTCTCCAAAGTATCTGGTTGGTAGAATGTCTGGAAAAAGATAGCCTCAATGGTTTTGCTTATTTTCAAACATTAATGCTCACCTCGCCTCTGGGGCTGTAAATTTTTATTAATCTCGGCGTAAACATAATTTCCCAAATCATTTTGAAGGGAGTCATGTCTCAAGTACTAGGTATTTTGAATTTGTGGTACCACTAATTTTGAAGTGGGGCACTACACTTCGATCGAAATAACTGCGGAACCGAAAAAACAGTTCCGAGTTCGGTAAGTTACTTATTAACAATGTACATGAATAAGTAGTTTATTCATGAATATCTCTAATAATTGCTTTGAATCAATTATTGCAAATAAAAAGTGATATTCAATTGTTGACATTCAAAGAACACGGACTCACAAATCACAAAAACATCATGTCATATGTCCTCATAGAGAAAACATACATATGTCATATGTCGGATCATCAAACTCTGTTGTGTCACGGATCACGTTTTGCAATTGCCATTTCACAGTGCATCAGTGAGGTCTTTGTATATAGACTAGTCTATATACAAAGGTGAGGTCACTTAAACTTTGAATGCTGCTTTTTGTAGTACATTTTTACTGTTTCGTGTTTTCAGTAAAATTCACACTAATGGTGTTTATCTAGTATAATTTGATGAATTTTTGCAGTTTCTTATTCAGAAAGACGACAGAAAAGTAAACACGTTCTTTTATAGTTTGAACGTCAGGCTTGAATCCGAAACAAGCACTTTTCTCAAAAGTGTTTCCTTCATCTTCTGAAGAAGCCAACACGGTTAATAAAAAGCGGTTCTGGTGTTTAGAAACGGTTTTTGTTTTGGATTATTCTACGCCAGAGGTTGAAGGCTCATTATAACGATTGCTTTCAGAAACCGTAATGATTTGCTGTACTACTGTATGTTACATCATTTATGTACTTCATTCGATGAGGATACTCATCGTTCTCAACATGTGTGGTGACGTGAAGAGAACGATTCTTTACAAAATAATATTCTTGAAACATTCGCAAATCTGCCATTTGATTATTGCTTATAACGAGTAGGTTAAGGTTGATATTTGAATGTCTGCTGCATGAACTCAATAATACAGGATTTACACTTACACTTATAAATTTAGAAAAGCGTCTGTAGACAGCAAGTTCCTAGCACGTATACTTCGTACTCGACACAATAGATGTCAGCTCGTTACATTTATCGCAGATTCATTTAGTATTTAGTTAATGAAACAATTATACAGTTATGGTTGTGAATTCACAGTAACAAGTGAGAATTGTTAGAGAATGATACTATGATTTTTGTGACCCTTTTACGATTTCGTAGAAGCACATACCATATGTTTATATTTGAGGAAAGATTATTTTCTATCCATCAATATCTGTACAAAGTTGGGTCAATATCATTTCATGCTCGGAATTTTTGACAAAACGAAAGCAAATAGGTTTAAATATCAGTGTTTCTATTCATCTTTCTGACGGCATTACTTTTCTCGATACCAACTTCCTGATTCAATAAAAAGAAGAAGAGACATACGAGTAGTCGAACACGAGCGTAAAGCATGAACATGGATTGTGGTTATGGCTATAATGTTTTAAATTATGAACGTACTAAAATGTTTGAAATTTAATTTGAAATTCCTGAGAAACAAGACGTTCATCAATAAACATGCATTGAAAAACACGTTGAGAAAATTTAACGACGTTGCTACGGACGATATACCAGAAGTATCAACGGTTTCCATCAAGAAAGCTTTGAAATTCAACGGAGTCAGTTATGAAGATGGTTACACCTGTTTCATTGCGTCTTGCACGTTATGCCATAAACATGATAAAACGGTGAAATCGTCGAAACTTTACATTAACAAAACCACTGGTATATTTTTGTGATATATTTGAAATGGGGGGTTAACGCTATTTCTTCTAGGAATGTTCATGTGCTCTAATTGCAAGAAATCGGGACCATGGACTACTTATGAATCAACGCTCAGTATTAAAAAAAGTAAAAAAGGCAGGTTAAAAGTCGATGAGGAAACTATTTCTGAAACGGAGAAACTCAGAATAGCTCTCGAGGAAATCAGAAATTCTACAAATGAATTGAAATTATTGGAGGAAGAGCAATTACAGTCTGTTTTGAAGAAATTCAAGTTACCTGTAAGATTTTTTTTGTTGTCTGTAAATGCCTTGGTAATTCCTAACGATTTCATGGAAAACACTTGTTCTCATTCAGTTTGTACTCCAAAAATTCGTTATGGATATCGTTCAAAATAATATATGAAAGAGTAGGTACTGATATAAAAACATCATTATATATCAAATGTACTACAATACCTGCCTAAACAGTAATATTAAACTTCCTCTTCCTTCTAAAACTTTGATTAAAAATCATTTATTTATAATGGCTGTAAGATATACAATCACCCACCTGTCAGAATCAAGAACATAGAATCCCTTATTGACTTTAAAAAGCAGTGAAGAACCTTTTGGTGGAGAAAGCTTATCATATGGGTTTTGATTTTGTAATTAAGATTTTTATACATTTTTTAGACTTATATATAATTATTTGTGGTCGTATTGTATCATTGTATAATATTTCATTGTATTGTGTAATATTTTATAATCATTGTATAATATTTCATTGTGTTGTGTAATATTTTATAATCATTGTATAATATTTTTAGTGAACTGAATATAATTATTGTTTTTAGGTGATTTCAAACTCAACTTTTGAATCTCTAGATGTAAGGATAGACGAGAAACAGACTTCTTTATATTTCCCACTGGAAAATGTAGAATCTGAAATAGTGGGTTATAGAAAAGTTCACAGTCGTTTAAATGAGGATATTGTCATTCCTGACCCTACGTACGGGGGTTTGCTAACTGGAAAAGCCCCTAAAAACAAAGATTTAGCCATTCTAGTGCCCAACGTCTCTGACTTCCTCGTGCTTGTCAATTCCAAAGTTAATGCCAATATTGTCTGTTTACCTAATGGAGTAAATAATTTATCGCAGTATGTCTTGCCCAGTTTGGAGAGGTTCAAAAAGTTGGTTCTGTGGTTTGCGTCGGACACCAAATCTTGGCAAGCCACTCGGTCTTTTGTGAAGAAGCTGGGTGAAAAACGATGTCAACGTGTGAGGTAAGTCTGGTGTGTAATGAAAAAATATAATTTTTCAATAAATTGATAAAAGATGGAAAGGATATGCTTCATTGCTGAAATAGTAATATAGTTGGCAAAGTCAACACAATTACATCAATAGTCTTTCTATACATTCCATTGTAAAACATACATCCCTTATAAAAGGGTCCTTCTAATACAAATAAGTGTCCTGCTTATCTTTTAAAAAAAATCTAGTGTCGTTTGTCAACAGAAACCTGTTTTCTCTTTATTTCTATGAAAAGCAACCCTCCTCAGAACAATCTATTTTTGAGAATAATTCAGCACTTGTGAAGAAAAACTTGATTTTCTATTACTGTATATATTTTTAGACCAGCCGATAAATACCAGCTTCCGCATTTAAATACTAACCAAGATTTCAAAACTATCATCAACACAGCTCAGCCGTTATGGCATAAATCCATCACCACTTTTGCTTCATTGAGAGCAGACGTTCTTTCAGATCTCCAAAATATTGATAAGGTAAATCTCAATAAATATTCTTATTAAAAAAACATTATTTCAAAATATCAGAGTCTGTTTATTCTATCCCATCATAAGAAATGATTCTATTGGAGTACTTGTATTATGTTTTGTTTTTTTTATTATTACTCAAGTTTTGCAGCCATGTTCTTAGGTTCAAGGTGTGAAATGGAAGCGTTTTCCAGCACTGAATAAATCTCTGAAGGGCCACAGAAGCGGCGAACTGACTGTGTTAACGGGCCCCACGGGTAGCGGGAAGACTACATTCATCAGTGAATATTCCTTAGATCTGGCGATGCAAGGGGTGAGACTCGTAGTTCCTCTACAGTTGAGTTGTTTACCTAAGTTGTGCATTTTGTTCACTAGGTCAATACTCTGTGGGGTAGCTTCGAAATCAGGAATGCTAGACTGGCCAAGACCATGTTGCAGCAGTTGTCGGGAATCCCTCTAGACCAGAACTTGAACTTATTCGACATTTGGGCTGACGAATTTGAGAAGTTACCCATCTATTTCATGACGTTCCATGGTCACCAGAGCATCAAAGTCGTGATGGAGGTGAGTTATTGTCCACATGATTACCTAATGATAATATGTTTTCATATCCAATGAATCGTCCAGTGGATCTTTATAAGAGGAAATTCTTTTCAAATCAAATCAAAGTATGCTTCATTACCTAAGATTTGAAAATCTTATTGGCAGTCTAGTAAAGTTAAACATGTATATGGGACATTAAATTAATAAATACAAGCTATAAAATAATGCTTAGAGACAAGAACAGCGTATATGGACAGAACAATATTGAGCCCAGCTCACCAGATACAAATACAAGTATATGAATATTCAGTAAATGTAAATATATAATGCTACATTTAGAGCATTAGTATGGAGAACGATATAATTTCATGACATGGAATTTGAATTGAGATAATGACTTCACTGAACTACCAACTAGTAACCAAAAATGTTGATTCAGCACTATAATCTTTTGGATATTGTCAAAGATTAATAAAAGTAAAACATATAATGAGTGAATAAAAGATAAAATTCAACTATATTGGAATCAGCATTTCAGAAAATGGTTATTTTTTCAGTACATGCTTGAATCTTCTCTCTTCTTCAGTAACTGTTTGTGGCTGTTGTTGAACTGCTCGAACATTCTTTATCATGGCCATGTCCTTTGCAGCTTTCAATTTTTCCGTTATTTTCGATTATACAGTGTGTCCGCAAAGTTTGGAATAAATTCGATATTTCCAAAACCAAAGGTCGTTTTACAAAAACTTGAAACACGTCGATTTTTAATTTCAATATTCTACATTTTACAACAAAATTTCATTATACAGGTTGATTCATACAGTTGAAAATACACGCAAATCAGGTCGTTCTTCTGTAAATGATGATATAAAACTAGATGTTCTACTTGCTTTTGAAGAAGATGTGCACACTTCTGTTCGTAAGGTTAGTTGTGATTTCGATGTCAGTAAAACAACTGTACACAAAGTATTAAAATTGGAAAAATGGCATCCCTTTAAAATCGAACCTCTACAGGAATCAAACGAGGATGATCCAGATAGAAGAATAGAATTTTGTGAAGCCATAATGGATAACTTTCACCGAGACCGTCTCCTTGTAAAAAATATAATTTCTTTCTAATGAAGCCACTTTTACATTAAATGGTGGGGTCAACCGTCAGAATTGTAGGTACTCGGCCAAAAAAAACCACTAGATGCGTGAGCATTATACACAATACCCGCAAAAGGTAAATGTATGGGCTGGCATTGTAAGAAACAGAGTCATTGGACCCTACTTTTTCGACGGTACTTTAGACGGGCCAACATACCTTCAGTTTTAAAGGGGATATCTTGTACCTACTTTAATTAATTCATTCCCCAATAGAATTAATCCTGGAAGTTTCGATGAAAGTTTATGGTTACAACAGGATGGTGCGCCTCCACATTATGCTGCAGATGTTCGAAGGTATCTCGACCAAATGTTTACGACCGATGGATTGGTAGACGTGGACATATTGAATGCCCAGCGAGGTCGCCAGATTTATATCCGTTGGATTACTTTATGTGGGGCCATCTGAAGAATGTTGTTCATAAAACGAAACCAGCAAATATTCAAGAATTGAAAGAGAGAATTCGAACAATATTTCTCAAGAAACCGTAAACAAGGTTCAACAAGAATTTATCCAACTTTTAGGTTACTGTCAAATACAGCAAGGACTACAGTTCGAACATTTAAAATAAAGTCATGTATTTATTACTGGATTACTTTCCCATTGTTAAATTATTAGAATCATTAGAAAAAAATATATAATGATTAATTGATTTCTACTTTTATTAGATATAAATAAAATTCATTTTCTAAGGGTACATCTTTCAAATTCTGCTCGTTAGACCCCAAGTATCATACCTTTTCGGAATCAGCTCGTTACGGATTATCTGACACCAAATACAGGGTGTTGCATTTAAAAAAATTTCCGATGACGTCATCACATTTATATGGATCATCCTGTATAATGAACTTTTGTTGTAAAAAGTAGAATATTAAAATTGAAAATCGACATGTTTCAGGTTTTTGTAAAACGACCTTTGGTTTTGGAAATATAGAATTTATTCCATACTTTGAGGACACACTGTATGGTAATGACAACAGTTAAAATCAAAATGAATCTTATTAGAAACACTATTTTTTCATATTAATTCTTACATGCAGGCGGTAGAACATGCCACATATGTGTACGACATCTCGCACGTGATCATCGACAATCTGCAGTTCATGATGGGCACTTCGGAGGAGCAGAAATACATGGACCGGTTCTGGAAACAGGACGCGATCATCGGCGCGTTTCGAGAGTTCGCGACCAAGAAGAACTGTCACGTGACGCTCGTCATCCATCCGAGGAAGGAACGAGACGATGAGGACCTGACGACGAGTTCGATCTTTGGCGGAGCGAAAGCATCCCAGGAAGCGGACAACATACTGATAATACAAGACAAGAGGCTGACTGCTGTCAGAGGAAAAAAATATCTGCAGGTGAGAGTAGTTTCTTTTATGTTCTCTTTTTTTTAATGGCAAAACACAAGCGCTACAGGAAAATCCTCAAGGCACTCTAAGTCCCTTTTTAATTTCTCATCCTTCTTATTAGGTGCTCTTTCTTTTCATATTCCCGTTTATTATCCATTTCTTTTCTGTGTGTACATTTTTTTTTTCAAAATCTTCAATTATCTCCCTTTTTTCACTTCTACTTTACCTGGTTGTTTTTGTATTTTTATTTCGCCCAGTTCATTTTTTATTTCTATTCTTTTTCATTAGCTACCTCTTTCAGATTGGTTTCTGTCTGTTACTCCTCTGCTTTTTTTTCATCCCCTTTTCTGTTCTTGTTTCTCTTCATTTAACTTATTTATATTTTTCTTCCTTTTGCGTCTTGGTTTTTTAATTCTTATCACTAATTCTGTTGTCTTCACCGTTCATTTATCTCTTGTTATATGGGAATACCCGATTTTTTTCTAAGCTGCATGTATTTTTCTTCATTATTTTTTCATTTTCTTGATATTTTCACTTCATTCCCCCACATTAATTTCCAACTCCTTTTTTGTCTTTTTCTTTTATTTTTCTCGTATTTTTGTGTGCCATTTTTCTCCTTTGTTCCAATCCTTTTCATTCATGACACTCCTTTCACAATTTTCAGCTTCCTTGGGTTTGCCAAAGTCTACTTTTTTTTCATTCTCCTCAAACCATGTTTCATTCTCAAAACTTTTATCTTATATTTATATAATGCATCTTTTAGGTAGTGAAAAACAGATATAGCGGAGATCTGGGAATAATGCCCTTAGATTTCGACAAAAACAGTTTGAGTTATCAGCAAAAAAAGGCCAAAGAGAAGAAATCAGAAACCCATCTATCAGCAGAACAAACATCAGAATCTAAAGGTGATAATTCCGCATCAAATGTGTGAATTCTGTAGTTAGTTTTTGTTGATATATTATATTTTTTTACATACCACTATTAAATTTGTTTCGCATAACTTTGGAGGTTTCATTTAAATATTTCCTAGATCCTATCTGCTAAGCAACTCTTGAAATTTGCGAAAAGATGGTGATTTTGAAGCTGACTGTGCTGCCATCTAGTATACAGTACCTGAAGTTTGTAAGTTAAACTATTCATCAATAGATGTCAATAAAATATAAAAATTGACTTTGGCGCCATCTAGTATACAAAACCTGAAAGTATATTTATATAGTAGTTCCGGTATTAACTTATAGATGGTGGTATATTACTTAATCCTACTTAACCGCCATCTAGTACCTAATAGCTGAAACTGACGAGCAACACGATGTTGATATTCTCCAATAGATGGCAGTGTGCCATCTTAGTGTCTGGAGTCATTGTCTAGAGATTTATAAATCTCAATGCTGGAGGCGTTCGGCTAATTGACCCACCCTCCTTCCCATCTCAGCGTAACTAGCTATATCATTTCAAAGGAAGAGTTTGACTGCAACATGCAAGTGGTCCCCTCTGTCGATATAAAAAAAGTTATGTATTTCAAGACAAACATATCGATTGAAAATTTTAGTTGTTCTCAATTACTATCAGTTTTCAAACAGTTTCTCAGATGGCAGCACTTCTATACCACAATGTATTCCTCAGTATGATATTATAAAATATGAGCCACTATCAGGGTAACCAGTGACTCAAAGTATAAGGTGGGGGGTGATGTCAATGTTTTTTCAAAATTTTGAACAAAAAGAAATTTCTACAAGAAACAATCCTTTCAAAACTAATATTTTCCAAACATCAAGACAGTTGGTGTCTGTGGTCGTTCGGCTGTAGACCCTCCCACCTTCCCATCTTAGCGTAACTGGCTATATCATATCAAAGGAAGAGTTTAACTGCAACATGCAAGTGGCGCCCTCTGTTGTTTTCATAAATAATTTGTCGTTTTACATTCTCGGCAAAAATATTAGAATTGTTCCCAAAAATTTCAGTTGAACGCTCTCATTTACTTTAGTTCCAAAATATTCTATTATCTCGGTATGAGATTATGAAATATAAGGCACTAACAGAAAGTCGGTGACTCACATGGGATGGAGGCATTGTCTATAATGATGGAGGGTCATTAAATTCTTTCACAAAAATGAGAAGTCTTTCGATGTTGCTATTCGCCAATAGATGGCAGTGTGCCTTAAAGTGCCCTCTAGTATACAATACCTGAAGCTGCTCTTATGTTAGTTCAGCTATTGAAAAATAGATGGCGTGATCAAGAAAAATACTTTTTCAATAAACAATCATGAAAGTAGTAGTCAGGCTGAAAAAAAAATTGTACCTATAATTTAGAAAGTTATATTTATTTAAAGTCTGATTCCAGGAGTACAAAACAGTTTCGAAACAAGTTTTCGTTTCAAAGGAAAACAAGTATGTACTTCGAATTTTTGTCTACGACATACAATAATAAAATATCTATTCATTTGCCAAACTTAAAACTAATATGAAAATATTAAACAAATCTTGAATTCTCAAATAAACCTTACTAAGGGTGTGTACATTCTAGTCAGTTATGGTCAAATAATAGTAATAACACTCTAATAATAAATTTCTGTGTTACATTAATATACTCTAAGGATTAAACACATTGATATCCAGTATCTTAAAATTAGATGGTTGTACTACAGGTTACTCGGCATCATGGTACTGGACCCTGTAATAATAATATCTACCAAAAGGAAAAAAATGCATGCCCTAATAGAAACCTTTCTTCTACCAAAATCTGTAAAAAGAGCACCCCACTCTTATGAAAAAAAAAACTATCAACTTAAGCAGTTTAAAAAAAAGTAAATTAAAGTCATCACTTTGAAACCAAATATTAATCAAACCAAAATCACTTTCTCAGCAAACTGAGTTGTAATTTTTCCATAATTACCTAAGAAATAAATACGTCTGAAAAATGTCTCACCTCTCTTTACCACTGAATCTCTTGCTCAACCGTCTTGACCTCTCCTGCATGCTGAGAGTGTAGCGCTGCACTTGTTTCCTGTTTACTCTCAATTCCTTTTCGTCCATCTCCCTCGCTTTTTCAACCTTCGCCATAAACCTGTTTATCAGATCCTTGCAATCCATGTTTTCTTCCGGCTCCCAACTGTTGTCGGAGTGACTGTACCCCTTCCAGGACACTAGGAACTCCCGTTTGCCATCCCGTTTGTGATGTACCTCCAGAATGCGGTCCACCTGCAATCAAGACAAATTATAACGTCACATAATTGGTCCTTCGAGCCGGATATCACCTCGAAGTCTTCGTTTTCGTCCCAGTCGGCCGGTTTGGGCTCCTTTTTATCTTTTTTGGGCGATTTTTTGCCCTTCTCGGCCTTGCCCTTCTTCTTGCGCTCTTTGTATTCTACGATGAGATCCGCGCACTCGAGGGTGTCTTCAGGTTCCCAAGTGTCACTCTCTTCTTCATAACCCTTCCATCTGATCAAATAGTGTCGGACTCCTCCGATCATTTTCTCATCTAGTACGGATTCAACCTAAATAAATTTGAATGCTGATCATAAGGTAATTAAATTTTCAACGGATTTCTTGTTGAAAGAACAAAGAGAAAATCTTTACCTCATATTGACTTTCGTCGTCTTCGTCTTGATCTTCCTCAGAAGGTGCTTTAGGTGATTTTTTACCTTTCTTGTTTGATTTCTTCTTCTGTGAAAAATATAAGAATATCAGCTATTGTGCTACATGTTTGCACTTTGAAATTATGGTCATTACCTCGGATTCACTTTCTTCGACTTCATCTGCTTCGGGCTGTTCTTCTTCGGTAGGTATCTTAGAGGGCTTTTTAGATTTTCGGCCCGGTCTCTTTCTCTAAAAAGAAAAAACTAATTTGTGTTGTTGACTTACCGAAACCGTAATTGATATTACGTATTAAAAATCATTAAAATAAAATGTTAGTGCATAGAGAAAGAGAGAGAGTGTGTGTTTATTTTCCAAGATACAGGACCTTATTGACAAACACTGGTAAAAAGAGAACATGTAAATAACTACATCCAGATGAATATACAATTACATAATTACATGAAAATAATACATATAATCACATCTAGGTAAAAGTACATATTATATTATTACATATAAGCACCATTAAAATATTCTGTCAGATTGTAATAGAAAAGAGGTTTACAGGAACTCAACCTATTTGCTTGGCACAAATACCGCACCGCTCGCTTTCGCAGCAAAAATACACTCTCAGAGAGTTTAAAACTACACGAATCCCAGAACTCGATTGTGTACCTCAAGTTTGACTCAATGAGAGCAAAATAGATATTTTTTGCCGCAGTATAACCTAACTCTTTAGCTCCCGATATGACATACTCAGCAACTACTGTAATAGTGATTAGATGATTCTCCATAACAATTTTCTTCATTTTGTCAACATTTTCATCGGTTGTAGATGTGCTGGGGCGTCCAGGAAGAGCGTCCTGATTCCTGATGATTATAGAGATGTACATTTATCGAATTACTATAACTAATTGTTAGTTTGTGTCTGAGTAGGTTCAATAAGCTTGCGAACTCATGTGATTGTGATTGTGTTACAGTGTCTAGCAAATTTAGTAACATTTTAATGAATCTCCAGTGAAACTTTATAGATTCATGTATAATGTTGGAAGTGGCATAATGTCCAGTTGAAAACCAGGAGGACAATTATCTTTGTGGCTCGCTCTGGTTTTATGGCCTTCTAATGGAAGCCAAAACAGCTTCGACTCCAAATCAGAATACCAACCTGATCTATCAACCAATCACAAGTTCATGTTTATATACAAAGGGATTATAAAACTAGTTAAACGTTTACCAACAATAACTTTTCACTATATATTGACATACATCGGACAAACCGAACAATATTTGAAAAAACGATTGAAACAACATGAATATGATTTTTTCGACTATTACAAGAAAAATAATGACAAAACAGTTCTGAGTGTACATCACTTTGATTCGAGTCACACCTTTGATTTGAACTCTACCGAAATTATCGACAGGGAGAAAATTTTTGGAGATGGCTCACATAAACTGTTTTTTTGAATAATCAGTGAAGATAAATGGGTAAACTCAAAGTAGGACTACCATAAATCGAACAACATATGTAGAAATATTTTGTTGACACACAAAACTACCTATAGATAGTGCACAAAGATCTTTATGATCCTATCAGTATTCAAACCAAAAACCCTACTACTTTATCTTTGAACTGGCACGACGAATATTGATTCATAATAACGAGTACAACAGCAGACCGTTTGTAAATTTCAATGGACATTTTGATGTGTAATTTCAATATGTCAGGTAGTTTTTAAGAAGAATAAAGAACGACATCGTCTATAGTTTTATGGAAATGTATAAAAAGTTATTAGTTTATTAATTATATACTTTTATGGTAGCTCTGAAAATGGCAACAAATATCGCTAATACATTGGCAATTTATTTGTGAATTAATGAGTACATGTATTTATGTCCAACTGCCAGTGTATACCTTGCAATTAAATATTTATTACATGTCAACAAATTTCAAATAAGAACTAAAGGGAAAAAATACTTTTGTTTACACAATTTAATGTTGATAATAATGTTTGGCTAATTTTGTACTCTATTCCCGAATGTTTCACACATTATTTAATGGTGATATCCTATGTCTTTTATATTTAGTCATGCTCAAAAGGAGGAGGGGGGTTTCCTTCGTCCGCACTGTATAATTAGACCTACTAGTGTCAGCGTCCCTCTCCAAGAAAGTATTTGTTTGATTACCTGGTATTGTTTATTTCTCACCCTACACCAAAGCACAAAGCAATACCCACCTCCTTTACTTCAACCTCGGATTCTTCACCAGATTGTTCGGTCTCCGTCGAAACAGCTTCATCTTTTCTTTTACCGCCGCTCTTCGATGCCTTTCTCTTTTTGTCTTTTTTTTTTTACTATCATTGATAATTTATCGTTACTGGAGTCGACTATATTATAATTGTTATTTATTTTTTTCAATGTTCACAAATAACTATGAGAGGCGCTCGGGTTTGAGGAAAGTTATTCAAATTCAAGGTCAAATCGAGTTCAAATAATCGATTATTTTCGAATTAGAATATCTCGATTCAAATTATCATCATTAACAGATATTATAGAGCATATATGTCAAATAGCCAAAATGGAGCTCATGAAGTCGAGAACTAGTAGCTTTGGTATAATCGTCGCAGTTTCAGACAAAGTAACGTCTACTAGAAAAGTATTGTTGTTAAAAATTATAAAAAGCATCATGAATGAACAAATATTCATTTGAAAAACATGTTGCAAATGGTATTGACCTGCATTCAAGTTGTCGCCCGGAACATTTGTGGAGTGTACTGAACGACTTCAAAGTATTTCTTTTGAAGTTGAATTGTTACAGTCGTTTCGGAACGGAGCTCTATGGGTACGCCTCGGGCACGCCGATAACGACCACAGAACATAAAATATATTTCAGATTGGCGTTTGCAGTATATAATCGAGTTATGAACTCCACAACAGGTGAAAAAGAAATTGACCTGTGATGCGATATCATGGTCGCCAACTGCGTTAAAATAATGACATTTGACATCTGTTAATAAATAAATAACCTATCTTTCTGAGTTCCTTCTGCATTTTCATTTTTGGTAAATGAAAAGCTGATTTCCAGAATATGTCTGAAAAGAGATTTTCAGTCGTCCTATATAAAGTTAGGGCTCCAGAATGAAGAATCAGCTATGAAGAAATATAAGATGGTCTGTCCCAATTATGTCCCAAAGATGAAAATGCCGAAGGAACTCAGAAAGATAAGTAATTTATTCATTAGCAAATGTCATTATTTTACGGCAGTTGGCAACCATGGGGTCGCATCACTTAATAAGGTCAATTGAAATTTCATATCTCATTGCTAGGTGATAACTAATTGCCCAAAACTATTACAAATATGGAAATATTTTGTTCTTATTATTTCAACTTATTGGCTGGACACTATTTCGTGATGACAAGATTTTTTTCAAGAATAGCAATGATAATATAAACAGCCAGCAAGAAAAATTATTTAAGAATATATTAGGTCAATCAACCTTGAGTAATTTAATTTAAAGTAACTTTTTTCAGAATTGGTAATTATTTAGTATAATTTTCAGACAGTTATGTTTGTATTTAGTGTACATACGATTGACTACGATATCTTCAATGAATTAGCAAAAAATTGATTCATTTCGTTTTGATAGTTAGAATTGATAATCCGGTGCTCCGTATCGCACAAACCAGAACACTTTTACTCGACGTTTGCTTTGTTAACCAAGTTAGTACCAGTAGACGGTCCAGTTTTAGTCAACTCCTGTAACTTGAATAACGAAAAAACTCATTGAGAAGTACTGTAGACAGTTCAAAAGTATGAGAAAAATATTTCATTAAATTGCTGATAATTTCCCCTGCTCACGACAGGTGCTGTCTCTAGACGATATCCTAACTGACATGCATCTAAGTTTTAAGGTTAGTAGTTCAAACTGTTTGAATTGAAAATTTCAATGGTATTTCAATTTGAAATATGGACAAATTAATTCAATACCTGAATCACATCCAAGAACAACTGGTATGTATTTTGAAATTAATGGCAGAGCATACCCAAAAACCTGATCATTGTAGAAAAACATCAAAGATGGTGAAGAAATACACATTGTGATTGGAAATGAATCATGTGATATAGATTCCAGCGTTTCTGCAGTCATTTTAGCTTACTTTTTGCATAAACATAAGACTCTTCGAATTCCCAAAAATGCTTTAGTCGTTCCCATACAGAACGTTTCCCAAGAGAAATTTTTACAACGTCCCGATAACTGCTTGGTCTTTAGAGAAGCCAAAATTCCACTGAATTTACTGGTTTACAGGTTTGTAAATTCCGATACGCTATTAATCATAATGCGATTTTTCAAAAATTATTTCAGAAACCAACTTGACTTCACCAGACTGTGCAAAACGAATAAGGTTACTAGTACGCTGGTAGACCATCATGTTTTATCAAAAAACGACATAGTTTTAAAAGACACTGTTGTACAAATATTTGACCATAGACCCAGAGATCCTGCCATCAATTGGAACGAAGAGCATGTAGAAGTAAACATTCAACAAGTGGGTTCTTGTTCAACGTTGATAGCGGAAAAAATATTAGCAGTGGATGCAGCTTTATTGTCCAGAGAACTCGCTTATATGATATATGGTTTGTATTTAATGAAACTTCATCATTTTTTGACTAAATATTCATTTTGGTTCACCCCACGACAAATGCTTGATAAAGACCTGAAAATCGTAGAAGACATTCCAGTTCCAGGCCTACCGATGCTCGTGGAAAATTTTCTGAAAGTGCCTGGCGCATATGATGCCATCAAGACTTTTGCGAACGACTATAAAGTTTCCCTGTTGGTTCTCGTAGGTTTAGACGCGTCGAATGGTGTCAAAAGAGATGTGGCTGTCTATTGGAAGAGTACCGGTTCAGCCCTGAAGGATCACTTGCTTCAGAAGTTGTGGAATAGTAAGAAGTTGAAAGGATATGACCTATCCTTGAGTGAAGTGAGGACTGAGTTTACTGATATTGTGTGTTTGAAAGTAAATAATATTAAAATGTCTAGGAAGCAACTTGTACCTTTGGTACAAGATGCAGTAGTTGAAAATAGGTTAGACACTGATGAATAAAAAAAAGCAGATCAGATGACTTTTATTTAGCTTACAAGAAGCTGTAGCCCTACAATGAAAATAAAGCATTACCTTATAATAAGAAACGTAGTAGTTAAATTGATTTCAGTACTTTCTATTGATAAATGGTTAGACATATTGACAGAAGCAAATCCACAAGCTTCCCATTGGTCATTTATTTCTGAACTTGAGCACTTTTTTACTCTATTGCAAAAATCTTCCTCCTATACAAAAGTAACAGCTTATCAAAATAACTGAATGTTGAACATAGGTTATGTTTATTATTATGGGGTTTTTTGTATTTCTAGTTATTCAAATGTGAATTTGTGAGAGTGATGTTTTCATTATAAACATAAAAAATATAAATAGGTGATATGAATTAATTTTCACTTACGGAAAGCACAAGAGACCACAACAACAAATGAAAAGTTCACAACAAGTTGTTGAAATTTGAAATCTGTGGACCATGGACGATAACAATATAAAAAAACATCTGACAGGACTGTTTTCGTCATAGAACATGCTTTGTGGGTTTTGTTTTACTGTATAAGTTTCCGATAGATGTCGTATCTGGGCGACCCCATTGTTGCCAACTGCGGTAAAATAATGACATTTGCTAATGAATAAATAACCTATATTTCTGAGTTCCTTCTGCATTTTCATAATTGGGACAGACCATCTTATATTTCTTCATAACTTATTCTTCATTCTGGAGCCACAACTTCATATAGGACGACTGGAAATCTCTTTTCAGACATATTCTGGAAATCAGTTTCTCATTTACAAAAAATGAAAATGCAGAAGGAACTCAGAAAGATAGGTTATTTATTTATCAGCAGATGTCAAATGTCATTATTTTACCGCAGTTGGCAACCATGGGGTCGCATCACATAATAAGATCAATTTGAATAAAGTTCTCCAAATGCTTGTACTTTTTCTGGTTATCTTATGAACATTCAAAAAAAACCGACCACAACAATTATTATATATAATGATGCAACCAACATCATGTATAACTTCAATCATGATGAATTATCTACAATAAAAAAGTTAGTGCAAATTTCTGTCTCCTGAACAATAATAATGAAACCAATCCCCACAAGGCAAGAGATACCTCAATTTTGATAAGTGAAACGCCCTCTCTGTGAAAACTGGAACCGAGGGAAGTAACTACTACCACTACTACTCTGAGTAACAATCTATTTGTCCACCAGATACCGCCAGGGGACGACGATACGTTTTTGAGTATGTCTAAAAATAAAAAATTTTCAATTTTGCATTACGAAAGAATTGAAGTTTCAGTTGTAATTCAAATAATTTCAACAGATTTCATTGGTGATAGTGATGAAATCAAAATATTTCAAAATCGAGTAAAAACTCACAAAATTTGAATGGTGACATACAAACGTAACTGTGAGGACATCTTCGTTTATTAAAGTCACATAAGGCTGTCATAGAGATGTTCCAGATAAAAGCGTCTAGAAACAGCAAAAGCTATTCATAAACGTCTTTGAAGAAAATTTATGAAATTTTAGTGAGAAATGATGTACATAAAAAAATGTTATATTCTTATTCAATTCGGAATGATACTTGCTCTATATAGTTTGGTTGGGTTAGCTATATTTTATATCCTTTGGATTATGCATGAATCACTGTGATTGAAGTCAAGAGTTATCTCCAATAGCGTTTCCTACAGTAGTTGTTTTAGATGAATAAATGAAGATTAAAAATATCTCTTTTTGTTTGGTTAATGATGTTTTTCTCAGTTTGTTGTACCTTTTACTTATTGGTATCCATTAGGTTTTATTATGAAATAACTCTAAACTAGTCAGACAGAAGCTGAGGTAACCGAATGCATACTCACCTAATCATATTTTAGTAAATATAAGGTTTATATGTGACAGTCATAGAAACAGTCATACAATCAATGAAGTATGAAGTGGTTAATTGATGCGAAGGAAAGTGTGCCCGACTCACGATCCCTGGGTAAAGATTTGAAACCCAACATCAAATAGAATGTTTTCTAGTTGAAGCTCAGTTGATTCTGATTGACAGTATTGCGAATAGTCTGGATCCTCCCTAGACAGTTATTCATGTTAACATATCCAGAATACGAAGCTATATTCTGACTAAATTCGAACATTCATACTGAAGATTAGGTTTAGTAAACCTGTGTGTAGGTAGTTCAAAATTTTTTATTTCGTATGTACATCTTTTCATGAAATATTTGAGTTCATAGTAAAGCAATTTCGGTAAGCATTTTCAATTGTTCCCTCTCTGCAAGAGAAATAAGGATCTTATTAATGCCAGAATGCATTTTGAATTTCCCAAGGAAGATCAATGTTTGTGACTTTTTTCTGAAAAGATTTTCAATTGTTCCCTCTCTGCAAGAGAAATAAGGATCTTATTAATGCCAGAATGCATTTTGAATTTCCCAAGGAAGATCAATGTTTGTGACTTCAATACGAACCGTTCCATAATTCTTCTCCACACCCTAGCTCATAATTACAGAGTGTGGTGGTAAGGGGCAGGCGTCGGAACGCTCATCAGAGGCGAATTGATGTCGATGTCCATCTCGACTGGGATTGCCGCTTCCTCTTGAGACACAATCTTGTCCTGCAGCAGCTTGTAAAGGTTGTGGACTTTCTCGCTATGCTGGTGAGTCGGCTGGAGGGCCTTCATCAGCGTGTGCAGTCTGCTAGCAGGTAGTTTTTGGTGGACGTACCACAGCAGTTTCAGCAGGTGTCGAGTAACGTTGTCTCGAGACAGGCCGGCAAAGAAGAATTCATCGAAGAGAGCCGTGCAGAAGTCTTCTGCTTGGAATTCGTCGCCGTTGTGGATCAGGAGGCAGACCTGTTGAAGGAAAATTGAGGAATTATGCTATTATGAAAACAGCTATTTGAATAATAATGCATTTATGGTGAAAACCACTATGATTGATGCATCTTTTCACTGATTTGGAGGATTATAGAGGGAAAAACACTCTGCCAAGTTACATAAAATAATAAATTTATCTGATTTAGAAAAGGTAATAAAATGATAAAGTCCAAACCCAGTGTACCGCATAAATTTTTTTCTGAATGTAAAACAATACTAAGATAATACCTAGCTAATAGGGTAATATGAGGTAGTAATACTCACAAACGAATGCAAGAAAGGATCCTCAAATGCCCTATCATCTTTGCAGTTGGCCAAAACAGTCAGAATCCTCAAAAGTCCCACCCTATCCTTGAGTCTCGCCACGTGCAACGTATAGTACATAGCCAGTATGCTAGCCACGGTACTATCTTGCAGATAGGCCTCTACCGCATCAGGCAGAGGCCCCGAATGCTCGATGACAGTAATGGCAGCCTCTCTCTCGTCGTGCGGGAGCTTTCCCGACAGCTGACGCACTTGATCGTCCACCATGAGCGACATTAGAGCCGGCAGAAACTTCGTCACAACTTGACTGTCTAGCTTGGGTTCCTTGAAGTCTTGCGAGTCGATCATCACCCAGGCGCTCAGTCCTAGGGCCAACATCCGCAAGAGAAGGATCAGGATGGTGTTTTCCTAAAGAAAAATAAAGGGTTTTGATATGTTCGGTCCTTCGAGCCGGATTTAAAGCATACTCACCCTGGCTAGGGATTCGTTGTGAATGAGATGTTGGAGGATTTTGATGGCCGAGGTGGCTAGGAAATTTATAGCATAAGGATCACCCAAAGTCATTGAAAGGTCCCCGAGGACCTGTTCCTGACCCTTCTTTACGTTGTCCAAGAACCTGCCGTGAAAATTTTTATTCGCTATGAGACTGTTAAATCTATGGATAATTGATGAATAGAAACAAGGATTTGCTGTTACACATTGAATGCATTTGATATTGATAACTCTATTAAGTAATCCAAAAAACTTGACATGTTTATAGTAGACAACGTAACAAAGTTTGCATTGAAGAAAAAAAAGGTTTTTGGATTTTTACGTCATCTTTTTACGAAAATGATAAATAATAATATTTATTGATTTTTTTTAGGACAAATATATAAATAAATGACATAAATAACAGAAATGATGATATGATAGAAGAAAAAAAATAATAAAAACCATTTTTCAATGATTCCAGAATGGTTTTAACATGAGGATATACATAATAAATATATTACCAAACAGAAAGAAAAAAGAAAAGAAAATCAAGAATGAAATTTTATATAGTTCATGAGTTTTTTTTTTATTGGAAAACATTGATTGAATCTTTCAACGAAAGTGGGAGTTTGTTGTACTCATTTAAACCTTTATTTTGAAATAAAGACTTCATCGTGCTAGTCAAATTAGTTAGAGGAAGGTGGAATTTTTGGGAACTACTCGCTCTTGTTAAGTGATTATGGATCCGAGTTCTATATATACAGAATTCTTCTAAATGAGTTGGAAGCAAGTTATTCACTAGTTTAAAAATGAAAATCATTACGACTCGTACTGTTTTTGGGAAACAGACAGCCACTGCAATGTACTTAACATGTTTGATATACTGGAATACCTATTCACTTGTAAAATAATCCTCATTTCACGATTCTGTAACCTTTGTAAAGCCGATACCTTATTTTGCTCAAATGAGTATATAAGACTAGCACAATAATCAAAATGTGGTTGGATTATACAATTATATAATGTACCTTTTGAGTACATCGAAAACTGAGATGAAATTCTTGAAAAAAAATATATTTTTTTAGTAATTTTCCTGTATATATAATCAAAATGGGCAAGAAAAGATAAACGATTATCCACCATGAAACCTCAGTATTTGAATTCACTTACGAACTCTATTACATCACCTGCAATTTGTAATCTTATGTTGAGATTGTTGATGAGTGATAGCTTATAACCAGTTGATATGATCATATATTTTGTTTTGGAGGTGTTGAGTTTCAGTTTATTGCCTTTCATGTACTTGAAAACATTTCTTAGTTCATTATTCATTTGATCAGCTACTGTTTCTATATCATCTCCTGAAAAAGGTTCATGGAATCACAACCATGGATGGTATCTATATCATTCCAGTAGATTAAAAATAATATAGGTCCCAAAACACTCCCCTGAGGTACCCCGAAAATGACATTGCGAGATGATGACACTGAATCCTTTATTTTGGTTCCATGTTTGCGTTGTGATAAATAATCAGTCAGCCATAACAAAACAGTTTCCCTGATACCAATATTTTGCAGTTTATTTAGTAATATGTGGCGATCAATTGTCTCAAAAGCTCTTTTAAGATCTAAAAATACAGCTATAATATACTGTCCCTTATCTATTGATTCTTTCCATTTTGATATTCTGACTTGTAATGCAGACTCACATGAATGGTTTTTTCTGAAACCTCACTGATATTTTAGTAAAATATCATTATTTTCTAGATATTCAAGAAGTTGATTACGAACTGCGAGTTCTAATATTTTTTCAATACAAGGCAAAGTGTTGATTGGTCTAAATTCCCAGGATTTATTTGTGTTAAGGACTTTCTGAATTGGCACAAGGACACTGGCCTTGAGCTCTTTCGGAAATCTGCCAGTGCTCAAAGATGTATTTATAAAATGCAACAATGCATGTCCTATAACAGCAAACGTATTTTTAATAAGTTTGCAATTAAGTATCTCACTGCTGTATTTCATTTCCACTCCGTTGATCAATTTAGACAGATCTTCCAACTCCAACACTTTGAATTTCTCGAAGGAGTTGTTAATCGATATAACATTGTTCTCATGAAGTAAATCAGATTGATCAATAGTGTTCACAATTTCTTGTACGCTATCAATAAAATAATTGTTAAATGATTCTGCAATATCTAGATTATTTTTATGAATGAATGACTGACCATTTATTTTGAAATAAATACCATCAGTGAATGTATTGCTATTAGTTTTTAGACTCACGAGCTGTTTGAGTGTTTTCCACATAATCATCGGATTTGACCTATTTTGATCAATTTTATCATAATAGTGGTTTTTTTCTTTGAGTTTCAGTAAATTCACACATTTATTTTGAAGAAATTCATAGTGGTTCCAATTTTTGAAAATCTTATAAGTCCAATCTCTTTTGTCACGATGTATTTTAACCTCGTTGTTATACCATGGTACACTATTTGACTTCAAAGTGTATGATCTTTCTGGTGCAATTGAGTCAACAACTGACTCACACTGACTTTTGAAGTCTTCATAAAATATATCTACATCAACACAGCTCAACAAAACGTTACATGATATCAAGCTCAAGCTAATCCTGTTCATATTACAATCATTAAGGTATGATAATGATATTGGCACAAACCCTTGAAGTTCTCTGGACCTCTTGATATCGACACTCTTCTCTCGTATACACGCATCTAGACACCAAGTGAACTTGTGGCAAGGATCAACGGAAATAATATCTTGAACTTCCAGATCATGGAGTGCCATTAGCAGTTCTGCTCTGAGCGTACAGTAATGCACGATCCGAGTACGCAGAAAGAGAGTTCTGAGAAACTGGAGTACCATGTCATAGAGTTTGACGCTGCTGCCAATCATGTGCGCTAATTTCTGGACCACCCCACCCTGTCTGCGAACCTACAAGATATACTCTCAAAGTTGTACACTATCGAACGTTTCAAATCGAATTGAAATTTACTTTTTGTTCTTATTATTTGTATCTTATTGACAAAGTCCAAGATAAATCAGGTTACAAAAAGTACAAATACAAAATTTATGAAGACCTATTATTGGAAATATAATAAAATACACACAGAATTGGGAAGATTTGTTAAAATACTCTTGTCAACTATAATAGTAATAATAATAAAAAGTGTTCAACGCCCAACAAGATTCACCCATTTGCAGACCATTGGAAAATAGGTAGAGTAATTATTTGAATATAAAAATATATCATTATTCATCATCTGTATGAATTTTATGGATGAAATGAACATTTCAGTTCCGAATAAATTGTAAATTTCCTGATATAATGCAGTGAGCAATTTTATCGTTTGTTTTAAAAAAAAGTTCCAATGACACACTTTAAAATGACACCGCTAGCTACTAACCTTCGGCGAAGGCCCAAAAAACTGCGTACTCAGGTTCGTATGGTCAAACAGTACATTCTCCTTCTCGTTAATGTACTGACTCAACAACGGAGATACCTCGTCACCGAACAATGACTGGTTGTCCTTCCAAATCTGCCTCTTCACCTCAGTGTCAGTGTCGTTATACAGCTCCCTATCTCTCACTAACACCTTCAAATAGTGATCATCAATTTGGGGAGTGTTCTTCAAAATAGCCATCACGATAGGCCTCATGGCTTTCACTTTGACCACGGGGAAGCTTTTCACTAGGAGCTCTTTGAGTTTGTGGTCCCGTTCTTTGCCTTCTTGCTTGCCGATTTCATTGATGTGGTTTATGAGTTTTTCTCGCAGCTCCTAAAATATATTTGTTGTCGCTTGTCAAGCAGATGTATGTGAACTTGATAAATGATGTAATACAAAAAACTTTGAGAAATATCTTGGAAAGGCATTATTTTTTTAGATAAAGACAGTAAAGACGTAACAGTGTAAGATTTATACACATGTTAAGTTAGCAGAACCACTATATTTTCCAAAAGAGTTCAGTATCAAGATGGAGAAGTAGAAATCTAAAACCTTTCTTTATAACATCTATTTTGACAATCGCCATTTTACTGGAACTTTACCTCCACAACGGACATGTGAAAATCTAGTCGACGGACACCGTGAAGGTCCAAAAGGGGTAACATTGGACGCAGGGAGGGAAGCAGAATGCCATTGGTAACCTAAAACACATTACATAAAAAAATAGCAAGTTTTCATAATTACAACACTAATGTAAAGATGAAACTTCAAGACAGAGCACACCAGTACCTGAAACTCTTCTATAGCCTTCAAAGGGTCCGTACAACTTGTTAAAGCGTGTTTTAAATAGTTGGGGCCATGTACTTTCAAAGCTTCCAACGGGAAATCGCTGTTTCCTCTACCAAAAGACATGCTGACAGTATAATTTCACCATACGTTAATGATAATTAAAAAAATCATAAGACTAAAAAAAATTAGACGAATTCAGTTTGCCGTAATCAATATTCTTTCAAAATATCAACAAATCTATTTGTTTTCCTGTCAGATTTCACATTCTTCTGACATTGACATTAATTCTATTCATAGAGCTAAAATGCAGAGTTTTTGTTCTGTGTTTGCAGTTCACAGAAAAAGGTTATTCACGTGCATCAAAGAGTACACCAACTAACCCAGTACTGCTCAAACTCTACGACTGAGCAGGCTAAGATAGATATAAACTTTGTATATCTATATACAATGATATGAATGTTGTTGCTTAGACTTAACCTTGAAAACAGTTCAGATTAAATACACAACCTCAAAACAAAGAAAATTTCTAAATTCAACGGTACCTAAGAGGTACAGATTCACTGAAAAGGTGAATACACAAAACATCTAGAATTTTTCACTTTCACACAGAATGTGCCCTTATGGAATTTACGAGCAGAAATATTCAACAAAATATACCGCCTGGATCTACTGTATAATAAGTAGGCAGTAATCCCCTCCCCCAAATATACCTTTGTTGTTATTACCTGATCTAAAGGGTACTTTGGAAAAGGGAAATAGTTTTCACAAGGAGGTAGAACGTGTTAAGTCACCTTAATTTGCATTCTTGATCTTGATAGATACACATGCGTAATAGTTGAAAAAAATTGTGTTAAGTTGAAATTAGTGTTTTGTGATCTGAGAGTGCGTTCAAAATAGTAGCTGGATACATCGAATAAGAAACCTTAGCGAAAAGTTTGCGGCTAAGTTTTCAACGGAACTGAGGTGAGAATAAATATACAAAGGAATTTTAACAATTAATAATAACCCATGAAATGAAGTACACTTTTTTCCGTAGAGAGTACGCTTGTGAAAACGGTATGTGAAATTCAAGTAAGAACCTTATCCTAAACATAATTGAGAAGCAAGTATTATACTCAAGATGATTATGGTCTCTATTCAGACTTTCATTTTTGACAATTCATTTTTTATTTGCCTTGTATTTGTAACTATAGTTACTGCAGTTTCGTCCTAAAGGACAATATTTACAAGGACGTTAGTTATAAAAACATAAAAAGGTTTATTTCTTTTTTTTCATAATAATATCTTACCTCGTAGTAGCATTTACGTCTATCAACTTAATTAAAACGTGTTTTACTTACACATAAACCTTATGAGACCTGCAAAAATTAATTTTACGGTATGGAATATTATAGATTTAGCAAATAGATCTGTTCGTTTTTCTGTCAGATATGGTAATTCCCGCCGAGGTGTATTGGCTCTTTTTGCTCAATGTTTTTAGAAGCAGCAGTAAAATTCGTCTGATTCAAATCGATCCAAAGCAAGCACTGTTCCCAAACACCAGAACTGCAACACTCTTCTCGACGTGCGTTCCGCCAACCAATTTGGCCTCCTCAGGAGATGCGAACTTCATTTGATGAACTTGGTTGGATGAATGCGCGTCGAGAAGATTATTGCAGTGTTTGTCAACAGTGTTTTGGGTTTATTCTACGCCATTGGTTTCAATTCTACCTTTCAATTCAAATTGAGTTGAGATTCTCTCCTACTTTTTAATTGAAATTGATAAAAATAAGGAACTGTTAATTATCTTAACCTTGAAATTTGGCGGCCTTTTTTAAACGTTTTATGGTCGGTATTTTTTCATAGAGGCAGTGGCGTTTAATTCATCAGTTGGTAGGAAGAGGGTGGGGATGAGCGATAAGCTTGACAAGCTTGTTTTATAAATGGCATTTATGACAACAGAAAGAATTTCAATTCATCTAAATGTGTATTTCAGTCAAAATTTCCAGTTTACTATGGAAAATTGAACACTTTACCGAAAAAAATAGTGATAGAAGCTGTATTTTTACTGCGTCGTATGTATTGATCTACTATTAGGTTATGTTTCCAACTTTCATCAGCATCCTAGGTGTGTTTATAGAATACAAATATAAACGTTATTTTCTCTTCTGAAGTGCTAATCAAAGCGGAGTTCTCATTGTGTTTTTTTATGATTTAAGATATTCAGTCATGGTGGGAGGTACCGAGCATCGCTCACTTTTGTTCACTTTTTCGTTCTTCATTTAACCTTTTGGATTTTGATATAGAGGTAAGAATAATAATTATGTTAGAGATATAATCATATCAGCATGCTCCAAATGTTGAATGCCTACGAAACATTTGTTGCTTTCATTAGTTTTTGGTTGAAAGAAAGACAAGTCCTGGGGTTCAGGTTTTTGTAGGAACCCATTTATTTGTGTTTTTCATTGCTTCACTGAAAGGGCGCTTGAAATGAAGGTTTTGATATAAAACACAAATACATTTCTTTCAATGAGCTCAAGCTCCTCGACCGCTGGCTATTGAATATTAAATAATCGAGTAGTCTTAACATTATAATTTCGTTACACATGAAAACATCTGTTTTTCCCAGTGAATGGAAATCTTCAAAAATATGACCCTTATTTGAACCTTGATCAAGAAATCAAATTAAAATACCTAGTAATTAAACTTGGAAGTTACAAGTATTGTTCCATTAAACAAGAATATACCAGTCGGTGTTACAAAACAAAAGATCTTGCTATATATCTCCATTCAAAATCAGACTTTTCAACTTACAAAAACACAACTTCAACAGCAGCCACAAAAGTGTTCCAGAGTTTTCAGTTTTCCAGAGTCTCAAGTATTATAAAAGATTTAATAGCTATGATTGTACTTAGAATATGACTTTTTAATATAGTCTTCACTATGCATGGGAATATCAGAAACTGAAGAACAAGAAGTCAGTTGAATGGTAAAAATTTTGCAATTTGAGAGCTCATTTAAATGACTTTTGAAATTTAGGGAAGAGGCTAACATATATCAGGTGTTTTTTTTCTGGTGCATATAAAAAAATAAAAATTGGTAATGGTTACTCTGAGACGAAACTTCAACTTTAAAATCTATAGACTCCATCTTGTGCAGCTTAAAAATGGCAATGAGACAGTGTTCTTTATTTTTAAATATCTTCTTCAATAACTTCAGAAAAAAATTGGCAAATTGCGGTTCTTTTCGAATATCTCTGGAACCATTAGGAATTTCCTGAATTCAACACAAAATTTGATACAAATTTTGTATCAATTCTTTCAATGGCAGACAATCCCTACACCCAAATCTTTGGACTACAGAGGTTTTGAAACAACGATACAAAAATTCTCACTTGAAAACAGCTTTTTCGCAGTCAAATGTTTACAGAATTTTGCAAAACAATGTTTTGTTGATCTCATTTCAATATGTATAAAGTTTTTTAATGTTGTAGCAGCGGTCATTATAGGAAATAGATAAAGAAAAGCTAGCAATACATGATTGCCTGCTTTGGAAATTGTTACAGATCTTCAACAAATAATTTATGATAACCAAAAATGTTCTCCAGTATTTTGAGACTTGTGCAAAGCATTTGATAGAGTCAGCGATAAAATATTAGTAAAAAAATTATTCAACTTTGGTATCAAGGGAAATATTTTGGAATTGTTTGAAAATCATTTAGTAAAGACAACAAAAATTTGTGAAAACTGAGGATGGTCAAGGCTCTACACACTGTATTATTGGTGGTGTTCTCCAAGGATCTATATTAGGCCCAACACTTTTTATAACTTATATAAACTCGATATCAAAATTGAAACCGATTGGACAGGTCAAACTTCATGCTGATGAAACTACCTTATTATAATTCAATAAAAACTGATATAATACACGAATATGTTGGAAATTCCGCTCCATCACTCTAACTACGGTATCAGTAGCTGTCTATCCCGTATTCAAAGACTCACAAATGCTAATGAACAATTAGATTTCTTTATCCCTTCATTGCCTGAGTTCAAAACTAGTCTCACCCTGCATGTTGGCTCGTAAACATTCTGGCTTTCTTTTTGGCTGTTCCATATTTTATTTTATATAATTTTATAATGCACGTTCAAGCTATTCATCTAAATGCTAATGGGCATATTTCAACTCATAACTTGTGAAATGTATAATCAGATATCTAATTTGTTGTTATTTCAAAATTATTGCTATATTGATTCTCATTTTCTAATTGTCACAATCTGCAATTATTTATGTCCTGTAATGACTGTGTCCCGTTGAATAATTAAAAAAAGATCCAAGTACAATATCAAAAGGCTTCAGAATACCAAAAAGAATATCAATAATATTATTATCCTACTTGGCGTGAAATAAATCTATTGAAAGCACTATGTTATCTGATGATGATAACTTCCTCAGCGAAACGGGCGTTAGAGGTGATGGAAAAGTGTTTTCACTAGATACTTTATGTTGTTTGCTCTGCTGTACTTCATCCGAGTTGTATTCTAGGACTTGGAAGAGGCCCTCCTGACCGACGGGACAGAGGAATCCTCTTGGCTGCAAGAGCTTATTGTAAGACTCCTGAGCGGTTGCCTGCCCAACAATGAAATCTCCACGTTCAACTATCAGATGTTCCTGAGGCGACTTTTCCGCCAGAAATGTCAGGAGCACGATCAGTATAACCCGTTCAATACCGACATCGATTTTCAGATATTGCCGTTGAGGACGAAAGTCGATATCTTGCATGCGCTTTGCGACTTCAGATTGGACGCTGATGACGTGCTAGATCAGCTGAAGAACTTGGAAGCTGATAGTCTTCGAGTTGAGCCTCTAGGTATGAAATCTGGCATGGTCTTTGCAAATTAAAAGGCATTGAAACCGCATTGTTTACCTGTAGATATTATATGTAATTTTTTGATGCATACACAGCATCTGAACTATTTTGTTGATATATTTAGGGACCTTCGATTGCATCAATGTCACTGTATTGAAAACAGCATGTTGCTCTAAACTGGTTCGAATTTTTTTATTACAGAAAACTGCATACAGATAAATTTGTGAAAGATGTAAACATTCTTCATGATGATTTGTGTGTGGGCTGTTGAAAAAATAATGGAAATGTTCAAATTTCGTGGGCCACGTAGACTCAATTAGCAATTTTCTATTTTTTTATGTTAGTGCACACGACTCGAACATATGTTCACAGTTTAGTTTGTTGGTGAGAGGCATCTAAGTTGGGAGTATTTTGCGTGTTCGGCGATTTTCTGTTATCGAAATAATGGATCACAAAGAATTTGCATCAAATATTGTGAAAAATATAGAATTAGGTGCTCAAAAACACTTGAAATGTTGACAGTGGCATAAGGTGATTGTACTCTAAGTCAGAAAATTTGCTTGGAAGAGTCATAACTGCTGACGAATCATGGGTATATGGTTATGACATCGAAACCAAAGTACACTTGTCCCAATAGAAGTGCCCAGAAGAGCCAAGACCAAATAAATAAGGCCAGGTTCCATCAAATGTCAAGGCTTTGCTCGCTACAGAGCATCGGGGGTAATTTTGGTCCAAAAACTGTACTGTAATCATGCCTCAGCCACCATATGCGCCAGATTTGGAACCTTGTGACTTTTCACTATTCCCCAGATCGAGGAGACCCATGAAAGGACGGTGTTTTGCGACGATTGAGAAGATGAAACCGAATCACTGAGCTCAAGAACATACGAAAAAGTGAATATCAAAACTGATTCAAAGATTGGAAAAAACTCTGTATTATATCTGAATGGGACTACTTTGAAGGGGACAAAATAGAAATTGATGTATAGGTATTTTTATAAACTTAAGTGAGGCATTTGATCTGGTAGATCACAAAGTTCTCCTAACAAAGCTTGAAATGTATGGAATCAGGGGAATACCCCCACAAATGGTTTGTAAGTTATTTAGAGGAGATACTACTATGTAGAGGTTAGCAGAAATAAATCAGAATCTAAAAATTGTTCCCTCGGGGTTCCTCAGGGTTCTATATTAGGTCCACTCTTATATATAATATATGTAAATGATTTTTCCAGCATTCTCCTACAAGTTTTGTGTAGATTTCGTTTATGTGACTGAGCCTCGATGGAGTCAGTCAAGCCCCAAAGAAATTACTATTGTGATTGCATTTGCCTGCACTAACAAGGTACAACACCCGTTACTCGATTTAACTCAGCAACGTTCAGCTGCTGGACGAATTAGAAGCATCTGTAATAATTTCTTTGATGAGCAAACTTGCACAAATGTCTGTCGGATATAATTCAATATCCACTGTGGTGTTAGCCGGGGCAGTAGTTGTTTTCTGGCTGGCATTTTTCAGATTTTACTGTGAAGAAACGCTAGAAGAGGTGTATATTTCCAATTTTATTTCCTAGTACGATTTGTATATAGTGGAAAAGATTCTGAAGACCAGTATTTTTACACGCTTCATATCAGCTTCACCTCTATGTATGTTTGTAACTCTTAAGCTCGGGATCTGTATTTGACAGAACTATCGACAGTATTGCTTGATCTATTCGCGTGCAGATGGCGCTGAACATATCCTCTTTGATATATCGATTGATCTATTCGCGGGCAGATAGAGCTGTACATAACCTCCTTGATATAATCTGAGATTAAAGAACGATGAAGAGGTTCCCTGCATAAAATAGCGTTGCTGTCTTTATAAAAAATAACCTTTGGTTCCTTCAAATAATAATTTCACTATCATCGAGAAACGTTAATTATAACAACGATGAATTTTCGTAGGTTTCGACGGCAACGATTCAGCGTACTGGTACTTCTACGGAACGCGTCTCTACCGCGAAGACTTCACCACCAAGAACAACAAGAAGAAGTCGGTGTGGCAGGTGATTTGCTTCACGGAAGACGACTGGTTCCAGCTGACGAAGAAGTTCAAGAAGTCGTCGTGCAAACAGGAGCGTCAGCTGCACCACACTCTCAGCGAGAACTTCTTACCGGAACTGCCCAGGCTCTTCAAGGAAAAGGAGAGCCTGGCGAGGAAGAGGCTACTCGAGAACCTTCCGAGGAGGACGTCAGGCAGGTTGCGCAAGTTGGTGAGTATCGTTTGTAAATTCGTTGTTTCGCAAAAGTACTGTTAATGGTTGCCCTGAACTACGTCGATTTACAGCAGAGGTTCTCAAATTTAATCTACCGCCCACTTCAAGAATCAATTATTTTCTAGCGCCCCCACATTTTTTTTTACTACATCTGAAGAATCACAATCGCAGTCATTATTTTAATAAATCAATTATGTGTGTCATGTGAAAACAAGACTTTCCGATTAGGATAATATAAAAAAAAACATTTTAATTGGAATTTTAAAACTAATCTAATGTGATGGATGAATTTGATGATTTTCAACAAGTTTGTTAATATCAGGCTCGAATTTTCTCAAAAACAGCCGTAAGTCACCGCGTTCGGTAATCTGCAACCGATTTCTCCATCTACCGCCATCTATTGTACAGTTTGCAAATATCGGACAGGAAATAGTTATTGTCTAGTCTCCTAGATGGCGTTACACGAGGGAACGCGCGTTAAGCGTAAAGAAGCGGCAGAGTTTGTGTTAAAAACAAAAAAAAACATTTTTAAATTAGCCATGGCCCTCCTAAACCTCTTCAACGCTCCCCAATCTTCTCTGTGCCCTGTACTGCCCCCCTACAGGCCTCCAGTGCCTACAAGGGTGCGTTATCGCCCACTTTGAGAAAGACTAATTTACAGTTTTTAATAAGAATAAATAATGACTTTCTCCAATAATAATAATAATTGTAATTTATTGAACAAAATTACAATTTTGATTTCTACATTGTCGTCTCTAACAGCAAACTTCTGAGTAAGTAGCGATAATCTTTCCTCGATAGGGATGATAGCAGTGAGTTGGTACAGCAGAGGGTTTGGAGGGTTGTGTTTGGGGTTATTGGGATGCCTTGTTATTTTCCTTCTAGTCGTTGTTTCAGATACTTTAATTGTTTTCAAGGCCCTTTGTTTGATATTGAGAAACAGTGGGTGGGAGTATTCAATAAGTGGACAACAGATTTGTTTATATATTCGACTTGCTGTTAATATGTTTGCACCTGCCCCCGACTTTGTCAAACTTGTAAAATGTGCGACTCTTGCAATCACTTTTTTTTTTTGTTATTGACGTGGCTGTTGAAATTAAGTCTGGAATCAAGCATAACACCTAGGTACTTAACTGTCGATTTTGCATGTAAGATATATTGAAAAACGTTGATTCTTGGAGAAGTTGCGGAATTCCGATGATTGAAAATATTGAACTGAGATGGGTTTGGCTGGAGCCTCCATTTGTTGAACCACTTATTTGTTATCAATAACTTTGTCTAGCATTTTATCGCGCGCAATTAGGGCGGTGTCATCTGCATACTGGGAATATATGCTTCATGCCTGAAGTGATTGATATTTCCTTGTTGGTGATCACAAATATCAGAGGTGTATAGGTTATAAACTCTCTCCATTTTCACAAATTCACCGAAAACGTTAGCTACTGATTGACGAATACTAAACAACGCAGCGTCTTCAAACTTGAAATATATGCTGTATAGATTGTATACTTTTTAATACAGTGATATTTTTCAAACAACTATCACCATCTGTAGGTCATGCCGGGTACTTCTAGAACCACTTTCGTACCTCCATATTTTCGGGGGTTGAAGGGATATAGATTTAAATTTTTGTACAGCTATGTGGTGACATTGACAGTTTTGTCACCCATTTCAGTGAGCAAGAAAAGTGATTTCCATTTCATGGAAGGTGGTAGTATTAATTCTTGTTGTGAATTAATTTCTTTTTCATCCCATCACTGACGTAATTGCATTTTTTTATTGAAATATGAGTCGCGTAAAACTTAAAATAATGGGTCTATACTCAGTTATTGTTCAACAGAACTTGGCGAATAAAGTTGCTCACAAGGATTTACACCAACACGATACAAGAAATGAATCAAACCTTGTTCTTACAGCTAGAAGGTTGAAAAGAACAGATCATATAGAAATTAAGCTATACAATGCCTTATCTGTCGAATTTCATAACTTGCCATTCAGAAAAAAGTTATTCAAGAAGAAAGAGGCACAATTTTAAAGAGATATAATGTGTCAGTTATGTGATTTATTTTGAAAAATAGTCATGGCTTTACAGTTAGTCATTTTTATAAGATTAGAATTGTATCTTTTCAACTTGTACTTTTTTCTCAATCTAATGTATCTACAAACATTTTGTAGAAACGGTATTGACGAATCTTATCCTCTCAAACTTATTTTAGAAATTGTATTGACATATCTAAAAACAGTGTTTTTCGAAAAGCTAATAAAAATTATTATTATTATGTAATACCTCATATGAGAGGTCTTTCAATACTGTTTTTAGTGACATCGATTAGTACAGGTCGAACAAAAATTGTTAAAAATTTACTACGTAGTAGATTTTTTTGTTCTAATAGTGGCAATGGTAAAAACACACAATTGATGAAATTTTTTTATGTGAAGGAATGCGATAGTGCAGAGCAAGTTCTGCAAGAAAAAAGGCAAGACGAAGAGACCAGGGCTGAAAGGGAGAAAAGTGAGGCTAGAGTAAAAAAGAAAAAGCTAGAAATCAAGAGGCAAGAAGCCTATGAGAGAAGATCTAAACTGAAAAGGCGAAGCGAAGAAGAGACTTTGAGCGAATCTTCCGTCGATTATGAAATGGCAGGGTCCAAGAGCAAAAAAAACAAAGTCAGGCAGCGCAAGTCATCTTGCAGTTCGACCAGCAGTAGTGAGTTCCCATTTCACTCATACAAATTCTTGTTTAAAAGTCTTCTTTATAACGTTTTCAGATGACACGAGCAGAAAGGTTTCAAAGCGAGAGAAGAAGAAGCCCGAGGATAGTAAAGGAAGCGGAACAAAGTCCTCCACGTCTAAACCGACGACGGTGGGGCGGCAGACCAACAATTCCCTCTCCGCAGCCACGGGGCAGATACTCATACAGCAGGTGACGAATCCGAACAAGAAGAAGTTGAAAACTTCGCAAGTGTAAGTGTTTTATCTATACGAACTTTAAATGAGATTGAGAATGTGGGAACCTCTTTTATTTTCATGGTTATGAACTAAGAAATTCACTTTCAAAGGGAAAGTTGAAGTCATTTGGACACTTATCTTAAACCATCACATTTTTCCACGAATTTGTATCTATTCGTTATCTCACAAAATTACCTCACGATGAAACTGAATAAATCATTTTCATTGTATCTTTTATCGTTCTCTTGTATATTTTGTTTAAGATAGTTCAGTTGTTTCAAAGCTTTCTTAAAAGCTTGGTAGATATCATGGAGGTTCTCATATTCTTAACTTTACTCTAGCTTCATCATATCATAATGCACAAAAATAACTCTGGCTTGTTCGGGTAGTAATTGTTTCATTTGATGTAGTGTGCCATTAGGCCTCTTCAAAGCACCAACTACATGGCAAAGATTCATGGATTAACGATTTTCGATGTGTTACAATAATTTTTTATTGATATGCCATCAGAACCATCACGTATTAAGGTCACCTCTGAATCAGATTCGAAAGGTGTATACATTGGAATACCCTCGATTGAATTCTTCAATGTCAAATTTGACAGAAAAATAATCACGTCTTGAAATATTTTTGTCATTTTTACTATCTAATACACATATTTATTAATCTCGCTTATGATCTGTGTATCCTTCAATAGTTATTCACTGTTATGGTGCATTTATTGTTAAAAAATCATTGGGTTCAATTATTGTTTATACAATATGATCAGTGAATCCCAGATCAATTTGAATTTTTTTATTGTCTTATTCGACATTTGACTTTGGTATCAACTTCTGCTTTGTCCGAGATAAAAATAACAAAAGAATATTAGCCAAATGATTCTGATCGGTACTTTTTTCATTTAAAAAAAAAAAAAAACAGTTTATAGAGAAAGTTTTTCTGAATGTTATTTTCAGCCCACATGCAACAAACCATTTCTCAACAGTTCAATGCTTTCTTTTTTTCCGACCATTCATCTCTTCATCACAACTTATTTAAAAGGCACGAGAGCAGTGGGTAACTCGTTTATTTTTTATTTGCAGATATGTTTTATTACAACGGTTACATCCGGTCCTAAAAGAAGACCAAAAATAGTCCAAATTGAGATGTGATTATCGAGTTATTAATGATATTTAACAAAGGTTTTGTCAAGCTGGATCTGAATAAATCTTTATTAATTTATTGGGGCTTTTCTTTTTGAACTTCATTTGAAATTATACTGACAAAGACAGATTACATATAAAAACTAAATTTACGGATAAAAGGTCGCATATCAAAACTCGATTCTGGGGTCAAAAACAAGGTCCAGCGTCGTAAAAATGCATGCAAAACTAGAGTAAATTGGGTATTGTTTTTTCGGTATCGTTGGATACATGTCTTGAAAAGAAAAAATCTTTCCAGATTTCGCCAAACCGACGAAGATTTGCAAACGGGGATGCACAAAATATTGGATTATGTCAAAAATAGCGAAGACGCTTGGCCTTTCGCCGATCCCGTCGAAGAAGAATACGCTCCCAATTATTACACGGTCATCAGGAAACCGATGGACCTACAAAGGATGGAAGAAAGGCTGGATGAGGGGTTCTACAAGAATTTCTCCAAATTTCGCGCGGACTTTCAATTAATCGTTGACAATTGCAGATTGTACAACGGCGCAGAGAACGGTAAAGCAGTCATTTTTATGTTGATTTTGTCGTAATCTGCGAATCTTAAAATTCGTGGGTAGTAAACAACCATATTTCACTTTTACTTTGAAGAAGAAAAAAAAGGAGTTCGGCATGTTGTTACTATTTTTTTCGGTGATAGGCGCCCCTATAATTTGACGTTATTTGTAGAATAATTTCTTTCAATAACCCTCGATTCACTAGTGTACTAGGTGAGAGGTTCTCATATTCTTAAATTAACTTGAAGCTACATCATATCATGATTAGACACATTTTGTCACCAAAAAACATCTCTGGCTTGTTTGGGTAGTGATTATTTCATTTGATGTGGAATGCCATTAGGCCTCTCGAAAGCACCAACTACATGGCAAAGATTCATCGACCAACGAATTTCATGCAGGAAAGTTGAAGTTGCAAATATTGTTGAGAAGACCGTCTAATAGAGATAAAATCTACCAGATGGATCTTATCTCCATGTCAATTTACTATACTTAAATTAATCAGCTATCCAAGAAATTTTTAATCAGATAATTCATGTGAATATCCGATACTCAACATTTTCTCAGTCGAGACTACGTCAACGCATGTTGACGGAACTATTATATCGGGCAAGCCTATTCAGCTATTGTTATTGACAGATATCAAACAAAATTGATAGTTCGAGTGAAAATTCTGATGAAAAAATATTATAAATAAATGTAGCAGAAGTATTTAACCTACAAATGTCAATGCTATGAATTCATTACGAATATAATCAAAGTGAAAGTGGTAAACTCTTTTGGCACCACTTGGGCCATTTTTAGGATTTTTGTTTTTTCTTGAGGGGGGAGATCGAGATGAAAGACTTACTACATATGTGTTTTACTCTCGCTTTTTTTATTGTATGTTACATTATAATTTCGTGAAAAATAGTCACTGACTTGGCTTTTACTTCGTAGAATATACGGAAATGGTAGGAAACTTGCTGCAAGTGTTTGAAAAGGCCACTGACAAGTACCTCGACCAGATTTCGTCTTCAGACGATGAAATAGCCATCGAATTCGCCAAGGAAGAATCCGTCAAAAATACCAAGACAAAACACTCCGAAGATGTGGCGAGCACGACTTCGTTTTCGAGACGAAAACCCATGCTGGCCGCTCAGACCGACAGAAAACGTGAAAGATCAGCCTCGGAAGAATCAGGGAGAAGTTCACGAAGCAATTCCTACGAATCGTTCCATGATGAAGTTGAAATAAAGTCTAGGAGGAGGAAGAGAAGCGAAGTTTCGGAAAGCTTTGACGAGAGACATAAGAGTGGAAAGTCTAAGGACGAGGAGCCAGAAGTGAAGAAATTCAAGCCAGATTCGACTAGGGATAAGGCCGAGGCGAAGAAAGAAGTGAAAAAAGACAAGATCACGAAGAAAGAAAAAGCTGATACGAAGAAAGAAAAAGCTGATATGAAGAAAGAAAAAGTTGATACGAAGAAAGAAAAAGCTGATACGAAGAAAGAAACGCCCATGACAAAAGAGAAACAGGAAAAAGTGGAATTGAAGAAAGACAAGACGGATAAAAAGAAAAAGAAGCATGACGCGAAGAAGGCGAAGTCCAACAAGAAAGCGGCCAAGGAGAACAAGAGTAAGGCGAAAAAGGTGAACAAAAAAGAAAAAAAGAAGACTCAGGTTAGGAGCGTGAGTCCCAGCCCGAGCCGTAGCAGAAGCCCGCCTCCGAGCGATAGGAGCAGCCCTCCGCCTTCCTGGCCCCCCTCCAGTCCCGACAGTAGATTTGACTCTATGTCAAAGAACTATTCCGATAAGAGACATTCACAGGATATTTCAAGTTCGGAGGATTCGCTTGGAAAAGGTAATTTTTATTTTTTTCTTTGGTAATGTGGTCCTTCGAGTCGGATGATTGTGTAAATCAGTGAAATCTTGCAGTAATACAAGAATTCCACTATTATTTGTTTTGATTAGAATATTTTTTCAATATACTTTGTAACTAATTCTACAGATACCCACCAGAAGTCTAGCCCTTTCGAAAATTACTTCCAAGATTTTGAAGATAGCCTGAGACGCCAAGAAAAGAAACCGAGAAAGGACGACGTATCCCTGTCGCCGAAACCAAAGGATAAACACAACAAGCTGCGCGAAACCATAGAAAAATTGAAAGCCAAAAGCGAAATGAAACTCCAAATAGGTTTAGAGTTTGAGCTGGATCCTCTAAAAGAGAACAAAGACAGAAACAAGAAACCGGAGAAAGACGATAAAATCAAGTCGAAAGCGAAAGACAAGACCATTCAAAAAGCGCCCAGGAAAGAGAGAGACGACGAACTTGACTTGGATGGAAACAGCACAACGGACAGTATCCAGTCGAAGAAGCTCGCACCTAAAGTTCCTAATGCTGTTAATAAAAACTCGTCCAATATGGACGCTCTTAGCATCGCGACAGAACAGACACTAAAGGACATCAACAAGTGGTTGGACGATACACCCAAGTTCTCAGAGTTCAGCAGCGCCAGCAATTCGCCTTCTTACACAGGTCTCGACGAGTTTGACTCGATAACTAGCAAGCCTGATCAGATTCCCGGAAAAAAGCTCGATAAACCCCTCTTGCCGCAGGCGAAAAAGGAAGGCGCTCAGAAAGATCCGAAAAAGCGAACCTTCCGCGATCCCTCCAAGTTTTTCAAACGTCGCGAAGTCCAGAGGACCATTGATAGACTGCAGCCCGGTAAGGGCAAAGGGAATCTGATATCGAACGTTCAAAACACCGGCAAAGTGGACGAGGTCTTTCCATTGGGACCGCTCTCGAAGCTGAAAGACACCAAGAACTCGCTCATCGTGAAGACGGACACGAACGCTCCAAAACTGAGCCTGGGTTCAGTTCTAGATAGCTTCGGTAAGCATAAGTTCGTCGACGACCAGAAAAAGGAAACTGAGAAGGAGCCCGTGTTGGAGAAAAAGACGGAGAAACCGGAAGTGCGGAAGGAAGAACCCGAAATTGATACCAGTAAGGCGGAAGAAGAGCGCAAGGAGAAGCCTGTTGACAATCTGCCGCCGACAACGGAAGACGCGATATCCGGGGGAGGGGCCACTCCTAACCTAAGCGCCTGGTTTAAAGCGTTCGGCGCGCCGAAGATGCAGCCACCCGCCAAGAAGGGCGACGATAGCAAGCCGGAAGCGAAAGGTGGCGAGGATAATAAACTCACGGAGTCGCGCAAAGTGCCTATGCCCGCCACATCGCCCAGCAACGACCCTCCCGCGATGCTGCAACCCTTACCCAGACAGAGGAGGATCAGTACAGGCAGCAGCATGTCAGAGAGGTCATCGTTCAGCCAGGACATGGACTCGCCTCGAGTCGGCATGGACGAACGCGGGGCTTACCCGGCCCCCTACCCCTCCCCATTGCACAGATCACCGTCGGGCGCATCGCCCATCATGGCGTCTCCGCGGCCCGACATCTCGCCCAAGTCGGCTGCATATCCAACCATCAACGGGCAGATGCGCGTCGGATTCTATCAAGACACGGTATCGACGAAGAGCAGTCCAGATAAGTCGTGCAGCCCGAGAGAGAATCCCACCCAGTCACCATATGCTCACTATTCGGAGCATGTCTACGCGCCCAACACCACCGAGAACGCATACTACAACTACGCGAACTCGCCGTACTACACGCACGCGCCCAACTACTCAAGCACGAATCCAACGCCTCCGTACAACACCGACGCCGGACCTTCGTACTACGACACTTCCAAGCCTGCAAATTACACGGCAAACTCGCCCCTGAGCAACGCACCTTCCCCCGCCAACGTTCAGCCCGGCGTTTACTCACAACACTCGCCAACCATTCTTCCGCAGAACTCTCCCAACGTTCGGTCGCAAATGTCGCCCAACGTACACGCGCAAATGTCGCCCAACGTTCATGCGCAAATGTCGCCCAACGTTCATGCGCAAATGTCTCCCAACGTTCACTCACAAATGTCTCCCAATGTGCATTCACCAATGTCTCCCAACGTGCACTCACCAATGTCTACTAACGTGCACTCACCAATGTCTACCAACGTGCACTCACCAATGTCTACCAACGTGCACTCACCAATGTCTCCCAACGTTCACTCGCAGATTTCGCCTAACGTTCACGCGCAAATGTCGCCCAATGTTCACGTGCAGATGTCGCCCAATGTTCACGCGCAGATGTCGCCCAGCGTTCAGAATTCTCCGTCGAACCTACTAATACACTCGCCTAGCGTGCCCGCGGACAGTTCTCCGCAAGTGGCGCTTCCTGAGCCTTCGCCCATTCTTATCCCCAGCTCTCCGGAGATGGATGCGTTCCAGGTGGAGGACCGCGACAAGACGATGGAAACTGTGAAGAAGCGCGCTTATGCGGACACCGAGTTGCCCCAACTGAGCAAACAGCGTTTCGAAATCGACCCTCGGTTGACTCAGCAACTAGAGCAGAAGAGGAACCACCAAGCCAACATGGAGAAGAAGCAGGAAAGCAAGCCGTACGTGCACCAGAACATCCCCGATCCCAAGGCGAGCGCTCCTGTGGCCCCCGCGAGAGAGAGCTACCCCGCGGTCTCGAACGCTTTCGGCTCGTTCGGAAGCGAGTCGAACTTCTCGCTGAACATACCGACGGGCAGGAATCAAGTCAAGATGGACCTGTCGCAGTACACGAACATGGGTTATACGGGTCCCGAGGTTCAGTATACGCGATCGCTGCAGCAGTTCTCGCGGTCAGATTTGAATTATTCTTCCGGATCGCAAAAACCGACGTTGACGACGCCCAGCGATATGCAGACCGGTGATCTCTCGATGCGCTACGGCGATCACTTGCAACAGATGAGCTACAAGAGCACGTCGAATCCTCAGCAAGCGCGTTTGAACTCTGCGAACGACAACATAAGCGAGCGACTGACGCAGAGCTTGTCGCATATGGTCGACGAAAGGTTGATGGCTGGTTTGCAAAACGCCGGTTCTTTCTATACCGACAAGGGTTTGGGATCGTCAGCCGCGCACATATTCAATAAGCCAATTTCGACCAGCGCTTCTGCTCTGCCGATTTTCAGCCAGTCGAATATGGCCGCCGCCATGCAGTCGTACGGTCAGAACGTTCAAGGTACCACGACGTCGATGTACAACAGGCAGATGACGGAGTTGCAGAACGCCGCGGTGATGCAGAACGATCTCAAGACCGGGCAGCAGATGCAGGCGCAAGAGAAGAAGAGCAAGAAGAGGAAAAGCAGCAAGAACGGTGAGTGGTTTTCCTTGTTCAAGTTTTTTTTCTGTCAATCAGCAATTGGAGGGTATGGCTGATGAGAACAGTGAACAAATCTATCAGTGTTATTCCTCATTTTGAGAAGAATGTAATATGTAGTTGAAAACACAGGGAATGGGGTTCATGTTACAGTTACTTGTATAAGTATTTATGAAATATAATAGGGTGGTTTAAACAGAATGCTTCAACCGTGTTTATTTTTATTAATGGTTTTTCTTTAATTTAATTGTATCTTTGGTTAAATCGAAACATTTTCTAACGACGCACTTCAAGATAGATTTACTTCACTCGCTCATATGTTTCACACTTTTTCGTCAGTTGGTGGCAGCGCACCAGAATCTCAACAACAGGCGGCACCAAATCAGGGCTTCCAGTCGTATGTGGGGTTGAAAGGGACCACTTCCATTGAACCAAGTGCAATATCCTTGAAGACGTCCAGCGTCGTACCCGGCAGCGCCTTCAATTTCGGGCCGACGCCCTCTGGTGAGTTGAGAAACAAGCCAATTATTATTGTAGCATAAAACAATTGTATTGTTTCTTTCAGGTTTGGGCATCGGTCCGGGCCTATACTCCGACAAAGATGCATATCCGAATTTCCTCGACGAGTACCGATCAGCTCCGAATTACTACATGGCTGCCGCGGCGGCCGCTCACCACAGAGCCACACCCGAGGCCAGCGAGAAGCAGACGAGACCTGCACACCAGAGTTCGAATCCGCAATCCACGGCTGCGTACCCGTTCTTGGGGGCGCCACAGGCTGCCAGGTAAAATATAATCATTATTATAGTCAAATGCGACCATTTAGTTTCGTGAGAGGGTGGGGAGATATGAATGAGAGAAGGAATTGAACAAAGAGGGAAATATCAAATGACAATATGCTTCTTTGTCCGAAGATTCTTATTTTAGTGAAAAAAAAAAGTGAAAATTTTAGTCCTAGGTACTTAGTCCGATCAGGCCAACAAAAAAAAAGTTTTTGAAAACTTTGTTTACTTTAATTGCTGATTTTTATAGATTTTTGTGTGCTGAATCCAAATCTGGTCTTAGTTTTTGAGAAATTGGCTTTTTTATATAACTCAAAATCTGTAAGGTATATGGTAAAATTAATGAAACACTATGTTAAAGCACTATCATAGTTTTTATTTACAGTAGGTTACTTGAGATAATGATACAGTGTTGTAATGTAGGTTTCACTAGTCAGATAGAATTGGTGTATACTTCCTTTCTCTCTTTTCTTTGAAGTTTCTTGTGTAGCTTTTCCTGTGATGAGTTGCTTGTTGAGCTTCACAGTTAAGTGACCAACAGTAGTCTCCCATCATGTTGATGTTCCAGCGGCCCTTGTAACGTTTTTCTATCAATTTGATATCTTGGTGAAAACTCTCACTCTGCTCCTCACTAACATCTCCCAAATTTTCCGGGAAGTAATCGAGATGACTGTTCAAGAAGTGGACTTTCAGGCTCATCAAACATTCTAGTTTCTTGAAAAAATTTAACATTTAGCTACAATGGTACGATATTCTGGGTCTTTTGCATTTCCTAAGCATTTTGTAACAACTTGCTTGAATGATACCCATGCTTCTTTCTCATGTATGGTCATTGTGGTTTCAAAATTTACGTCGAACATCATTTTTCGAATGTCGGGTCCTACAAAGACGCCTTCTTCAAGTTTAGCTTCTGAAAGGTTTGGAAATTTCTGGCATAGATACTTGAAGCAAGGTCCATCTTTAGGCAATGCCTTTACAAACTGTTTCATGAGGCCTAAGTTTATATGTAGAGGTGGTAAGAGAATGTTTTTAGGATCTACAAGGTTTTCGCGGAGAATGTTCTTCTCGCCGGGTTTTAAAGACTCTCTCATAGGCCAGTTCTTTCTGCTTCAATGTTGATTCCTTGCTCTACTGTTCCATTCGCACACAAAACATGGGAATTTGGTAAAACTGCCTTGCTGACCAAGAAGCATGCATATTACTTTCAAGTCACCACATATCATCCAACCATGAGCTGAATAGCCAATTTTATTCAACACTATTTCTAGGTTTTCATAGGTCTCTTTCATATTTACAGAATGGCCAACAGATATAGATGCCTACGTGTTACTATTGTGTAATAAAACAGCTTTTAAACTAGTTTTGGGAGAATCAATTAACAGCCTCCAGTTTTCTTTTTTGTATTCAACACCAAACCTTTATCAGACCTGGAATGCCTGAGCAGTACACTAAATCACCTTCTTGTTCAAAAAATTTGGAAAACTGCTCCTCTCTCTTCCTATACACATATATGCTAGTTCCAACTGCGAACAAGTTATTTTCTTTTAGTCTAGAACCAAGCAATTCAGCTTTTTCTTTTGTTAGCCCAAGATCCCTAACCAAGTTGTTAAGCTCAATCTGATTGAATAGTTCAGGCTCTATATTTGCTGTAGCACATTGGAACTCTTCATCATCTTGCTCATCTATATCTGACAGTACATCAGAGAACATTTCAGTTTAAACAGAATTCAAATCATCTGGAGGTAGCAATCATCAGTGTGGTTTCTAGGTTCCCTGCAAACCATAGCAACAGCGTACTTAAAGGCTTTTTTCTCATTTTTTTACCATTTACTAAGATCTTCAACACAAACATAACATTCCTTATGCGGGGCCCAAGATTTATCCTGATCACCAAGTTTAATTCCAATATATGTGAAATAAACCTTTTTCACAAAGTCTGTAGTGTTTCTTTGATGTTTTTTTAATAACAAACTCACCACAAATATAACAAAAACTGTCGGCAGAGTTCTTACAACAGCGACAATAGTCAGATAACAGGTACTCTATGTCTGTGTCCAAAGAACAACATAACCCTTTTATAGAATTAGGTCCATCAAGGTCACGTATTGAAATATGTTTGTCAACTTCTTGAATAAGCTTCTAAGTATGTCTTTTTGTATTGAAAGTGGGATGAGAGAAAACTAAACTCAGGTTAATTGCACACTTCTTCAACACCCTATGAACTGTATATCTTCTTTCAGATCCAGCTATCCAATTGGGGCTCCCTTCATTCCAAATGCGCAGTCGCAGCTAATGGACACCGCATCGCCCCTATACCAACATTACCTGCAAGCAGGCGTGCTGAACCAGAGCCTGCTTGGCCCCCCTGGCGCATATCCCCCCGGTTACCACGCCGCGCTGAGCATGAGGCAGCCCTACGATTCTATGACGAGGCCCCCCTGGATCTAGTTGGGCTTCTCGAGTTTCTAGAGTATTTTTTACCAAAGACTTTCATTTTCTCTTGGTGTATATAATTTTTCAGTGAATTTGTAAAGTGTACATATGCGGCTAGTGTTCTAAGTAGGTGTATTAAGTGTTGATCTGGTTTCGTTTCCGGTGATTTTCAAAACTTGGTTGGATTCTGATCGGGAGGGTTGAACTTAGTTTTATTGTAGATTCCGAATTTTCATCTTCAGAATTCCGCTGTAATTGTCCAGTTTTGGTGATTAGTGGGTTTTTAATCAATTTGCAAATCAAATGTTTGTTTCTTAACCGAATGTTTTTTGTTGTTACAAAATTTATTTTTTTTCTAATTTTAATATATGACTGAAATTTTTTGAACAAATATTATAGAGATACGATCAAATTTTACAACTATTCTAGCTATCTGCAATTTGATACGAAATGATTATTTTATTGTTTAAGTTTGTGTTTGCATCTTCCTAAAAAGGGATTAGTGAAGGCAGGGCAACTTTGCGGAATAATTTTTTTAATGTGCAGGAACACCACATCAGTGTCTCTAACATCTCCCTATTTGAAAACTATGTTTAATATAATCTAAAGATGACATTGAGTAAAAAAGCGATAAACACGGGACTTTAATACAATGAATAATATTTATTAGTGAAAATCTAAAATAATCAGCGATTTATGTAACAGTATCATCATTAAAATGGCTTGAAATGTCATATATTATCATTATATTCATCAATTATNTGGGAAATGAAGGTTTTGGCTTTCTTTCGAATACTCGTGATTTTATTTTATCGGATTTTTTTTCTTTGATTGAAGAGTGAGCAAAAACGTTTGAGAAATAAATAGATTATGAGTAAAAATGTTTTCTTTGGTGGGAGGCACTTGAATACATCGGTGGGGTATTCCTGTATTTTTCTTTGGTTTTATTCTTCGAAGATCCCTTCAGGCAATGAAGAAAACAATTACAGCTATATTTTTATTAGCAAGTGTTAAAGTTCTGTGATTTTTATATTTGTTGGTAATAGTCTTTTTTTAGTTTTCTAAAGTGTTTACGAATCTCGTTAAAGGTATACGGTTATAATTTTTTACTGTCAAACGAATCTTAGGCTAGACCATTATTTTACCACGTGTATCATTTGTTTTATGTATCTCTAAGTTTGAAACGATTCTCGAACCGGTTGTTTATGTGAGATAGTTTTGTTTTAAGTACGGGTGGAAAAATAAAACATTTTCAGATTTAGTACAGTTTGGAATAATCTCGATTATTGAATTGACATTTTATATCATTTTTCATGTGATTGAAGTTCGTGATTTCGATGAACATTCCCGAAGGGTTTGTGTTGCAGCTATCCGTTACTTCAAATCGATTGTTCTCGTCGTTCTACTGACGTACAGGGTGGTACAGAAACTCGGGAACCGAAATCTCGTTAGGCGCCCCAGCTTGTATATCTTGATGATGTAATATACGTATGTATCATTTTGAAAATTATTCAATTTCAGCGAAAATCAATTATTGATATTTAGGAACACCCTGTACATCGGAGCTGAACAGTTATCGTGTGTAATATCGGGTTCGCCTTATATACGCTAAGCGACAATAGAAATTTGAACCAATAAAAAATATCAAATGTAAACATGAAGTACGACTCGAAACAAATGGTCGTGCAAAGCTTTAATCAAATTTTATTGTACAAAAATTTTCGACATTATAAAATCAATTATCCATTGTGTACATACAAATTGTAAATTAAGACATATGTATTGTTGTACGAAAAATAAATAAATATTTAGTGATTTGTATTTGGAATTGTATCTTGCTTAGTATGATCACCCTGTATATCGAAGTTGAGTCCAATACAGTTTTTTTTAGAGAGTATAAAACAAAAGTTGAGTAAACTAAGCCAACTGAAAGAAAAGAAGAGATGAAAGAAGGTTTCAAGAACAGATAAAAAAACTACAGCAATAAAAAATGAAAATGAGAAAAGGAATAGAAAATAATGACAGGTGTTAAAAATTTAAACTAGAATAAGAAAACCATAAAACGAAACATTAGGACAAGAGAAAATACAAGGACATAAGTAAAAACCAAGATAATAGAACACAGGAACAGATGAAGTTACTTAAACACAATAAAGAAAATAATTAGAAGGAACGCAAGGTAGAATAGTTGGAGAAAAGTAGAAAGAAAGGAATAAGAATTAAAAAATGATAAGAAATACCAAAGGAGTGAAAGACTGCAATAGAAAAAAGAATTAGAAGACATGAACAAGAAAGGAGAATAAAAAAGATGACAGTAGAATACAGGAACGTGTGAAGTTGCTAAAACAAATAGAGGAAATGAAATAATTAGAACGAATACAAGAGAAATAAGGAAGGAAAATAAAAACAAGAGAAGTCACCAAAATAGGGAAATAAAAAAAGAAAAAGAGAAAGAAACAACAAAGGAGTGGAAAACTGAAATAGAAAAAAATTAGGAGACTTAGGAAAATAAAAAAGAAAATAGTAGAATATAGAAACAGAGTAAGTTGCTGAAACAAATACGAAAAAAAATAATTAGAAGGGATACAAGAGAAATGATGAAGGGAAATAAAAACGAAAAATTACTGAAATAGAGTAATGAAAATAGAAAAAGGGAATCAGCATTTAAAAGGAATTGTACAAAAAACAAAGGAGTAGAAAACTGGAATAGAAAAAGAATTAGGAGACATGCATAAGGAAGGAGAATGAAAAAAGACAGTAGAATACAGGAACGGATGAAGTTGCTAAAACAAATACAGGAAATAAAATAATTAAAACGAATACAAGAGAAATAAGAAAGGAAAATAAAAACAAAAGAAGTCACCAAAATAGGGAAATAAAAAAAGAAAAAGAGAAAGAAACAACAAAGGAGTAGAAAACTGGAAAAGAAAAAAATTAGGAGACATGAATAACTAAGGAAAATAAAAAAGAAGACAGTAGAATATAGGAACAGATGAAGTTGCTGAAACAAATACGAAAAAAAAAGTAATAAGAAGGGATACAAGAGAAATGATAAAGGGAAATAAAAACGAAAAATTACTGAAATAGAGTAATGAAAATAGAAAACGGGAATCAGCATTTAAAAGGGATTGTAAGAAAAAACAAAGGAGTAGAAAACTGGAATAGAAAAAGAATTACGAGACATGCCTAAGGAAGGAGAACGAAAAAAGACAGTAGAATACAGGAACGGATGAAGTTGCTAAAACAAATACAGGAAATAAAATAATTAAAACGAATACAAGAGAAATAAGAAAGGAAAATAAAAACAAAAGAAGTCACCAAAATAGGGAAATAAAAAAAGAAAAAGAGAAAGAAACAACAAAGGAGTAGAAAACTGGAAAAGAAAAAAATTAGGAGACATGAATAACTAAGGAAAATAAAAAAGAAGACAGTAGAATATAGGAACAGATGAAGTTGCTGAAACAAATACGAAAAAAAAAGTAATAAGAAGGGATACAAGAGAAATGATAAAGGGAAATAAAAACGAAAAATTACTTAAATAGAGTAATGATAATAGAAAACGGGAAGCAGCATTTAAAAGGGATTGTAAGAAAAAACAAAGGAGTAGAAAACTGGAATAGAAAAAGAACTAAGAGACATGAATAAAAAAGGAAAATTTAAAAGAAGACAGTAGAATATGGGAACAAATAAAGTCGTCAAAACAAATAGAGCAACAACATAGAAGAAAACTATCCAGAGAGAAAACTGAATACACGAGAGACAAAAAAGGAAAATAGAAAAAAACATTTTGGAAACGAGGAGTCATGAAAGATTTCCAGATTCTTTAAAAAGTCCAAAAGTGCTACAATAGCTAGTCTAGACTTAATACAACTGTACAGTAGATAACCTAACCTACTCAAGCTATTACATACGTACATTCCTAGGAATCAAATATCCTCCTATTGGAGTGTCCTGAACGAGAAACCTGCTGTTTGCCCCGGCAGTTGGAGACAGCCTCAAAGTTTCCTTCACGCACGCTCTCAGGTACGTGGAGCAGTCAGTACGAGATTCTTGTTTTGCCTGCTTTTGCGCTTCCTTGCTTTTCGCTAAATAAAACAAAGTTAAAGCTGTTGTTGTGGCTGTTGTATCAATCCCTCCTGAAAAATCACACAATAGTATTTACTTCCAATCGCAAGCAACTCGTTTACATATAATATCAACGATATAGGGCTCAAGATAGATCCTTGAGGTACTCCAAGGTTTGAGTAGAAATGTTTACTTCTCACCAAAAAATACTTCCATTGCCAACATAACACAATCCTCTTCGGTTAATTTGTTATTGTTAAGTAAGGAATACATGAAGGGGTATTTATTTTGCACTACGAAGGGGTCGATGTTGTATTGTTCCCTTGTGATATTCAAGTGGCTTTCCATTATCCTGTAAGAAATCATTTATGAGTGGAGCAAGAAATATCAATGTTAACTTGAATTCAGCACATGAAGTGCGTACTTGAAATCTAAATGTAAAACTGATTGAAAAACAAGCATCAAATCAAAGGTTTTCTATTTTTCTCAAATGTATTAATTGAAGTATCAAAAATATTCAGATCTAGATTATTAGTTGAACATGAAATATGATGAAAAGGTCTCCAATATGTATAATTTGTTTCATGGTGTTTTGATGAATAAAAATAGTTAGAACCAAGAAAGTTATCGAATTTGGATCCACTTCATCAATTGGCTATTTGTTCCTTTATTCACCTCACCATAATAAATGAAAAATACAGATTCATAGTATTTTCACATTTGAAAATTCATCTTTGAACATGTTAATATTTTTCATACACATTTTGAGTTTGAATTTCCCTATTATAAACGACCAATGTTTCTTGGGAAAGTTGAAAAAGAAAATTTCACCTTTTGTTACTAATTTGACTTCAAAATTTATCCTGGCTAAGAGTTTTGGGCGGCAAACTGAACCAAAATGAAGTTTAAAGAAAGATCTAAGGGCAAACTTCATGATACAAGGGTAGGCAGGTTTGAAGTTAATTGAATATATGAAAATTTTTAATGACTAATCACTAGTTTCAGCTTGATTGAGAAGTTTATTTTGTACCAACTCTAATGAATCCCAAATGAGATCTAATACATGAAGAAAAGCAGATATTGAGTGATTTCTACAAAAAAAACACCATTTGATGTAAGTATTTTTAAAAGAGAACTATTTTCTATATCATGTTCACTAGCTATTTCAAAATGAAAACGTTACAATGAATGGATGCAATTTATTGAAAAATACCATCTACTTACTTGTGGATAGTTTCGTGAGAAGACTTCAACAACTTGTACCCTGACGTTTCAAATAATTTCCACAAAGGGGGACCAATCAGAGTTTTGTAAAGCCCGTCCATGAACTCTTTACTGGCAGTTTTGATAGCCTCAGTCGTTGGATCACTCTTCGAGATGCAGTGAAATCTCTCGCCAGGACAAACAACAGAAATTGCTACAAAAACACACACCAAACAGAATTTTTTGAAATACGTGAATCACAGCAAAAAAACCTTCAATGGCAAACTTCAGAAGGTGCTCCATGGTATCGTTCAAAACCCCCCTCTCGTCTACAGAGCTTTCGATATAGTCCACGAACTTAGCAGCAACATCCTCCTGTTGTTCGATGAATCGTTCCAACATTTTGGGTTTCAATAATGGCGTGACGCCTCCTCTGAATTTGTACCACTCGTCTCCGTTTCCTGGTACCACCCCAACGCTATTGAAGGCTTTCTTCCTATAATGATGGAGAGCCGGAAAAGGAGGTCTGATGGGCTTTGTTCCTTCGTTTCGATACATAGCTTCCGCGTTATCTGCGTCCGTTGTTATAACCATATTTGTGCCTCCCAGGTTTAGTCTGAATATTGGCCCAAGTTGCTTACTGATATCTAAGACGGCTTCTGTTAATCTTTCCGCTTGATAGGCCCCTACGTAAGAAATAATTCAAGGTATTTGATTACTTACCACAAACTTACACAATAACAATTACTCAACGAAACTTATAATTATAATATATTCGACTAAAATCAATTAATACAAATACTGGGAAAAGATCAATTTACCACTCATGTATCCTCAAATCTCTGAAACTGTTGAAAAATCAACTACATTAAAATGTAATCTAAAAAAATGTTTTCTATCCTACAGCCACACAAACTTTTTTTAACATATTTTCATTGAAATTTGTGTTTTATTATTTTTCTGCTGAAGTTACTTTATATTCTCTATTTTCATCATGAAAAAAGTTCCCAGTGCTATGCACAAATTAATGATGATAAGAATTCAACTTACCGCCTGGTAAGAATAAATATGTATGGCCAAGTAATGGGTATGATTTTAATGATGGGATATCAGCGAATGTTTTCAAATTTTTTAACATTTTTGCAAGCACCTATTATTATGGTTATGGATATCAATGCCGGTTTATCTGGGAGGAAGATTTTTGCTATAAATTGAACGATATGGGTGGTGAAGATAGTCAAATAACACAGAAAGAAATAAATAAATAAATATTGAAATTTGAAAGCAGCTACAAAAAAATATGCAACAAGTGCGACAGAACAACGCTATATAGAATTTCAGAATGTTGAATTTAATGACCTTGAACCATGTTTTGTGTAGTATTCCATGACCTTAATTCTAAATATAATCAGAATAAACAAAAATATATATTTTTAGACAACGCTTAATTCTGTTCTATAGTTTTCATAAGTACAATTTTTGTGTGTAAATACCCATTTTTTTTTCAAAATGATGAAATCGTTTCAGTATCTAATGAACGTCTTTATTCAGGACGACCTTGATGAGAGTGACATCTATGTTTATCAATACGAACAACAAACTCTAGGAAAACATAAATCATTACCATAATGAACAACATTCGGATATTCATCAATGAATTCATTTACTGCAATATTCTTTCACAGATATGTTGAAGTCAACTTTTCATAATGATTAATTAATCCAAAAGCTATTATTCAGTGTGATGATTACATTCCCTGAAATTCGAAACTAACTCAGAATCGATAAATCAATTTGGAAATTCATGTCTGTACGTAGTAAACATTTTCCAAAGAAGTTTTTCCTTCAATATATAGAATTCTATATATACAGTGTATGCAACTGTTATAATCATCTGCCAGAGTGTATGTTCATGAACAATTTGCTCTGAGATCTGAAACTAGTAATACTCTAAATCCATCAACAAATTCGTAGGCGTTGCAGTGAACACTTTGATAGAGATTGCATCTCAAAACAATTTCAAAATTTCATCCAACAGACTTATAAATGTATATTGAAGACTCATAATAACGATAATCAATAGGACTTGCCAGTGTTAGCCTCACTCCGCGAGGATTTCAATGAACAACTTAACCTGGCACAAAAAAATCGCTCGAATTATTCTGATGCTTTACCGCTGAGTATCCGACCGATAATCACAAGTATTTTGTGAGAATTTTTGGTGATAAAAAATATTTCGTACAAATTTCAATTCAAGTTGTCATTCTAACATTTTCTCAGATTTCCTGAGGGTTTGCACTGTCATATTTTGTTCTAATGGTACCCTCAAATTGCAGATTTCTGTGAAGATTTTGTATTAGAGGTTACAACAAACGGTAGATGTCACTTAATTCCTGATTTTACCGAACAATGAAACTATAGACACTTGTGAAATACTAAAATTGTTATTAATGAAATTCCACGAGTGGGCCCTGTTTTATTTTTACCTCAAAAAATGTATTGCAGTTAAAAGGGCAAATATTTAGGGTGGAAAAATACAGATTGAAATGTAGCGAATTTGAAACAATTTTCCATAAAAGTTCCTTCGCCATATCGATAAAATAAACAACTTTGAAGACGTAAGCCGACCGGTTCCCTCCGTGCGTCCTCGAGAACGAAGACCTGATCTTCCGGTGTAGACAGAAAGAATGTCTCAACTGCTATGCAGCGTAAATCTTTCGGATGCCATTCCCGATTCCCAGCCGTACGCACTTTTATTAATAATTACCGAGCGATAAAAGAAAGTTGATATGTAAGTTGGAGAATTTCGCCGCTCATACCAAAGCGCTGGAGGCCACTCGATCGAGGTCACGCTTCCAGAGAAGTCGTTCCTCGTAGTCAATAAGCTACAGTCGAGGAGCGTGCAGGTAGCTGGAATTACTTTCTGTGGACACGCGCGTGGCGATCGAAAAACAGCTGAACTCTCGTCGTTTTGTGCGTTGTGCGTCGAAGACGATGTGATTTGTGCGCAATTTTCGGAGGACAACCCTACGTTTGTTGTTTTGCGTAGATCGGCAGTAGATAGTAAGTATGCGCAGCAATAAGATAGCTTTCGTAATAGACGGCTCGCTCACTGCTGTTTTGTTTTCGTAGCGTGAACGCGAAGTAGTTTCTGTAAATAGTTATGCGAAACGTGTTTTATTTTTATTGTATCATAAAACAGGACATTTGAGTGTGTGGAAGAGATAACTCTGCATATTTATGCGACTTATTTGAAGTTGAATTTTCAGTTAACATAGGTGTTTGAATAGAAGCTTGAACAAAAATTATATTCCTAGAAATGATGCATCAAAATAAACTCGAAAGTGGACCCCAAAGTCAAAATTTAGAAATAGAAAGCAGTAGGATTTAAATGTTGAACTTTTAATGTGACATAACCTCATTCAGCTATTCGCGTTAAAAATGAAGTTTATTTCAATCCAGGATCTCATTACTCCGTAATTTTTTCATTCGACTGCACGAGTAGGTATAGGTAAATATACTGACTTTCGATAAATTCGTCATCTCCTGATTATACTTTCTTGATTAGCAAAATTATGTGACGAGACTCCAAGATTATGCAAACCTATATCCAGAGATACGACAATAGCATGGAACATTTTATTTTTTGAGATTGTAGGTACAAAACTTTGCGAGTCGAAAGCCTTCTTTGAAAAAGCGAAAGAAATAAGGAAAGCTCCATCAGGATAAGCATGTATTAGAACAAATTCATATTCATCCTAAAGTTTCAACAATAAATATTGCCTCTGAGTGTGATATATCTTCTGCTAATGTCAAAAAACATTTAAGAATACGATTACAATGCGTACGATTACAAATTCCAGAAGGTTCACAAATTGATACCAGATCAAGTGAAAAGATAATGTTGCTCTCTGTAAATAGTTTCAATGGAGAGACTGGGATTTTCAAAATAGATATTCTGGACTGATAAAAATGTACGATCACTAATAATACTATTTCCAAAAGAAAAAAACATCATCGGGCAATTGAGAACCCACATTTTGAACAGGAAACTCGTCCGCAACAAAGATTTTCATTGAATATTAGTGCGGATTGTTGAATAATCAAATTTTTTAATCATCTTTCATCGAACGGAATTTGAATGGCAAAAACCTTACGTAATGAATTGGAAGAAAAATGGACAAAAACACTGAGTATCAACACTTGAATCAACACAAGATGGATATGGCACCCATAAGGCCTGGAGTGTTGTAAATTATCTTCACGAAAGGTTTTCCAGGAGGTGAATTGATACAACTGGGCCAGAACCTCACTGAATCGAATCCCTGTTGAAACAGCAGAACTACTTTGAATTTTTATATTTATTTTGGGGCAATAATTTTAGGCTATTTTTGAACTCTTTTCCAGAATTTTTTGCTCGTCATTCAACGTCAAGCTAATAGAACCCTACCACCATTTTGCTGAACCAGACCACGTCATAATTTTAGGCTCCAATTGCCCCCTATCACCTATTTTCTATGTGTATTTTTATTAATCAGAAGATTCTGCTATCATTACCGTAACGCCGGTAGAGCCAAATTGAAATCCTTCACTCTTTGGAGTGGTTTCGATAGAAAAACATACCATTTGATGAAAGTATAGTTTAAAACAAAGGGAATATATGAACTCGACGAAAAGGCACAAAAATACTATTATTTTGCATCTGCCCCCTTATCATTGTGAACTTAAATCCCATTGAACTTTGGCTACAAATAAAGGATTTCGTTGCAAGAAGGAACATGACATTTACAATGAAAGTTGCTGGAAAACTTAAGGAGTTCTTTAAAAATAACGTTTCCGAAAAATGGCAAAAATGTTTCGAACATGTTATAAAAGAAGAAGACAACATATGGAAATTAGACCATTTAGTCAATAAACTTGTAGAACTTTCAATCATAACATTAGATGAAGATTTATCTGATCATAGTACACCATAATTTTTGTTTGTACCTAAATATATTTGAGTAGGCATACCTATTCAAATATTATAACAATAAAATTGTACACAGTAATTAGTTTCAACAAGTTTTTTGGTTGAATACCCAAACGCACACCGCCACAGATATAAAATGACCCAGGAGCTCGTAAAATCTTTTTTTTGCCCGTAGGGTTGGTCTGGTAAAGTACTATAGACCCGCCTATATCAGCTGTAGCAAATCATGACGAATTAAAAAACATTTTTAAGCATTCTGTCCTGCTATATTCATCATCAAGGTTCAAAATGTCAATTCGATTTGGGAATAACTGTTATAATCCCATGAGGATGTGGTGTTGTCTGTAGACACCACAAATTTTCTCGCCTCTCACGTCTTCTTAAATGCATTATACTAATGCCTATCTCTACTAATTTAACGACTATCCATTAAGATTCCAAATTCTTCACATTTCATTGTAATTAGCATAATATTGATTTATTGCCCATTTTTAATTCCATGATGTCTCTTTCACAACTGGTTTACACGAGCAGTTTTGTAAATTCTTATATAAACCTTTTGGCATAACTTAAGAATTACTGAGGTAAGCGGACAAGTTACACATATGTATACAGGGTGACTATGAAAAAATTATTTATCTACTCTGATGACAGCCTCATATTAACTTCAGGACTTGGATTCGATATTCATCTGATCAATTCTGAATTTCTTCTGCAGAAAGTGAATGACTCCGTAATACAGTTACTTGTGATGCACTTTTTGGAACCTTTGGTATAGTAATGAATATTACTGGAGTTTTTTCCCAACACCAAACCGTTATTTTAACACCTCGACACGTGTTTCGATCGACACATCAATAATTGATGAATTCCTAGTTTTGTTTGTCTTCTCACGTACACATTTAGAACTCAGCGACATTCAGCTAGCCAAACTTCTCACAACGTCATTTCAATAAATGTATCCCACCCCTCAAGGCATTAAAGCCTCAGATGATTATCTTTCTGAAGTCAAGGGGTGCCAAATCTGGAGAAAAGTATGGCTTGTCTAACAACCAGCTTTCATTCTACTACCAAAATTTCCAGTGGGATGGTGCATTAACCTGATATTATTAGTGCCCATACCACATCTGTACTTGTCTTCTTACGTAGATATTCAAGTAGGCGCTGATATAATTCCTCCATCCTCCGCACTTGTTTTTTCGCGCGCGGTGGTACTGTCATTACGTCGGCTGCGTGCTCTTATATGGAGGTCGTTCTGTTTCGATTCTCACCCAGAAACGGGACATGGGTCGTTCCAAATTTAGTCGTTGAAAATTCCGCAGGCACCCGCATGCCGCATTTTGAACTGCATTTTATCGGCTGTCGAACTGTTCTTTTGGACGTGATCGATCTACAAACGGACTTCTTGCTGCCTGAGCGTGACTCCGTTTGATAGCACGAAACTATGGGATTGAACTTTATTGCGGTTATGTTACAGGTTGTATGTAGAGTTGGAATATCAGGAAATGTTGCTGAAGATAAAATAGCACAGTGGGTGAAAAGATACGATAAATTCAGACGAGTTACTCGAGCTATCGATATCATTCGAAGGTTTTTCACTCCTCTTGATTTGAAAAACTCAAAATGAATCAGAAATTGAAGGCGAATCATCAGAATTTTCAAGAAATGTTTGAACAATAATTGAAATGGATGGTCATCCAACTTGGTAGTAACACATCCTTCAGAAAACCAACTCATATGACTTGAAGATGGTTAGTTTTAACATACGTAACTTTTTTTTCATGTCTCGAAAAGGTTTGTTGCGGTGTACACTGTAAACATTAAAATGCATTGAATATGAGTGATTTATGACCCAAGCAATCATATTTCATACTTCAAAATATGCATTTACGGCTATCGCACCGTTAAAGACGACTGCATCTCATAAAATCATAGTTTATGATTGTTTGCCGCCTTCAAATGCATGTAGTATATAGGGTCTAAAATGTGTGACTCACAAGTGCAGATAGCCAGTCTTTAGTCATATCAATTCCTACTTCATTTCCGTTGAAATTGTTTATGTGTTTCTGAATTTCTATTTCCTCCCTATATACAGGGTGTAACTGAATAAGTGTAAAACATTTAAGGAGGTGATTCCTCATCGAAAAAAAGATAGGATCATTCATATAAAGAAACTTCATTGGAGCATCCCTTGTTAAGATACAGCCCCTTAAAGGGGGTACATAAAATTTGTATAGCAATTTTTTTTACAAGCACTGAAAAAGTTACAATATTGAAATTACCCTGACGTTTTGTACTACCAAAAAGACACTTGGCCAGCAATTTATTTGGTTCACCCCATGGTTGCAAGGGGTGGAAAACGCAACCTCTACAATTTATTTCCGATGTAACTCTTTGTCTTATTATTTGTTTACCATTTGAAAATTTATTTCCGATAGCCTGTTTCATTCTAAACAAAAAATGTCTCTTGGGTTTTTTGCCCAAAATAAACCAGTTCGCAGGAAAAAATTATTTTACGAACAACTACAGAGATACATCGTCATAAATGCGAACTGGATTTATTGTTATTTTGTAGTTAGTACCTGCATTAAACGATTAAAGGGTAATAAACAAAACTAATTTATTAATAACAAAACACACAACGTGTAGAAATCATAGTAAATGTTCAATATGTCTACCTTCAGACATTACGCATGCGTCTAGACGTGTGCGCATTGAGCCACGTATTCGCTCAAATATTTCTGGAGTCTCTCTGATTACCCTGCACGCATCGATGATGCGGTTTCTCAAGTCCTCTACATCGCGAACAGGAGTACGATAAACCAAATGCTGTAAATGGCTCCAAATAGAGAAATCGAGAGGTTTGAGATCCGGGGATCGAGCGGGCCAGTTCTGCGGTCCTCCTCGACCTATCCACTTATTTGCATATATTTCAATTAAATGCTGACGTGCTACTTGACTAAAATGGGCGGGAGCCCAAAGGAACTTCCTCCAGCAGTACTGGATGCACTTCTCTTAAAAATTGAACGTATGCCTCACCATTTAAGCAAGGAGGTAGGAAATGAGGCACAATTAAATCATCCCCAATAACTCCGAGCCACAAGTTAAAAAAAAAACTGTTCTTGATGTTTGGTTTCGACAATAACGTGAGGGTTTTTTTAGCATTCGTGTGCCGACCGCAGAGACCTACAAATACCTGAGAAGTGGTTCAGGTCATAGTTCGCTTGGCCGTTATTTTATTATTGTTGTAAAACGTCTTATTTCAATATTTACATTCTTGTTTTATCTTCGACGATTGTACCTAAAGTTTGCCGGCTTTTCCGGTACGTTTCATCAAAGACATGAATTTAGGTTATGTTTGATAACTGAAATTATAAAAAATATGAAAAATGTTCACGTACCTGTTATAACTAGGTCTTTTTCGAAACCTGAAAACCTCCCGTACAGAATTCTAGCTTTGTACAACTCAAAACAACGGTCATCACCATCACCTAAAAATTCCGTTGACACAACGGCGCAACATATAAACTATGATGCGCTGTAATTTGCTGAAGTGAAAACGCGCGAATTCATTTGAAATTTGAATATTTATTGGCGGTGTTCCACTGCACCCCTTGTTCTAATGAGCTCCCACTCCCAAAATGACATTAACGATATTACATAGTAACTTTTTCTAGGTATGATTGCCTGGTAGGAATATAGTCAGAGGCGATTTATTCAAATCAATTTGATCGTTCCGGGTAATAACCTAGCCTAAATATTTGTTGATTCCTGCAATGAATAGAACTTGTTACTCTAGCCTTCTATTAAGTGAATTGCTATTACTAAAAAAACAAGATTCTGATTTGATATGAGTTTGTGACAGGGTCGCGTCTGTCTTTTTGTTTCACCTGTGTAAAAAATTTCTTTTTGTTTTATCGACAATAACAAGATGCGTGTCTTCATGTCTCCAATTAATCATTTCAGTAGGTAGTGGCAATACTGTATACTTTTTCGTTAAACCAAAAATTTTTTGCTTCTGATCCCAATCACAGACGAAGATAGAACAATTTTGATAAGAGTCCCCAGTCATTTTCAAATGATGGGTGTTCAGATGCCACTTGCGAGCAAAATCCATCCCAGATTGCTATCAAGATAATGAGTATATGTAGTAATAAAAGCTGTGCACTTCCTGTCTTCGTGAAGTTCATCGCGCTGTAGTTCATTGTAAGTGCTCATCGGTTTCTGAGAGAGGTTGGCGAATCAGCTTTATACTCCGTGGAAATTAGGAAATAAGGCAGACATATCTGTTATGATTCATGACACATGTCTTATCTCATGACTAGGTATTACAGTTTAGATGTTCTTGATATTCTCTGATGTCGGCAGCAACTATAATGATGATAGTAATAAATATGTTTCATTTTTCAAATATCAAACTATTATGTAATGTACAAACAGGTGCAAATAAACACAAACTCAGATAATTAGCATATATACAGAATTTTCAACCGATTCTAGTTCAGACTCGTTATAAAATTCGTACAAACTTTGATATTGTCTGTTTACCAATAAATGTTTAATGTTTTTTTGTCTAAAAGAGTATATCTTCTGATTGATTTAATCTGGTAATACTAAGGATTATTCTCAAATCATAATACTAGATGTTGTTTCATAAAACGATCCTTCTTGCATGGGTTTCGTGAATACCCCTCAAAAAAAAGTCCATGGCTGAAATTTGATTTCTATTACAGTGCGGGGTGCACTTTTTATTCTAAAACTTTCAAGCATGATTTCATTTTGCAAGGTCAAATTATCAAGTACGTTGATTCAAGAGAAATTATATACGTTTTACTAATATTAAAAGATGGAAATAAATGCAGTAATTCTTTTGTGTTTTCATTTGATTGTTCTGTAACTTTTAAACAGATCGTCAATTTTATCTGGAGACTTTGTTTTCTGATTAGTGCAGAATTTATAACATGTTGACGTTGATTTGTTATAAAATATTCGAAATTAGAAAATGTTAGCAATAGTGAATTTACTATCGATCCTGATTCAACATGATCAATTAACGACGGTGAAATTGACGAGTTATTAATGTGATGATCACAATTAAATTCTCTGAAATGAAGCTATACTCTAAATGTTTTGTAATGCGACAGAACATTGTGTTTGTATTTCATACGATTCGATCTAAAAATTGCACTTTTATCCATAGAACTACAGTTCTCTGCTTTCATCACTAGTATGATCATAGTTTCACAGAACAATTAAATATTCATGATGTTCCATGACATTACGGGGTGCAATATGGTTAAAAGTGATTCAGTACAATTTCAATGTCTGGGTTGGTTTGTTCCTGAATAATATCACTAGTGCAGGGAAAAACGGCGCGAATATGCCACTATGGAATGAGAAATTTATCACGGATTGACGAGTTCTATCGGGAATCTGCTGCTCTTTTACACCTTTGCTGATTTCTAAGTGTCCATCGATATGAGTATCACGCAAAATGAAGGACTCATTTATCGAACTATTGTTAATATAGACGAAATTAAATTCGCGGCTGAAACCGGTCGACGGTTTTCGCTTCATTTCACAGAGGTGTTCGACGGGATCACCATAACCAAAGCGATCAAGCGATCAGTGTTTTTGTTTTTCTATACCACGACTTCATAGATAATTTAGTGTAAGCGCAAGGTGAGCGTGGAAACAAAAGATGCGCATTGTTGCGTGGACGCCTTGGTGGTTTTTGTTCGGTCCTCGATTAGCGAGTGTTTCACAGGCTTTTAATGGCTTTCGTTTTAAGCAACAATATATAAATCTTAGTGCTCAAATATTATGTCAATATTGCTGTGTTTCACACTTTATTATCGCTAGGATTAGAGTAATTGTATTGTGATTCACGCATATAAAAGTTATATCCGGCTCGAAGGACCGCTATTACAGCAAAGCTCTGATGGAACTTTTTCTGAACAGAATGTGAGAACTAGAAAACGCCAGATAACAATTATAAACCAATTACCTGCAATTTCTCGGTAATACTTCCTCATTACTAGTGGAAATACGCGATAACCGCAGACATTTCCTCTTCTTTTGTATTAATATATATATTACGTACCTCTCGGCCCGTTAGATGAAAATCTTACAACCAATTATGGACACGTATTATTTCGAGATTAGCCATTGTTCTTGAGATCTCGAGAGAACTCGCTGTAGAGAATTTACTCACAGTTGTTTATTAGGCGATACAACTGTAATCAACAATGAAAATTTACTTTCTCCCAACACTATGAGATTAGGGGATCACTCGGATATCCGGGCTGTAACGGATTGCAGAGATACTTCAATGAGATCGATATGAGCTAGAAAAATGATGATGAAGTATGCCGCGACCTTGTGATTCAATATCTCATCTGAAGAAAAATGTGGATTAATTATATGCAAATGCAGAACATGTTGATGTTTTGTTGTGGGAGAGTGAGAAAAAGTAATTTCGTCCACCTTTTCATGTTACTGGAAGTAGTAGAAAATTATGAAGTATATGTTCACTAATAGCTGTTGTAATATGTCTCAGTTTTCGTTAAATTGTAAATTGTTTGAAATTGTCAAGCTAATCTGGAAACAAGTTTACAACACAGTGCTGCCATTTATATCTATTTGTACTAGATTTGGAAATAAAATATACTAAATTGAATAAAATTGTACTAAAATCTTCTTCTTATCGGTTGATCATAATTCCTAGGTCTACAGGGCATTCTTCTGTGTATTTCTTCTTCTGTGACTACCTGAATTATTAGTGAAAATTATAAAAAATTTAAACATATTCTATCAAATCCAAAGCAGCAATCACTTTCTATAATTTCAACTTTAGTCTCTACGTTCAAAAGCTTTCGCTAAAATGCGCGAGAGCTTGCTGCTCAGTTTTGAAAGTATTAACTCTTCAGCAGAAGCAAAGTTGTTTTCATTTGATTCAGAGTTTTTTCGTCTTGATCAGGATTATGATTTCGATTCTCGAAACAAAAATTTATAATATCAATGATTAGATTAATGATTATTCACACAAATTAATATAATGTCTTGTAGGTAACATTATGACTTATGACAAATTTGAAAAATCACTTATTCGATCAAATATACCACAGAACAAATGGGTCAGAACGTGTGACAGAAACGATCAGTTTTAGTTCCGGTCCATTTCTGAATGAGCCTAGTTTCCAGATTGCACTTTGAATCAACTGTTTTTTTTCTATGGTTTATGCCACAAAACTTAATATGACCTTTTTGGCCGTGTACAGTTACCATTACTTTGATTTATTTTCAGGGAATGAGCGAATACGAACGGATAAGGAGAGCATGCCTGAAACGAGGAGAACTTTGGGAGGACCCGGACTTTCCCGCCACCCAATCTTCAGTGTTTTACCACCAGACCCCGCCTTTTCAGTTCACATGGAAAAGACCTAGAGTGAGTATTTCAGTCTTTCATCAAGTTCAGAAGATCTACGAATAATAGGAAACCTTTTCTCGCCTCATAAGCAATCACTTTCCGAAAGATGTTTTTGGTACCCAAAAACAAAAGCGGAATATTTCCAGAATCAGTTCCATGTCCCACTCAGTTCTCATTTTATTTGGGTATCGTGATGTATTACTGTTTCTTTTTATGTCTTTACTTTTGTCTTCTACTCATGTGTCTCCTATTCTAGTTATTAAGATGATCGTTGGAGTTCGAACATATGTCACTATTGTTTCAGAATAGTCATAGATCTACTTACAATTCGGCATTTGTTAATACAATTCCTATGAATGATAAATGATTGATTAGAATAATTACTGAAATTAAGATTATCCGGCTCGAAGGACCACCACTCACAATTGTGTACTTTTTACGCTTATATTTCGAAAGTGTGTATACCGTTGAATATATTCTTTATACTTTGGTACATATATTATATGAACGATATTTGTTTGGCAATTTTTGGGTTTTACGAGAAAACTTGTCTATATTCTTCATCTATCCGTGATGATTCACTTCTTTGCTCTTCTGCTGTTTGAACAAATATACAAATTTTTAGCAACATTTGATCACGTTAAACGTCATTTCAGATCTCAAATGAAAACTTCCATTATGTTTCTTGCTATGAAATCGTCGGACAACGTATCAGTTCTCTCCATACTTTCAGTCTCAGTTTTCCTTCGCGAAACAGCTTTCCAATTATCGACATTCAATTGTCGATTTCCATGTAAGGAAATGCCTACCAGCAGAGCCATTGTCCGTGGTGGCATGCGTTTGTTTTCTTCTCGACGTTATCTACGCCTACTGTGTCTAACTCGGTTTTAACTTTATGGCCGCCATCGCATTGCTGGAAAACGATCATTAAGCGCTTAATTGCATATGGATTATTCATGGTTGTTTTATAATTTTATCTTTACGTTCTCTTTGAGGTAAACCAGTTTCGTTAAATGTATCTGGTATTATTAGAATTCCACGTGTACGCGAACGATTAGGCTGCAGAATTTATTATCGAAATTGTCGATACAGTTACTCAGTATATCATTGACCTTTTCAGTGGCTGCAAACGGGGCTACTGTATTGAAATCTCAGACCCGGAAGGTATTGTGCACGTCAACTCCCTCCCCCCCTTCCGAAGGAAATGACATTCAAATATAAATTCAGTGAATGTATCGACAACTTTCGTTTGAGAAAAGTAACAACCTTCTATAGTAGTAGAAAAACCATATAAGCTGGCGATAATACAGAAATCTGTTGAATGTTTTACTGTCTGTAAGAATATATTTAAGACCACATATTGTGTTGTAGGATCTCGGCTTGCTATTATGCCGCTTGAAAGGTCTGACTCGCCCAATTTTTTCTCACATCTTTTCCAATCCATTCCAATAATCTTGTTTCTTGTATTAGTTTGTCCAGTTCCTTGGTTGAGTACTTGTCGTTTTCTTCCACTTGATTTTGGTTGTCCATATAATGAATTCTTCTTGTAATTCCGTACCGTCTGCCTCACATTCATATGATACATGAGAATGTATCTCCATCTCGTCGTTATATAGACTGAAGTTACGACTTCCGTCTTTTTTTACTACTTTGGAGCTACTAACTAGTCCATTTTTTCCGAGTGTCCGGAAGACATTCATTTCTTTGAATAGATATTTCAAGTTTTTTCGATCCCTCAGGCATAGCTCGCAGAATTTTCTAATCTGAATTGAACCTCTTTTTCTTTCCCCAGTTATTACAAGGTATGAAAAGTGCAGATTCAATAATGTCTCCAATGCTTCTGTTGGTGACTTCTTCATTGCTTCCGTCATTTCCAGATATGGTAATCTGTTGGTTGTCTGTTTCATTTTGACTACCAAAGCAAAGATGTATATTTTATCGTGACTTCAACCGACCATTATCTGCCTTCAGACTCTATATTTCGATCCTTTTTAGAAGTCAGTCGGGGATCTAAAATTACCCCTTCTTCACCCCAACATTGTAGAAGGCCCCAGTTCGTCTTTCTTGGAAGTCTTTATGAATTTTAAAATAGTCAGTTTGGGTGGGTTTATAATATCCAGGTTTTTATTTGCCTTGTACTACGATGACTTTCCAGGGTTTCATAATAGTGGAGACAGTCGATTGCTATATTTTGAATAAGTATATACCCCAGAGCCAAACTTGATATAATAGTATACTCAGTTTTTGAAGTAAAAGTCCTTTTCAGCATTACTGAAAGAATGACTTTGGTCCCAGCGACTTCTATAACTGAAATCTACCACTTTCTTAGCGACCTGGACATCCCGGTGTCAGATTTGTGTTGGTATACAGAGAAGTTGTCTTGAATTCTCTCCTCATTTCACTGCTCTGGTATGTGTTTGAAAGCTATTTTCCGATTTTTTGGGCCGTGGTCAGACGTTTCGTCTACTGCCGCAGTAGACATTATCAAAGGCGATGTAGTTACGTTGGTGCACAGTTATCTGCGTTCTTGAAAGTTTACGTACCCTCTGGTGTCTATTTGTACGACGTTCATTGAAAGCTGAGGCTTCCTCAATGGTATATCTAGGGGCTGCTTAACATCTTAGCATTGCACCCTTTGTGTGTCTCTCTTGGACTTGTTGGTTTACTTCTCGGTGAGTCTTCTTCCTATGTTAACCGTTCCAGAACTGCAATGACCCTTTATTTTTCACTGATGCATGATTTTCCATATTTACAAGGTTAGGTATCCGGTTGATGCTACTCTTGGAAGCTCGTTGGCGTGCAGGTTAGGCCTTTCAGAGGATGCTTCGGGTTGTTTATTCAAATCGATTGCAGTTCAATAATTTTGCACTTAAATCAAATTTTTTCAATTTTCTCTGAGCAATTGTACTCATAAGGAAGGGTAACACTAGACTTTTTCTCTTTGTTGGTTGTCTACGATTTTATAGGCTATGTTTGTCCTGCCAGTTTCTTGGAGAAGTTCTTGGTTAAGAACTCACTGGTTTTGCAAAAATGGAACGTGTAATGTACTTCTTACCTTCAAACATTCTGCGTTAGACATATTTTTTATACGAAAATTGTTCTAGTAACAAAGCTGCTTTGTAGTTTTTGGCTGGGTGACAGACTTCTGGAATGCTCTATATCACAGCCATCAAAATACCAAGTTCAAAGCAACAAAAATGGTTCTTCGAAAGAAGCAATTGAAAACTATTAAGACATCTCTAGAATTGGCAGATGAAATCTTCATTTCTCGGAGTATCGTATTTAATTGTTTTCGTCGTCCCGCCCTCGAATCGCCAACGTTGGTTTTGCTGCTGCCCACTCGCGGGGCTTTTAACATAACGAAGAGTTAAGAAATGCTCGACCTTGGGCCTTCTACAACTCAACTTTGTGAATGTAAAAATTCAATAACCAGAATCCGAACGATAATCATCAGTATTTAGTGCAGACCAGAATCCCGTTTCGATCCCAATGTTTCATAGTATAACTATGTATTGAATCCTGTAGGAATCACTCGATTACGATTGGTGTTTTTGTAGAACTAAAATCTATTATAATTGATGATAGTATCCGAAAAAATATATTTTACGAATCGACTATCGATTTAACTTCAAAATAACGTTTTATTTCAGTCAGCATTACAACAGGAACTTTGAAAGCATTTTTCTTATACTAACAAATGCAATATTTCGCAGAAATGCCAAAAGAAAATGTCTTGGTAACGATTCTTTTTTTCCTTTAGATATGCAGCGCCACCTAACATTAAGGGTCCAATAGAATTCCTGCTGATATTTGGGGGTTGAATAGATCGGTACTTCCTTCAGTTCTAATGTTCTTAGCGAGTGCCTGTCAGTTGTCAATCAGAGATTTCTATCTGTAAAATAATTCATCATACCTAAGGCGATTCAGTTGCTATTGAGTTTATTACGATTACTTTAAAATTGTATTATTCTGATGAAAAGCAATTGGGGAGTTTTCTTGTTTGAGATTTCCGAAGTCCTTCTTTCAATTTTAAAGTTTTAGCTCTCATAACAAAACGTCAACCTTTTTATGCGACAACCTCCTACAAAGCGATAAAACGTCATTTATATTCAGCAGTGAAGCGTGGTGGATGACTTATCAATATGGATGGACGCTAGCAATACTGGCAATTAATATTCCTAAACGATACTGCATATCCAACGATGTCAATATGGTAACGCTACTATAAAAAAATATTAGGAAAATGGCGTCAAATCAGGACCGTTACAGGTATGCCAGTGGCAAGTTTGTTGAAGATTGATTTGAACGTTCAAAATTGACAAGAGATCTGTCAAAATTGAGCCCAATATTGCATGGACGTTGCAAATAAAACTTGACAGAATCTATAACCCAGATGCGGACGTTCGATCAGAAATATCAAAGAACACAGCTTCAGCTTTTCAAAGGCTTGGGGAGACGACTGATACATCACTTGAATAGTCTTCACCCTTCTAATGTATTTTTAATTGAAAAATTCAAACTTGAATGTTTGACACTTTCTCTCAACATCAACCAGTAATAGTAGGAGCAATGTTATTGAATGACCTCCACCGATTGTCCTACAATAAGTCAATCGTCAATCTATTTTCTAAACTTCCCCTCATTATTAAAGTTGCCTGGAGTCAACAATCGGCATAGATTTTAGGGATTTGCAGGATTAGTAGTGCAATTTGCTCATTTTTTATTGATCTCAAGGTAGGGTGTTATGAATCTGGTCAGCTTTGGAATACCACATTTATTGTGTAAAACTAACATTGGTACTTCGAGCCGGATCTGACAAAAATGCAATGCAAACACAAATGTTATGAGCGAAACTCCCCGACAGCAACTAGTAAAAGATGTGAAGAAATAATTGAAATAAAAAATCGAATTTACGAATTTCAAAAAATTATGGGCGCATAATCAAATAAACGATTGAACCCGGCTCTGTGCTGTGGAATGTACATACACGTATGTATGCTTTGTCGCCTAGGTAGTTTGGCATCAGGATAAGTGGAACTGGCCTTGCCTGAGGCCACTAGCATCAACCGAAGATTCTTGGTGCGCTTCTTTTATATCTAGCCATCGTAGACATCGAATTATTTCAGATACTGATATTTCACTATAATTTTACAATCACACGGTTCAGCGAGCTACGCTTTGCATTTTAATGACTTACATTTATAATGCAGGCATCTATTTAACAAGGTGAAAACTAGTTGCAAGTTTGAATAATTAAGATTTTCAATGTATTATCCGGCTCGGAGGACCAAAATCCCGATTTTGACTCTTTTCTAATGTTTCGTTGCAATATAATCCAGCCCTGTAACATCTATTACGTAATGCAACACGTATACGGCTAATTTGGGGTTTTACGTGAAAGAACCTGAACAATCCATCAATTTGCACTTCTTGATTTTTACTTTCCTTTTCGAACGCAATCCATGACGGTAATCAGTAGACGTAATCCTTCAAAGCGGCCATTCATCAATATATTTTACTTCTGCGAACCGGAGGATTTATCAGTATTGTGTGTTTCAAACACTCTCTAATGAAAGAATTTGGTTTTTTATTCATAGGCAATACAAATGATTTTTATGAGAAAGCCAATAAACTATATCAAGTTCTGATGAACAATATGAACAGCGTCTGGTATTTTTAGTTACTTGACGTTTCAGCTTTGACATTGAAGTCATTTTCAAGAAGGTATGACCACTGAGGTCTTAATCTGCCTACCCTTCAGGTAGTAATAACACGCTTCAAGGGTTTTGTGACTTGACGCTGGGGGTTCAATCTGCTACTCCTAATCGTCGACTGTGGGTACACCCGCCTCCATGTATTTTGCTGCGCACTGGCCCCAGGCAGTGCAGGCATACAGGATTATCGGTAATATAACGGTCTTTATTATCAGCAGCTTCCCTTTCAATCCCATGTTGCTTCTTCGATCTATTATTGGTAATAGGTTTTGTCGGGTAGATCTCGCTATTCCTATTCTCTGCCGTATGTGAGACCTGAACGTTAATCTTTTGCCTAGGTTGACTACCAGGTATCTAGCTAGCTTTGTTGGTCCACGGAATCCGTTGAAGGTGACCGGTGGCAATGGTTTTGGTGTTTTCGAAGCTGATTATGTGGCCTGTTTCACAATGATGTTTGATGGGCGTGGAGGCTGGATCTGATTTGTGGAGATCAAGCTTATGTTCATAGGCTTTGCTGGATTCTCTTCTCTTGATCTGGCCGATGTTAGTTCTGGAACAGGTGGAACATGGTGTTTCGTATATGCCCTGTACCTTTAGGTATTCGTAGATATATGGAAATTAATGCGCCCTAAATTATTCTAATGGCACGCTTTTGAAGAATGAGAATTTTGCACAGCATTGAAACCGATGGCTGAGAAAAGAATAGAAAAATGCATGATAAGCTTATTTAAGCTGACACAGCACAGTTAGAATTTAAGTACGTATAATCCATGCATTTAATATTTTTTGAAGTGCAGCATCTCTAAACACTGTACGTTAAAACCGTTGGCGGGTACTTTCACTTTTTATTTGAGTCCTGGTTATTGACACAAACTCAGTTGACCAAATCATTTCAAAACTTCAATAATTTCGTCAGGTTTTTAACTACTATCCATATTCAAATACCATTGTTGATTTATTTTATTGGGTTTCCTGGTTAAGTAACGATTTTCTTGCAAATAAATCTCAGACTGTATATTTATATAGAAATTATACAGTCAGAGCAAGTCGACCGATAGTACAAATTGAAGAGGTCGACATTTTTTCATATGAACCTCAGCTGTCAAGCAATTTTTTTATCTTTTCATCAGAAGTGATACTAAAAACTTACTCAAATAGATAGTGACATGGAATTGTTCAAAATGTCAATACAAATTTGACGTTCGTATGTAAAACTGACGGCTCCTGTATGATGACAGATGACTTTTGAGGGTATGAGTATATGCGGCAGATTATTATACCAATGATCTTGTTAGTGTAGGCATAAATGCAATAGATTTTTCAAATCTATTACACTTATGTAAAATAGGATATCACTTAACTGAATTTTCTTTTCCAGGACTTGTGTGCGAGACCAGGTTTCGTGCAAGATGGGCCAGCGTCTTTTGATATAAGTCCAGGAAAGATGGGTATGTGTATATTCGACATTGTTGTAATAAAGTGTTCTGATACGTTTATAATGTGAAGAGAGAAGTCGTTCGTTGAAAATTAAATTGTTGAAACGTATACCAAATCAAAGTATTAGATTCGTCTGATATTGTGCATTAGTGGTTGGCCTTGCACACATTCTCAATGTCAATTAAATATAAAACAATTTTCATTACTTTATTGTTATGTAAACTATAGGGTAGATGAATCATCGTGATTCTTTGTCTGAGATATTTCCAACGGAAGTTGACTGCAGCTTAAAAATGAGGAATTGTTTATTTTTTTCAATGAAATGTTTTGGTGTGAAATTACTATTGAGTCAGATGTTATTCTTTGAAACGGAAATAATAACAGCTCATACTTATTTACCGGGCGGAATATCTAAAACATAGCGCAAAGCATGTCAGGGAAAAAACATTTCGGAAAAATCCAAAAGGAACAAGTTTTGACCGAAAAACTTTTGCGAAACCAAGCGTGTCATCCTCCGTTTTTTATGGAAATGGGGGTCCAAAGAAACGTTTGACAAATCGATTTTTGAAATCTGTCCACTCGTACAGAAGATATGGAGTTCCGAAACTTCCAAACAATGTTACAGTTCATCTTCAAGCCTTGTATGCCTCGCAGGTCTCTCTATGCGGCAGGTGGAATGCAGATAAACGTCGATTTTTATGTGCACCACAAAAAGTCGAGAGAACTTAGGTTGAGTTACCGAAGAGGTCACTCAATTGCATTCCTTTGCTCTTTCCAGCGTCCTCGAAACCTGTCATTTGAATGATTACGAATATTTCAAAAGTGAAGTGGAGAAGCATCGCATAATCTATCTGCGTGCATTGAAATACCAATCCAGACGTTCAACTTTCAAAGTTTTGTGTCTGTACCGCAAGAATAACCTTGAAATTGTCCAGTAACGTCAGTTGCGGTGATTACACAAAATATCGGAAAATTCGACGAATAAAGGTGTCTTCTTTAATTTTAACTCAAACCAAATCTTACACGTATGTAAATTGTACTTTTTTAATATTCGCCGGGGCACTTGTACGATTCACACCCATTTCAGTGACCAATTTTCTAGTATTCAGCATATTATCTGTTGCAAATTATCTCAATATATTCCTTCTATAGTTTTTTTTATTTTGAATCGATTCAGGTTTGCAATTTTTGTTACCAATTCGCCACCGGAAATATTATTTTTGAAATAAAGTTTCCATTTCCACCGACTTCACCACAATTTACAAGATAACTCACGTATCCAGAAATAATCCGTAACGTAATCGCATTTTAAGTTACTGCTAGAGGAGACGGAGTACAATTGCATTTCTCCGTACCACTTTGACAGACGTAACAGTAAGATACGTATCCATTCATAACAAATGGCGTAACATAACCTGGAACACGTAACGACCCCGTAACCACTTTGAAGTAAGGCAAGTATCCATAACAAACGGTCCTTAACATAACAACGAATATGTTTCTGTACTTTAAGTCGCGTATCCATTTGTAACACATGACGCGTAACGTAATCGGGAACACGGTACGTTACAGCTGGAGCACAGCAGTACTGTTACATTTTTCCAATACGTTACGGCTAGAGGAGACAGAGCACTGAGCATACCACTTTGACACGTGCACAAGCAAGGTGCGTATCCATTCGTAACAAAAGATGCGTAACGTAACCGGAAACAGGTTACGTTACAGCTAAAGGAAACGGAGAATTTTTACACACGTATCCGTAAGAAGCGTATCAATTCAAAAGAAATGGTCGTAACGTAACATGTTTACGGTTACGTTACGGTTAGTGGAGCAGTGCCCTGTAACATATCATCCAAATCACTTTGACATGCGAAACCGTACGGATCGAACCAGCATGTGTCAGTTTTTAGCCGTCATATCAAAAAACGGTCGGTTCGAATGATTGATAGGGCCAAAACTCAAAATGCTTCCGGAAGCGAACCGTGTCATTTCGTAATAATTCGGATATGTACGGTGTTACGCTACGAAGTATTGGTTCAGATAGATATGAGGCTATAGACTATGACTACCTGAATCTTTTGTTAGCAAAAGCCGATACTCGCTGAAAGACAAAAACTGCGTGTAGTTCCGAAGAAACTTGTCTTTAAAATTTAAAATAATACGATAATAAAACGTATTGTTGGCAGTTCAAAGCTCAATATCTTTTAAACGAGTTGACCGATTCTCAAAAGCGAAGAAGTAATGGATAGAGTATCGAAAACGTTTTTCAATGAAGCTTCACTTCACTCCCATTTTCGTTTAAAATAAATTGAAGATGACACCAGCTCAGAGCTGTTGAGATAGATTACTTTATTGCAATTATTTTTGTTCGTATTCTAGTATATGCGTATGATTGGTAGATGCCGATTGTTTTGTAGTTCACATGTGGTATGCATAAAGTGTTGACAATATAAAATTAAGAAGAAGAATAATAGGCTAGGTATTGATAACAGCCACAGAACTATAACTTAGTTATAACTCATCAGATGTAAGATAGCATGTGTTGTAAATTGTAAGCAACTGAATATAGTGTGAAAAGCAAGAAACCAGTCTCACTATACGATAAATAACAAAAGGGTTGAAAGTTTTGAAATAGTTTTTGCATGAAAACTTGAACACCTCACAAAAAAACTATACCTACGTTTTATAATGTATTAACCTCTCTAGGCGCTCGAGTGTACAAACTCTTCCATCAACCTAGGTAAACGTGCAGAACGTGGGAGTTCCAGTTTCTGGCCAACGACCCAAATCACTGTTTCGGAAAAAGGCATTTCGTAACTCGTCGAAGTTCGTTGTTCCTGCAGCAATTTCGAATTACGTTCGGATGAAATCACTCATTCGAAAATTAATTGTCGATTTAGGAGAAAGTGGTTTCACTAGTGCGGTGATTATATGTAGGCAATTGATAGCGAAATAAAATTTGTGTACATATATTAAAAACGGTAGAGAGTGAATTCCTCGGGACACACCTACTGAGAGCATGTTCTGCGGATTTTAGGTCAAAGCAAACTAACAAAAATATATATAGCAAATGCAGATGATGCAGAAACGTTTCAGACTGATTTATTGAAAAAATTGACAGCTGAGGACCTATTCTTGAAAACGTGTACTCGCATTGTCACATTCTAACTACAGTTCACCGCCATTGATGATATTGTTCATTTAAATGTCACCGTTTCCAGAAACGTTTTCTAATTCTAGGACTAGTTTTCTGTTACCAACACTATTTGAGGTAACTGAGCAAAACACTCCGCTTCCAGAACAAGTACAAGTATTAGCTACAGAGACCTCACAATAAGCTTTACTTCCCCTCTGGTGTTGATGTTGTGAACTAGAGACAAACACATTATTTTCCCTCAATGGTGAGGTCTTTCCATTTGCAACGGAGGTAAAATATCTTGGGATTGTGTTCAGTGAAAAACTCACCTGGAACGCTCACTTGGAAAAAGTTTTACACAAAACCAGACTGTTCCTAAGGACATGTCGGAGGATTTGTGGTAAAACTTCGGGTTTAGGTCACAGACAGATTTATGTGATGATTGTCTGACCAATGATCACTTATGGTGCAATTGCTTGGTGACCGAAGGCTTTACAGAAAACGGCCCAAGCGAAGCTCTCTGGTTCATAGAGGCAGGCCAATTACACAAATCAATTTAATGCAAAGTGTAACAGACTGTTGGTTGATACTGGAAGTCACAGCATTCTGGAAATGACCTCTGACTTTAGCCTCCAACTGTCAACTACGAACTACCTTTAAAAGTACCGTTCCCAAGTAGAGAGTACTGGATCCTCCGGGAGAAGGAAATATTAAGAACAGATAGTTGTTGATGGATCAAAAACACGTTCCAGTGAAGGTGTTTTCAGTCGCAGACCCAGGACAGAGATATCAATGTACCTAGGAACCTATGCGACTGTATTTCAAGCGGAAATTTAGCGTTATTGAATTGTGTCCGGAGAGATTGGAAGAATCCAACCTCAAAAGTCAATAAAAATATTCTCGGACAGTCAAGCGGCGTTGGAAGTTCTTGGCTCTTACCGAGCAACGTCTAAATTGGTAGCAAATCACCAAAAACGACTCTCCTCGATAGGAAGACTCAACAGATTGTTTCTGTTCTGGATGCCTGGCCATACTGGCCTGAAAGGCAATGAGGCTGCTGACTCCCTTGCAAAGGAGGGTGCTGCAAACAGCTTCATCAGACCTTCTTACATGTCACTGTCATTTGAATCATCATATGCAGACACTCGGACTGTTGGAAGACAAAAATTATAAGCAAGTATAAAATATTAATACAAATCAGCATCTCAAACCAAGTTTCAATATGTGATGATTGTCTGACCAATGATCACTTATGGTGCAATTGCTTGGTGACCGAAGGCTTTACAGAAAACGGCCCAAGCGAAGCTCTCTGGTTCACAGAGGCAGGCCAATTACACAAATCAATTCAATGCAAAGTGTAACAGACTGTTGGTTGATACTGGAAGTCACAGCATTCTGGAAATGACTTCTGACTTTAGCCTCCAACTGTCAACTACGAACTACCTTTTAAAGTACCGTTCCCAAGTAGAGAGTACTGATGGATCCTCCGGGAGAAGGAAATATTAAGAACAGATAGTTGTTGATTCTCAGATGGATCAAAAACACGTTCCAGTGAAGGTGTTTTCAGTCGCAGACCCAGGACAGAGATATCCGATGTACCTAGGAACCTATGCGACTGTATTTCAAGCGGAAATTTAGCGCTATTGAATTGTGCTATTAAATTGGTTAATCAAGATAACAGCGCAATAAAAATATTTGAAAGTATTTCAAAACAGATGCTCAAAACACACTGGTTTGCAGATATAATTGAATGTATAACGTAGATCCAATGAAGACGTATGTGTTTTGCACTTTCGCCACCGTGACGCTGGCATCCAATTTTGCACTAACAATCCTTGAGTTTGTTCAAATGAAATCAACATGCCACTTGCAGATTTTGTTAGATTTTAATTGAACAAGAGAAAAAACAAAATGCTAATACATATTTCACCGAGAGGCCTATTTTATTTTTCTTGTTTGTGACACTGATTTACGTTTTTTTTCTATTCGAGTACCGTAACTACACTTTCGATCGCCTTTTTAAGTAGATCGACAACGTACAGACATTCAATCTGCGATATTTGATATTTCCGAACACCTGTTGTAACAATGTGGCGACCTCGATTATCTTTAAAATCTCTTGTGGCAACTGTCACCTCAACTTCTGCGAGCCCGCAGCGATATGACTTTCATTTTCATTCATTCTCCGATCGAACGGACGGAAATTACAACAGAAAAGTAGAACAATGCTCCGGGATCGATGCCAAATAATATGTCTAAGAGGTGTTTCGTGTGAAAATGTTTGCACGATTACTTAGACACAGTAAACCACTGTCTCGGGTAGAAATTTACATTACAGCTACTCGATCGGTTAATACGCATCCGCCTTCCTAACGAAAATCAACTATAAACTATGAAAGAGCTTAGCCATACCAAAATACAGTGTGTGCAAATTGATAATTTGTCGAACATGCATGAAAACGTTTAAAAAAAGATGTAGATACCGTATTTCGATTATGCTATATCTCCGGAACAAGTGATTGATGAATAGAAAGACTCTGAAGCCTACATTTCTCTAAAGAGTATAATAATACGTTTCTGGCTTTATCCGATAACCTTAAGGATAAGTAAACTACACGCAGGAAATATTAGTCATATGATTATTCATATAATAGAAACGTGGAGCATCGTTTGTTATACAGAGCAGCATTTCCGGGCTGTCCTACGAACAGCATATCAATTAAGCTGAACATAACTGGTTGGGCTCTTAAAACCGACAGGCAACTTTAAATGCGTGTAAATAATGTTTTTTTGGGAGCAATTTGCAAACTATATTAATTGGTCAAGAGATAACTCCAATTCAATTTAACGATTAACGATGATGTTAGGCACATTTATTAAATAAGACTTTATTCAACAACAGAAAAAACAAGTGCTTCACTTCATTAATACTTTACTATTACATTTATTCTAGTTCACTTCACATTCTCGGATACCCGGCTGTCATTCCTGTGTATGAAGAGCTGACTTTTTCACGACAGATAAAATGCTTCTCGGATAAACGAGGTCTTATATTTTTTGTGCGATTCCTGGCACATTAAATTTTATAACATAGCTCCGAATTGTTTGAATCCAATTATTTGATTGTCGCATTTATCTTTCTGATAATTTAGAAAAAAATGTTTTCAATACAGTACTCGGTCGTAGCGTGATACATTTAATACGAAAATGATTGAAAAGGCTCTTTTATCTGAAACTTACGAACTATTTTCGTTTTGGTGTTCGGTATAGTGGCTAATATAACCTATCCAAGATCTTTCAAGTCCCCTATTTTCATTGAGTACAGTTCATTCGCATGAAAAGCTCCAATGCTCCAATGAAAAGCTTCAATTTTTTTCGTGTTTTGTGCAAAAATTGATGAACCAGATAAAAATATACGTTTTTCTCAAAATCCCGGAGGTCGGCATTTTCTCATTATATTCCTTGATGTTTATCACGGCAGTGACATTTCCTTTGTCAGCAAGCAATACCGGATATTCTTATCTATATTGGGATTTTTCAGCGACCCTCGTTCCCGTCGTGTTGGCCTTGGGTGGTTTTGTGCGCCATAAGAATTCTTAAAGTTTCTTTGAGGATTTCCTAAGTAATGTTAGGTTAAGTACTAATACTTGAGGTGTTTTCTGGCGTCATCGTTTCACCGCCAGAATGAATGCATTTGAATCACAGACGAATACGTTTTAAATACATGAGCGCCAAAAAACGCCTCTGATTTGACATTGGCAATGATATCCTCGTGGGGTTCCTTGGCTGTAGCTATAGCGAAGTTTCCACCTCGAACTCGTCTTCTCAAAGTGTCCGATCTTCGGCAGTGACAGTTTACATTCTTTAATAAACTTATTTTATATTCGAATATTGTTACTCTTACACCAACTACGTAAATTTGCTTATATATTATTATTTGTGTCTTACAAATATCGAAACAACTAAAATCTTACCTACTTTTGTCATAACTCAATGTAGGGAAAACATGTAATAACTAGTTCTTCAGATTGTAATCTTCAGTGTAGAGTTAACTATTGTAACAAAAAAAATACTTGTATTGCAGCTCTTGAAATAGGTAGAAAAAATCGTTGGGTTTTTAGTTTTTATTAATGAATTTCAGTGATTTCAATTGAGCAAAACTTTGACAATTTCATAATACCTAGTAACTTTTCCTTAAAAGAAGGGGAAATCTTCATGGTACAAGTATCAAGTTTGATTTAGATTTGTGTAAATGAGTGTTTTATGGATGAAAAAGTGTATGTTATTTCAAATTGTTACCACCACTAATTTTTTATATATTTGTCATTTCCCTGGCCCTTAATGATCTAAATCGAATATAGCATTAGGTGAGGCTGCAAAGAAAATCTACTCATTAGTTTGGAAATGTTCAATTGAATTTATGCAAACAACACATTCAGGTAATTTGTTTTATTAACCATATGAACAAGTATTGTATTATGGCCTCATTTAATGTTTCATTCAAGTCTCTTCTTTTGTGAAATACCTTCATTCCATAGATACTCTCACTTGTTGTTATGTGAATAAATTTGATTCAGAAGATTTCATATTGTGTGTATTAATAAAACCATGACAAATGTTTTCACATATTTCCTTCAAAAGTTCAGTGGCAGCTATATTCATAAAAAATACTGGTACTATGAGTAAAATGCAAAAACTTTTTAGTATTTTTTTATAAGAGAATCAAAACTGTCAATACAAACAAAGTAATTGATTAGTAACCTATTTACTTTCAAACATTGTTAATCTTACTCAAAATAACTGCTTACTTACTACTATACAGTCTCATCGAAAAGAGAGTAAAAGCAATAACGATGTGGATATAACATCTCATCCACAATGAAACTACACAAAAAAATCTTCAAATAAAAATTATTCAAAGTGCAACATGCAATCTTCAGTATAGAGTCAAGTGGCCTCTGATACGCAGGGAGAGTTGTATATCCCTGGGCATGATGGTCACTCGGCGTGCATGGATGGCGCACAAGTTGGTATCTTCGAATAAGCCAGTGAGATAGGCCTCGGAGGCCTCGTGCAGGGCCTCCAGGGAAGCTACTTGGAACTTCATGTCCGCCCGGAACTGCCCGGCAATGCTTTTGACTAAGCGTTGGAAACAGATCTTTGGGATGAACAGTTCGGTGCTTCTCTGGTATCTTCTGATATCATGCAATGCCAACTGGCACGGCCTGTAGCGATCCGTTTTGGCGATACTTTCTATTACCATTGTTCTGGACATGGGGTTCGGCCTGTAGCGATTCAATCTATAAGCCGGTTCTATGACCATTGTTCTTGACCGGTAATCATGTTTCTTCGACGAGGTATCGAATTTGCGTGTCCCGCCTGTTGATTTTCGTGCGACTTGTTTGGAACGTGCCATATTTTTTGATTTCTGTCGATAAACTAATTATGACAAACTGCAAAACAAACCCCAACGAAAAAAGCCAGATTAATCTGATTTGAACATCGAGAAATGAACACATTGTTGCCGGATTCTATCCACGATGCCATGTGAGATTAGTGCAAGTGAACTACCGACTGCGCGTAGCCCTCTAGTAGCCTTTCATCATACTAAATTATCGATTCGTGGTTTGTCTAATTCATTAGACTCAATTCTAGAAAAAATCCAGTATTATGATACGATTTTTCAATAGAACTAAAAGTTTTTCTGTACAAAGAGGTGAAACTTACCAAAAAAGGCACTTCTGTCCTGGAAGTTACTTCCGGATTGATTATGGATTATCAACGCGGTAAAATATGTTTGAAAGAGTTGAAGGACAAATGAAAAGACTTCTTATATAAGAAATAATATTTCAAAGGATAAATAAAGAATAGGATGTTCTCAATATGAAAAAGAATGAATAAAAATGAATCTTTTACACAGAAGTAATTTTCTTTAATAAGTTCGTAGCCGAATTGAAAAAAAAAGTCGAAAAGAAATTTATTCAACGTTATGATTTGATTAAATTGAAAGAGTATATTTTTATATATACATCAAGATCAAATGTAGATGCTTAACAAATAAGTGGATTCACTTTTTCAAAGTTCAGTGTCAGAATTCAAGAAAATTATGTATCAAATGACTATAGCTTAATTTCTTTTTGAACTCGATTCCGTAATTTTTAGTTAGTTTGTATCGTATGACCTTTGCAGTTCTCGCCACTAATTTTTATTGTGAGATCAGCAGTTTCGTTTTGGCCATTTTGATATTCTCACGTTCACTAAAGAAGGTTTCAAGCTGTTTTTCCGTTGACACCCGTAGCTCGTATCAATAAGCGGGGCTCATTCGTATTAGGTAATATCTTGATAACTATATTCAGTGAATTTTTATGAAATTTGCACTGTTACATAAGGCAAAGTAAATGTGAGCCTAAAAAAATTACGACTTCGATAAAATGCATACGAAGACATATGTACAACTATATATTCATACATTCATCAATACAATTTTTGTATGATTATTCAAAAGCCCATAAAATTATTACATGGGAAAGTATTTCTTAAGTCGGCAGTCATAATGTAAATGGAAACAGGTCCCATTCATATTAAACAACAACGTATTAAACAATGGAGGAGAATCAATATAATCTCCTACTCAGAAGAATGTTTTTCAATCTGAAACTGTATATAAATAAATGAAAGTCCCATCTGTATTAATAATATTGTGAGCTCTCTGGGTTTTAAGTGCTTCTTCATTACCGACAATATTCCAAAAAGTCTTGAATCATGAATGATGCAATTTACTTTTTTATCACAGGCGATAGATGGTTGGTTTCCTGTCTGGGCGTGTTGTACCTGAACAAAGGTCTGTTTTATAGAGTGGTACCTGCGGACCAATCGTTCCTAGGCGAACAGTACTCGGGAGTATTTAGATTTCGGCTTTGGTGGTGCGGAGAATGGACCGAAGTTTTGGTAGACGACCGACTCCCCACGGTACATGGAAAACTCGCATTTCTTCAGTCTCAGAACTCGGACCACTTCTGGCCTGGACTTCTAGAAAAAGCTTATGCGAAGTAAGTCATTTCATTTTGAAACCAGAGAATACTATTTTCGTATAACCAGCTAGTCTTTTTTTTTCCATATTATATCAATGAATGAACCTACAGTAATCCGACTTCTGTCAGAGTACCATGCTAAATAGCGTTATTTCATGCTATTATTTATTTGGGTGCTCACACTAATTGCTCGGTATGTAATTATAGAGGAAACAGTTGAATACGACGGTTATTTAACATGAATGTCATCGCTTAAATTGTGCGTGCTTTGTGTGTCACTATTTTATAACAAAACGTAACTTTTTTTTCGAACAGATGATGTTGGCATACTTAAAAAAATTCAATTTTTCATAGTTCGTTACTTTATAAACTTACAGAAAATTCGATAGTCATCAGAAGATTACTAAAACCTTTAGTCGTCTCCTGATAATGATTCATTCATTATCAGGGGTTGCAAAGTGTACTCGTTGAAATAATCTTTCTTCTTCTATTTTAGATTGCACGGCTCCTACGAGGCACTCAAATACGGCTCCATGCTGGACGGCCTCGCGGACTTGACAGGCGGCATCACCGAAAGCATCCCCATCCGGCAAGACGCCCCCTCGTGCGCCCGCCTCCTTCATAAACTCTTGGACATGACCTCGATAGTCACCTGTACCGTTCAAAACCCGAACCAAGTTAGATCTCACACGGAAAAACTGGCGAACGGCGTCCAAGTTGGAATCAATTATAGGCTGTACGCCTTGGAGAGGGTAGACACATTCAGTGGCGAAGGGGTACAACTATTGAAAGTGCGGAACCCCTTGGGACAGCCCTCCGAATACATAGGTTTGTTAGTATGATATGCGACGTACTTAGTTACAGTGCTGCTCCAAGGCAAAAAAAATTTGTACGAAAATGACAGATGAAAATGTATGCTTTTCGTCAATGTGGTATGCATGTGCGAAAAAATATTGAGTTGTATAGCAATTCGTACAATTGTATAGCCGGGAGCAGCCCTGCTTAGTTATTTTGTGTGGCGTCATCTATGTATGGTGAGGAGAACTAGGTTGGGTAATGTATCAAGTGAGAAGAGTCTGTGGACAGCAAATGCTTGGCATGTGAGGTTTTCTCTTTTAGACATATCAGCAGTTGACAGCTCGAATGAATTGTTCTTTTTGAAGTAATATACCGTAATGCGTTATTTATTCTGTGGCACTTTCAATGACGAACGATGAAAACACATGTTATTACATGAATCTATGTAATGCATAGAAAATACTGTAAACACCCAAACACTCTGTGAATAAAATTACAAACAGCATATTACTAAAAAAATATGTCTGTTTTTCTTCATTGTACCGAACAATTGAGTGAAAAGTATCATGCATAGATATTGCCGCCTGCAGAGATCATTTATAGGTCAATTAATACGTTCGGCCAACCCTTTTCCTTCACGTTCGAATATCAACAAAATGTTCAGTAAGACAATCTGTAGTGGGGAGAAAAAGTTGTGAAAATGAGTCTTTTGCAGGTTCGTGGTACGCCGATTGTCCTGAATACTCGGAAATTCCTCCGCCGGAGCTCGAGCGGCTTCAAGGCAAACTTCAGGAGGGGGAATTCTGGATGCCCTTTCCACACTTCACGAAAACCTTCACCCACTTGGAGGTCGTGCACCTGGACAGCGACACCAGCAGAGACGAGCCCAGCTTGCACAACAAGAACACCTGGCAAATGAGGTTGTATCAAGGAATATGGCAGAGGGGAGTGACGGCGGGAGGATGCAGGAACAATCCCGATACGTTCCACATCAACCCGCAGCTCCATCTACTGCTCAGCGAGATGGAGGAGGTGGTTGTGTCTTTGAACCAGCACAGCATCATGGAGCCGAAAGTAATCGGATTAACTGCTTACTCGTTAGCAAAGAGTAGCAACGAAACTATAGGTGAGTGTCACTCACTAGTAATAATAATTATTATGATAATAGGTCTTCATTGCATTATAATACAGGCAAACGCAGGGGGTGATATTCAATTTGGGTGTTCTTTCATATAACCTCCAACAAATTTTTTAACGAAGTTCTAAACATTTTCATGTTTCCAACGATTACAAAAATGATTCAAGTGAATATAGTATCGTGCTGTCAATGATAGTAAATAGGATTCGACATGTTTTCCGAATGAATGGACAGATTTAGCTTATTTTACATTTTTATAAATCACGTGATATCGTTGACCGGTTATGAAAATCTAAACCTATTTTCGTTTTCTCTTTATGTTTTCGAATATAAGATTACCCGTTGATTCCAGCTATTTCCTAAAACTCTTTTTCGATGTCCTAGATTACTGTGTGTGTTTTCGTTGAATACAGAACAGACAATGTATTTTCTGAAATTGATCAGGTCATTTTCAAATTTCATCATTATACTGCTTCGAATAAAATTCGCTAGATGTCGCATCCTTGGTGATGATCAGGGTATTTTCAGAACGTGTTTAACTACTAGATGAAACAAAACATAGATTGAAACATAATTAAAACAGAATAAATTCATTCAATTCAATTTCATTCCGCTTAGGAAGAGCCTTCTTCAAAAAAAACAAGTCCCTGTTCAACTCTCAGTACACCAACAGCCGGCAAGTGAGTCACAGGTGCCAACTGGAGCAGGGTGGTTACTTGATCATACCAACTACCTTCGAACCTGGCCAGGAATCCGGCTTCACGCTCAGGGTATACTCCGGCAAACCGCTGAAGTTGAAACTATTGGACACGGCCCCTCAGTCACTGAAGTCGGCCATCGTGAAGGCGCCGCCTCTGTTGGACGGGAAAAGTTTCAGCCAGTACGAGGCGGTTTTCTTGCAGCTAGCCGATGAGCACAGGACGGTGAACGCCTTTGAACTTCAGGAGCTGTTGGATGCGTGCCTCCCCAACGATTATATCAAGAGCTGTGCGTCAATAGAAGTCTGCAGGCAGATCATCTTGACGTTCGAAGTAAGTAGTGAATAATCCACATCGTCATTGTCATTAGTGTCAGTTGTCATATGTAGTTGTTTTGTTTTCAGTTTTTTTTTTTAGTTTTTTGCTGTCGTTTCTATTGAATTAATTTTTCTTCGTAGCCATAGACTCCAGAGACATTAACTCCAAGCTTCTCAATTGTACATGGGTTTGTCTTGATTCAACTCGGATGATTTCGGATATATTTTGAATATAAACAAACTAGTAAATCAAAGATTAGAAATGTACCCGACAACAAATTTCTTCCTCATGAAATACATTCAAACATTCAGAAGAAACTACAATAGTTTATACAAGGTATTATTTAGTTACTATTATTTTGAGTCATTTAGCTGACAAAAGATCCAAACGAAGGATCATTCTAAATGTAAATCTAGATATTTCTCCATAGAAACGTTTTTTCAATCCCTGAGTTTGGTAGCGCCACCTTGTGGCAATCGTCCCTCGAATATAAAATCTAAACCCAGTATTTACAAAGACTGTTAGCATTCCTTATCTTTCACTGATGGGAGAACCGTGCATTTGGCAGTGGCTGTACGGATACATCTATATATAAGTTTTTTTTATTTTCACACGTTACTAGTTTAATTCACTTCGTTGACTTTATATATTCGTTCGATTTTTCAGACTTCCGGAAGTGGCCGCCTCAAATTCAGCGACTTCAAAGACTTAATGTGCAGTCTGAAATTCTGGCAGACCGCCTTCAAAAACCACACCAAGGAGAAAACGGGAATACTTAAGGCTGAGAGGTTGAGAGACGCTCTTATCGAAGTGGGATTTCAGCTCGGCAGCGAAGTTCTGGCAACGCTAATCCTTCGGTACATGAGGAAAGACGGGACCCTCCGATTCGGAGACTTCGTTTCAGCCATATTACATTTAACCGTATCATTTAGTAAGTCTGAAGAGTATCATTCGAAGGATCTGTTTGAGATGCCTATGCACTGGTGTTGGGACTATTGCGTTTTTCTTTTCAGGAAAACCTGTAGGCCAGATGTGGTTGTCGGAACACTGTGCTCTTCATTTTAATCATCAACTGATATATGACGTAGGATGTTGCTTATAGCAATAGTTTTTTTCAAACAAATAACAAGTTTTCAATCAAACTTGAAAACTTGTTATTAACTTGGTTCCTAGATTTTTGCGTCTTTCGTAATTTGAACAGTTAACTCATTTTTATTTTGTGAAATGAATCATGATTCACATACTGTGAAATAACTTCGGAAAAGCCCGTGGGTTGGGCGGTGGCGCCAAGAGCTCCGCCTTGAATAAAGGCAAGGAACCGGCTGCCCCAGCAGGAAAGCATCCTCACTTGTGCACCTCCACGGAGGGAACCCCAAGAAGATTGAAGAAGCCGTGCAACCACAGGATTGTCGCTGCACCTTCCGAAACCTTCGCGGAGGCCAGCGCGAGACACCTCAAGGTTGTCAAAGAGAGTGAGTGTTCGGCGAGTCTTGGCCTACACCTGCCAATATAAAGGAGATGTCTCCTAGTGACCTGTACACCTTCCTGAAAAGGACAGGATGGACGATGACCTAGGAAAACAACTCCTCAGGAGAATGTAAAAATGGGTCACATGTAGTCTAAGTGATGTGTCTACACTTACCCTCCCTACTCTACAGATACAGAACTTCGGAAGGGATGGTATCTGACACCACCAATTTCGTAAAAGTCTAAATGAAATCAAGGTCATATTACATGAACAGTCTACTCTACACGTATGTCTCGCTACACCAGTGTAGCGGCATCTTCAGAATTATCTTAGATTGGTTTCATATTGAGTTTTGTTTTGCAGGTGTTTTCGAATTGAAGGACCCCTTACAAAATGGCAGTATAAAACTCAGCTTATCAGAAGTAAGTTTTCAATGTTCAATCTAAAATAAAATCATCAATTCAATTTTCTTTTTCAGTGGCTCAAATCGTCTCTCACTTGTTGAATATTTAGATATAAATGAATTGTAAATAATTGTGTGTAAATATAATTGATAGTTGTTTTATATTTGAATGTAAATATACAAAATGAATTTTTTAAATTGTTTGAAAATGTATTTCTGTTCCCATCTCGCCAAAGCGCTACGGTAAATCTCCAGTAGTGAGATCTTTTCAATTGATTCTGATGGTTAATGACATATTTCACGTTGGAAGTCGCTTATCATTCGCAAGTACAGTTGACTAAGATCGGAGCCAAGTGCTTCACAGTCTCTAATGACTTTTGCTCGCTTGGTTTCCCCGTTCACTTAAAGTTATTATACGTTATATTTTTGCAACATGAACCGTGAAAGTTTCTCGAGAAAATAAATATCATTATTATATATAGAAAAAGATTTTTCCGAGTCTAATATTCAAATTATGAAAACTTGATGTCGCTCACTTCATATGGTCTTCCCGAATAATTTCGAGTTGTCAATTGTAGACTTGTCTTTGATATGTTTCAAGATATATCAATACATCGATTGTATAATACACCAATTTCCGAAGTAAAACCTAAATATTTGAAATATGGTATTTATCACTGTTACTTTGCACGTGAACATATGAAATGTAAATTTAAAATGTAAAATGTTTATTCTGTACCAGATAAAAATAAAAAACTGTATATAAATACGACTCCAGTTCCACTTTTAGACAGCTCGCCACCTCAAACATTAATAATCGGCGCTGCAGTCGCAGGGATCCGGCAATGCACTGGGAGGCACTTCACTCTTCTCAGGATAGACATTACCGTAAGAGTTCTTGAGGAAGTTGACGTGCCCTTGAAGGTTTCTTATCCTCATCTGCGCGTCCTCGAAATTCTCGTTCAGATTATTGATTTGGGCTTGCATTTTTTGTCTAATGTCGTCTCTGTCTTTCTGCGCGGCCTTCGCCATGGCTCTGCTTTGCGCCAGCTGCCTCTCCAGGTCTGAAATTTGGTTCTGCATGGATCGCCGTACGATTTCGCACCGGTCTTTGGTTCGAGCTATTTGCCTGGCAGTTTCTTCGCGTACGCTCTCCAGCTGGCTACTTAGCTGAACAATTTCGTGCATTCTCGATTCTGCGGTTCGTTCGAATTCGTCGGATTTTTCTTGAAGGTCCTGCAGGTCATTCTTCAGCTTGTCATTTTCTTCTTGCATCTCCTTCAGCTGGGCTTCCTGTTCTTCGATTTTCGATTGCAGCGACGCTTTTTTGTCCTCTCCTAGTTGCTGGTCGCTGCGGACTTCGTCCATTTGGCTCGTCATTGCCGATATCTTGTCCTTCAATCAGAAAATATTAAAAATTCGTGAAATTTGTGGATATGCCAAACCAGTTCAATGAAAATTATGTTCTTCTCTGATAACAAGAGCCATTTTATTCATTCACAAGTAAGCCATTTTACGTATTCCTTTATTTTTCGAAAAAAAATTTAAAAATTGTTGTTCATTTACTGTTACTAGAAAAAAGAGAAACTTTCTATTTACACAGATGAGTCGAGAGGAAAATCAATAATAATGTGTGCAGAACATATGAGTATATTCGATCAATCTGCCTTTGACTTCTATCTCATCTGTGGTACTTTAGTTTCAAGTGATTCACTAGCTTCTAAAAGTTACGTTTGTGTTGAAAAAAATTCAGTGGGCTTTCACGGCTGGTATCTAACAAAATATTAATCTGGTTTCGGATTCTGTACCAGTTTTTCGCAGATTTTCTAGACCTTGCATTTCGTTTTATCACCCAAACACGTTCTATTGAAATACCTGATCGGACATTTGATGAAAACACCAGGATACTCTCCAAAACTCATCACCACGTTTGATATATCCATTGGAGGAAAAGAGGTCACACAAGGCATACCAGCGTCGCTTTCAAAGATATTTGAGATATGTGGGAATAGAATAATACCTTTGAACAATCTAGAGTTTAATGTAGAGTCGAAGTAGAATTCATGTTGTGAGTTTGGAAGACTTGCCTATGGCTTCTCCTCCTTTATCAGGAGAAGAAGCCATTGGTGTATTTCGAATATTCGTGAACTTTCACCTAAACAAATATCATATAAGCTTTTCTGAGCTCATTCAGTTGTTATGTTTTAGAACTTCGTACCTTATATAATTGCAATTCTTTAGCGATAGCCTCGTTATTCCTCTCGGCCAGCAAATGCATCTGCTGCGCCTCTTGCAACTTCATCTGGGTCGACTTGAGAATGTCCGGCAGTGGCATCAACTCCTGCAACTTTTCCTGAAACTGGTTCTTCACTCTTTGAATTTCCAAATTGACCTGCTCACTTATCCGCTGGTAGTCCATCTCCATCAGGTCAATTTGTCTGCACTGTTCTTCGACTCGTTGCTGAGCCTCCAAGTACTACATAACGATTCAAACAGTTAACGCTGATCTCTCAAAACTATCAAAAACACTCACTTTATTTCTGTAATCATCGAGCTGCTTCTGCTGGTCTTCGACTAGGGATCTAAGCTCTTCCAGTTCGTCTTGCGCTTCCCTGAACCTCTGCTTAGCTACGTTCAGCTGTTGTTCCAGTTCTATCATTTGTTCCTTAGAATTTGTTCCCTGAGAAAATGCGGTTCGAGACCCAACAGTCAACAGACCCACATACAGACTCACCTTTCCTCCTTTTCCCTTGAGGCGTTTCAACTCAGTTTCTAGTTCCTTTAATTTTTCTTCGGCACTTTTCTTCGCTTCCTCAGCCTGTTTCGTTTTCTCCTTCAGCTTTTCATTGTCCGCTCTTAATCCACCGACTTCGGTCAGTTTACTCTTGAAGTCGTCTTGAAGCCTATTATATTGTTCTTTCAGTTCTCTCAGTTGGGGATCCGAACAGGGCTGAAACATTGAAACATAGATAGAACTCTCATGTACATTGAACTTGAAGATAAATTATGAACATCTGACAGTATTCTGGAGCTGAGTGGTTTAATAAATCTCGAGATATTCGATTGAACTTGAATTTGTTTATGGATAATGATCAAAATATGAAATTCAATAAGTTATCCAACTAAAACCACATGGATATACAATATTGCTGGACCTTTTTTGCAAAGTAATGTTTCCATCGGTGGGAATGATTTTATTATGTACCGCAACATTTCACAGGTTTAAATGTTCAGAGTCTTGGCCGTTTGCGTTGAAGACAAGAGCCATTTGAAAACAACTGAATTTGCTGCGTTGCCAGTTTCCTATATGGTGGGAACACAGAACTCGTACTTATGTCGCGCTTGTGTATTTATTAGTCCCATATATTGAGTTGTATTGCAATTTTGTAATATAAAAAATATTATTTGTGATTTAAATAGTGCAAATCATTTTTATCAATTGTGCAAATATACATTGTTTTATTGAGAAATATGCAAATTCGAGTAGTAGAGAAAAAAAAAGAAAATAAGTTTTCATAATTGAGTAAATGATTAAAAGTTATGTGTCGCTAGTGTGAATGGTCTACAGCGATTATGATATTTGTTCATCTGCGCTATATTCCTAACGCATTCTATTTCTATGGTATAATTATGAATGTTGTGGGTGAAACTGTGAAATTTGACACAAAAGAATATATTTCAAATTGAACGAATAAAAGTTTTATGTTGTTTTTCATTAGAATCAAATGCAATCATATCATGTTTTATGATCATTCCTCAATAGAAAGCTAACAGTATAGTTATGTTCCATGTATGGTTTCGTTGTTTTATGCAATCTAAAACTAAAAAGATCATTACCAAACTATATTCTATACATCTATAAGCGAATTCGCATGGAACTTCCGAAGGAAAAAGTAACGAGGAAAAAAGTTGAATAAACCTCTACCCAAATATGAAACGATCAGAATTGTTCGGTCAAACGTATTGAACTTACCGGCTTGGGTTCACAGGGTGCCGGCATGCAAGGATGAGGAAGACAGGGCGTCATCGGACAAGGAGGTGGTGGTTGGCACAACATCTTTCTGTGGTGTTCTAAATGCTCCCGTTCTTTTTGAACCGCTAATAATTCTTGGTGCATGCCCTTAACTTCCGCTTCCATATCTCCCAGTTGCTTTTCCTGTTCAGACAAAAAAATACATCAAACGTTTGATGATTTATGGTGGTGCGATTCGAACTGTGATGTTTTGATACCGCCTAGGCTGAAGATGACTTACTCAACACTTCAGTTCATAATATGTGACTACCACCAAACTAAATATGAAAATAATTGAGGCAACTTACTAAATTTTGAGTATTTTCAGAGTATTCTTGCAAACGTGCTTCCACGTCTGCGGGACAGACACCTCTTCCTTTTCCGCAAGGCATTTTTTGCTTCTGATTAGGTGATGAGGGGCGACTCTTTATATGTCCGCAAGTGGGGGCTGACATGCTCTGAAACGTACATATTTCACAAATGATAAGAAGTGCAAACTTGTGTCCTTCTGCTCTACCGCACTTTCTGACGCAGACGAGTATATATTTACCTGCAATTTTTCGTTGAGTGTACAATTTTCTTTACAGACCATACGTAATTCGGTTTGGAGACTGCCAAGTTGCCGTTGCAAATATTCTACCGTTTGATCCTTGTTAACAAGATCCGATTGCAGTTTGTACCTGGATGAATGATTTTAGAAATTTCCACTAGAATTTAATTTACGATGATATAGTTATAAAAAGTGGAATGAGTTGGTGACCGACTTTTAAATTTGATGTGACATGTTTGATGAGTTTATGACGTTTATCAACAACTATCAACTATGAGTATACAGGGCAAAGCAAATACTTAGTCATTTTTACCGTTTTCCTTCCAAATCCGCGTTTTCTGCCGCTAATTTTTCCTGCATACAATAACATTCGTTCAGCTTTTTCGCAATCTCAGTCTGAAAAAAAAATAATTTTCGGTGTGTTTCAGCTATCCTAAATTGAAACAATAGCCAGTAGATCCAAGTTAACAAATATCAACCGCTAAAATATTCGCCATGATGAAAAAATCCCAGCTTTTCGATGCTTCCCGTTCTTACTCACCCTCGGAGAATCAACGGGTTTATCTGCGGTCGATTTTGGTGTACATTTCTTACTGTTATTGCAAATCAATATCTTGGGTATATTTTCTTCGGTCAGTCCACACACGATAACTTTGGGCAATATATCTTCCGTATGCTTCTTCTGCAATGCAGGTTTTATCGTTGCCATATCCTCAAAAAGATTAGTCTGACCTGAAAACGATGAATTTAATCATCAAAAGATGTCGGAAGGCAACTACGAAAGGGTGATCCGGCTCGATAGACCGATAGATGAAAATACTTCATCACCTAAAAGTTGCTGGATCCTTTTCGTTTTCTCTTCGAAAACCATCATCTGCGCTCTCAACTGTTGGTTTTTCTCTTCCAGCTCTTTCGCCTCTTCTTCCGTCATTCGCTCCTTCTTCGACAACTCCATCACTCTGTTTTTCAGCTCTTCGATGATTTTAGCAGTCTCCTTCGCTTGTTTTTCAGCATCCTCCAATTCTTTCAGCACTGCGCTGTCTATGGTTGCATCATATTTGAAAACGGAGCCACCTGGAATTGATCCACGACAATTAAAATTAAAATTACAAACTGAGGAGTACTTCTAAATACTGTATTTACCTTCTCCCCCGCCAGACTTGTCAGTGGCACCCTCTTTTACTTCTGCTTCCTCTTTCTTAGTTTCCTCTTCTCCCGTCACCTCTTCTTCCTCTCCCATACCTTCTTCCTCCTAAAATCACCGAATATCGGTAGGCATAGATGCACGGCAAGTAGGTATATGAAATAAATACATTTTTGCCAGGCTTATATTCAAAATTCAAGACCAATGTTGATACTTTTACAGATGTGGATTATATAACTCACGTTCAAGGTTTGCATCAAATCCCTGTTCTCCTCGACTACCTGCTGGAGTTCTTTGGAGGCCCTTTCTATCATTTTTTCGACCTCTCTCATTTCATCTTCTTCCTGTATGATTAATAAAGTTCACTTCATTTATTATCATTGAGTTGAAACAAATCGATCGAGTAATGAGGAATCGCATTTAAAGTCCTCAGAATCAAAGCTTGAACTCGCCAAATATTGAGTCATTCACCACAATTAATTAGTACAGTAACCGTATTTTCTTAGAGTTACTCCACCACTTAATAATGTATCTACTCACTTCTCCCTCCGAAGCAAAAGTGTTCATTTCTTCTTCCAAGTCGGGATCATTTAGAAACTCATCTGGATACTCTTCTTCCTCCTCGTCGAACGTGATTTCATCTTCGGCCATTGTTTTGTCGTTGAGCTCCTTGAAAATCAAGTTTATTAAATAAATATTTGGGTTTCACATGAACCAGAGACGTTGCTGTCATGCTCACAAAAGTTTCCGTTTATGAAGGAATGTTTTAAGTTCAACAATTTTCTAATTTTTCTTGAAAATTAATAACAGAATTCATCAAAATAAATAATATTGCTCTCAAGTTTTTTCATATTTTACTCTGTTTATCAGTTTATAATTGGGCGCTAGTGGTGTGTCAGTTTCTAAGTAAATCTCTCAATACCCCACCTCTTTGTAGTAGTCTTGCTGAAACAAATCCTCCTCAACTACGCTAACTTCCCAAACCTCTTTTTCGGCGTCTTCTTCAGCCCGAGTAAACTCCTCAGTTTCTTCAAGTTTGTGGATATCCTCCCAAACCTTTTCGAGTTGCTTATCTTCTGTAACAGAACCCTCCCCTTCGTCGGGAACCTCTTCAACTTCCTCTAGCTCGTTTAACGGAGAATAGTAGTCGTTTTCGTCGTTTTCGCTGTCGCTCTCTTTTATGTCCGGCACGAAAAGCTCCTTCAGATGAAGCTCCTTTTCTTCGACGTGTTCGTAACTGTCCAAGAATGGGGGTAGGTCGTGATGGTGTTCCGGAGTTTTTTTCGCAGACGGTAGGGTTCTTTTCGATCGGGGTTTCCTCTGAGAACAACGGAATATATTGAGGGTGAAAGAGGAAAGTGTTCATTATGAAATGCCGGTATGTGTAGTTCTGCCATGTATACGGGTAACTAACACCTGTACTTTTCCAGCTCTATATTATATTTAATAGTGACACTGAAAACCTTGGACGCGAAAGCTAACCATTTTGTCAACACTAACCTTATTCAATCCTTCGAAGGACCTCGCTGATCTCACCAAGTGGCTCAAGTTCAGATCCCGAATCAAATCAAATTGCTCGGTTCTAAGAGTTTGTCTAAAGTAGGAGTCTGCGTCGCCTATTTGGTTGCAAGACGGTTTTCGAAAGAGATTGTTGTAGGCCTGAAGAAAATTTATGTTTTTCTGCAGCAGTGGGTTACTGGAAATTTTTCTCCTGACTCTTATGTCCAGACAACCGTCAGTTTCTGAATCACACTTTGTTTTCGCCAAATTTTTCTCTGAAACTGTTAATTTCTGTCTATTCTGAAAAGGAATGTCGTTTTAGAACTGTCAACGCGTTGTCAGACCGGCTCACCTTCATTCCAAAACGAGCCGTTTCCTTTTTTTATCGAGTTGAAGGATATTGCTTACTCAATCTTCCTCTTCGTCCAAAAATACTGCGTAGATGTAAAGTGCGAACAATAAAATAACATAAATGCTCATAAATGAAGGAAAATGGGGTGGGCGGGTGGTTGTCAAAATCGAAGTTAACGTGATACAGATGTCGATAGAGAAAATGTTCAGTATGTTGATTATACAAGATGAAAATAATTTTTATCGACCTTTCTGGGGATTTTCATCTTTCACAATATGAAAAAATAAAAATTTCCACGGAGAACTTCATACAGATGAAAAAAAAATGATGAAAGTCTCTGATTTTAATCATAGTTATTCAATAAAAAGAGAGTGGTTTAACTGTTTTTGTGAAAACTTGATTATTTTAATCAACTGCTGTTTGTGAATCTGTAGTCATAATTTGTGATAGTCATATAGATAGGTTGCCTCTGCAGTTGCCGAAAATAAATTTAAGGACTTAGTTCTAATGATAAAAACATCGGTGTTAATGGAGTTCTTGTTCTTTGGGGGGAGGAATCAAGGCTAGGGTGACCAGATGAAACGCATCTGACGATGAATTTTCTTGGCAATATTTGAAAACATAAATTCACTCGGCCAGTAAATTGAGCAAATACCGACAAGTTTGCTTGTGCCATGAACTTTCTAACAAAACTTTATAGACCGGCCTATGTTTCACTCAGGTTTACACATGATGAACTAGGAAGCAGTAAAAACCTTTCTATTCGTCTATTCAAAATGTTAGTTTGTGTATCTGAAGATGGTCTGTTTTAATCGAATATATCCTATAAATACACAAGCGTTATAGTGTTGCTATTGCGATTAGTGTGCTATTTAGTGTTGGCGGGCTATTAACCAACTTAAAATGATTTTCACGTCGCCGGATATTAGCAACAATCTCAAAAATTGTTCTTACTTCGGAAGATCAGTCACTCACAAAAATATTTCAACATAGCCAGAAATTATTTTCACATCCCCGAAATATTAGAATTCCGAAAATTATTTTCAAGTCACCAGTATATTAAACATCTGCAAATATACATTTTGGATCACCGGAATATTAACCACTTCCAAAAATTTTATGTTCGCCATAATATTTTCACGTCATAAAAATATTAGCCACTTCCAGAAATTGTTTTTAACAGAACAAATCGGAATAACCGTTTTTGAGTAGTTTGCAGTTTTATGTTCATTTTAAAGATCTGCAATCAAACGATAATTATACTCAATCATACAGATCATACTTTATTTCTATTACTTAGGTACAACTGAAATACGAGTATAAACGTCTCTGACCAATAATACCAATTATCACCTCTATACTCATGAATGTATCTTCATATGGAAAACAATATCAGTTTTGTAAAATGCCATATTGCAATTTGAATAAGCTGTATTTTCATTAAAATTGTTTTCTTATCATTTGGAGTATTCCTGAGAATTGATAATATCTAATTTTGGAACACGATTATTGAAAAACGACTTTTAAAATTATTCAGTTCATTTTGTTATTTTCAAAACATTCTAATCATAAAATGTTCATGATATTGTTAAAGAAATAATGTCAGTTTAAAAGCATTTAGGAGATAATGTGCAACTATTAGCATTCATAATTATCTCAGAACAGTTGTCGTACATTTTGGAACCTTTGCTGTGTGACTTCACAACATACAATAATGATTAGTCAAGTTCAGTACTGAACAATTCGTTTTTCATGAGACCCCACAAAAACTCTAAAGAACTTGAGTCGGCTGATCGAGGAGGCTACTCAGTTGTATTGTCCTTTCAACCTATCAAATGACTTCGAAACCTATCGTTTAAATAATTGAACACATGTGCAATAGCTATCTATCTATCTATCTATTATCTTGAAATTGCAGTATTGTGAAAAACAATTCAGGGCTTTTGCATCACGATAATGCACCTACTCACTCGTCATTGCATGTTCGTAATTTTTTGACCAAAAACAATAGGTACCGTAATCATGCCCAAGCCACTGTATTCTCCAGATTTGGCCCCTTGCGATTCTTTCCTAACCCATGGAAGGACAGTGTTTTGCGACGATTGAGGAGATAAAAATTGAACCGCTGAGATCTCAAGGGCATACAAGTGCATATAAGAACTGCTTGGAGGACTGAAAAAACTTTGGCACAAATGTATTATATCTGAGAGGGTCTACATTGAGGGGGACAAAATAAAAATTGGGGAATAAATGAATATTTTTCGAGAAAATGAAAATTCACCTCATTTTCCGAACAGACAGCGTATTACTCGAATAAATTTCCGTAGTATCACTTTTGAACGTCTTAATTTGACTGAATTGAGGTATCCTTCGGATCATATTTGGACATCAGCAAAATATATTCCGGGGGTAGGCTAATATCATCCTCGAAATGAGGTAGGAATAAATGATAGACGATGTCCAGGAGAGCTACAAAAGTTCAGCTATAATGTCGTGTAGATCTAGATAATGGGACTATCGACGAGATTTTCTGGATATTGGCATCGGGATATCATAAAGAAACTGTTTGCTAACTGGCTGGGTAGATATCATTTTGAAGAATATTCAGGAACATATCTCTTGTTAAATTTACAAAAATAAGGGACTCCGAAGGAAGTTTTCCTACGTAACTAAATAACCCCAAACATAAATAAACTGCATAACAGGTCCCCCCACAAACAAACTTATTGGCGTGTTTTTGTATTTTTGTATGTACGTGTTAGGAATCACACGTTAAAAGGTAAGACCTCGTTAGTTCTTAGCTAGCACAAGTTTCCCAACTTCTGAGAGTTGTCGTTCATATGGGGGCGACAGCTGATTAACGCTAAAACAGATTTTAAACAAATTTTTCTGCTGTGATGGCCCACACTACGATGGATTACTTTGAAAAAAAAAACTACTGATATAATTTCGCAATTATGTTATTTTAAAACTTCGAGGAATGGCTCAAAAACGCGAAAAATTCAAAAATTCGGATACAAATAACTCCTACTGCCAGTGTAATACTTGAATATCCTGAACTTGATTTCCGAGGTGAAGTTGAGTTCAACGTTCGGTGCGAGATAGTCGAAAGCTCGGTTGGCCATGACATACAGATAACCTTTCTGGTCCATGCCGAAAGCGTCCGGCCATATTAAGGTTCTGTTGTTTCTGTAGATGACCTCGGATTGGTCGAAGGGTTCGTGGATATTCCATCTTCCCACGGCGTTGTGGGAAGTGAGGGAGTAATACAAGTTTCCTTTGTTGTCCATCATCATGCCATCTGTTGCGCCCTGTTTCTTCCCCACTCGAACAATGTAGTTTCTGAAGAGGCCGCTGTGGTGCAGGGTTTCGTTTCGGAGGATATCTGTTAACAAAAAATAAACGACTGAAAACTGTGTGGTTTCTGAGCTGCATACATTCGGGAGAAGCACGGAATGGGCGACATCTAGGTTTAATTACCAATTGTCAAACTGAAGGAAAACTGTTTATTGTCGTAAGGATCATAGTCACAAACATTCCAATATTCGTCTACTAATCTTCTTTTACGGAAATTTGAAAGTTTACTCTCTGTAATGACTGTAGTACATTTAAATATTATTGTTCATTGGTGTTTCTTATGAATATCTCATGGATATCCAATTCATGTTCAGGTCGTTATATCCTTGCACATGAAAAGGATGTCCATAAGATATCACACAGTGGATTTGGAATGGATATTCTTCGATGGATTTACATCAGGTTTGTGGCCTGTGGACATCTAGAGGCCAGCAGATTTATCCAAAGAGCTACTTATAATTTGCTTAATTATGGTTACACTAAAATAATTCGTAACAACTCAGCTCAATCGATGTCTTTCGTTTCATCGAAAGCCTTTGATTCCATAAGCTGAAAGATTTGATTGGAAAAATGATCATGTTTGGAATTCCCTAAACATTATAAATTGGAGTAAATCCTATATGATGTGGAGAACACTGATTGTTTCTTGCAATGGGCGGGTTTCAAAATCTCAAAAAGTGAACGATCTGTCACACTATATCGGAGGGATATCATAATTGATTCTCAACAAATCCAAATTGATTTCATTGAAATTTCACTCTAGACGTAATGTAATAGACGATTCATGTATGTCTGATGGTATTTCTATTGGAAATGAATTAGAATACCTTGGAACATGTGTGAAGTATGATATGAATTGAAATTCACATACAGGGCAGCGCGCTTGCAAAAATCTAAATGAGACCAATTACGTCATAAACATAATGGCAAAGCTTAGTCTCTACTATGCCATTTATTATGCAAATATCTCCTTTAATAGTATGGCTTGGGGCACAGGAGTAGGGGTTTCTCCAGAGTTTTCAAGGCCAACAATGACATTACATGAAACAGTGAATTTCTCCGGATTATTCAGCGTAAAATGTCATTCTTCTCAGTACAATGCTGCTATTATTCACAAGTTAACCATTAATTAAATCAGTAGCATAGGAATATAGACTTTCACGGCTGGCGTCAATGTTTTGGTTGGTTTCCGAGTATTGCTGGGGTCCAAAGAAGACCAAACCCAAACTTCGACGCCAGTCCTGAAAACCTACATTCCTATATTAGTCGACCTCTCTATATTTGTCTGTCACATTACAGAGATGGAATTCCTACTTTTAGAGTTATGGGGTACATACTTATTTTTTTGCGGCTATACTACCAAGTATTTTCTTCTTTTGATTGGGACAAAGAGACGAAAGATAATGCAATGCGATGAAAATTACCTGCAGCCACACTGAACAAGTCATATCCCGTCAACGGGCAATAGTAGACAACCCTGCTTTTCTTCAACTTATCCCCAGGAATAGGAGACAAGGCAATACCGTCTATCGGAGCAGGAATCAGCACAGGATAATTGTCGATGGAATACTTGGGACCGTCCTTCTGCGGAAACATGGAGCTATCTCTGAACTTCCAAGCCTTATTGTCGGTGCGGCAATATACCACCAGACCAGGATCTATATTGGAAGCGTCGGTTATGTAAATATGATCCTCATCATCGACTACCAAATCGTTCAACAAACAGCCATCGCGGAGACATATTTCGTCTGGGAAAACATAAGTGTGAATCAAGACTCCGCCCCTGTTCAGATCGAATTGCTGGAGCTTTCCAGGACAATTGGTAGTGCCGGACATTCTGACTCCGTCCAATACCCACATGATTCCTTTCCGGTCTATCTCCAGAGTCTGCACATTCTGAAGATAGGAACAGTTGTTCTCCCTGTGAAGCACAGCATTTGGAAACGGGATCAAAGGTGTGTTCGTCTTGTCTTTTGCGCTACGCAGCACGTAACTTAGAGTGAAGGGGACGCCTTTTCTGTAGCTAGGGGTGGCTAAGAACAATCTGTCACCGTGAAATTTCACACCAGTCGGGAAAATATTCTCCGGGATGTATTTTTCACTACTCACTGCATCTTGGTACTGGAACCTGGACGTCCAGGTATAGTTGATGTGGGTCCATTGGTACTCGAGCTTAAACTCTTCCGGAGTTATACCGGAAAATAAATTTGAGGCTATTGCGAAAAAGAAGCAAGTATCTGTGATCGACATTTTTGGTTCTCGCTAGCGCCTTGCGAATGAAAATTTTATATATATACATTTTTATCAGCAATATGCGAAAATGTGGCAAATTCATATTCATTTGCTTGACTGATAATTTCCTGGAATACCTCGTTATTTGTTATCAAGTCATTCTCCGGTTTATCGTGGCATAATTAAGTAGAAGTGATTTGAATGCAAGATAACTATGCAATATTTGAGTGAAGGCATGCAAGTGTGATAAAGGCTGAAAAAATATGTTTGAGGAGTCGAGAACTTTCTGTACATAGGCTGAGATTTTTTTAAGTTCTCATTCTTTGAGATTACGAAAAGAAGCAAATTATTCAATACATGTTTTTAGAGAGTTCCAGTTATTTATGTTCGCATAACTTATGCATCTCAACAGAACACTCTCAAGAACTAGAGCAGTCTTTTCATTATTCAAGTTGGCTCAACCGGGAGTTGACAAAAACTAATTCCTTACCAGTTGATTCCATAACACGCATATATTCATTTCCAAATCAAATACCGAAATTGAACCCATACCATTGAAAATGAATTAGTCCGTTTCAATTTTTCAAAAGCCAAGTTAGTATTGGCAGAAAGCCATTTGAAGTTTGGTAAATTTATTTCATCTCCTGGTTGTGCTAACTTAGTTATAGAAAAAAGTGTGTTCAATAGCTTAATTTCACGCTAGAGGTTTCAGTCAAGTAAAAGTACTTAGACCGGAAACAACCAAAATGGAACAAAAATATTGGTAAGAACCGAATATATGTTTAGAAATGGAACTAGACCGTAAGTGAAATTTTTAAATTTGCCTGTATTGAAACCGAATCAGAAACTGTGTTCTATTTGGACCTGAGTTCTTTAAAATGACTTGTAGATTAAAATGTATTTTAACTTCCAACTCAATAGTTTTTATAAAGACACAACTTCTAATTTTTTGAAAGAGAATATCACAAGTAATATATATATCTGAATGTTAGTGACTGGATGACAATATTCAATGCTTTCCTAGAGTTTGATATTTCAATTACTATACCTAGATGTCGTGCCTCTGTTACCCTACCGAATTTCGTGCATCTACCACAATTATGTTCTTTGATTCCGTGACACATCTCCTATCTTATTTTATCAGTTTGTCTCTCTCTCTCATAAATGTCAAAAAACAAAACAAGATGTTTTCGTGAAGTGAAGAGTTTCCTGTTATAGGAGAATATTAACAAGAATATTCTTTTAGGAATCACCTAAGTGAAGCAAGAGAAATGCTGAATTGAAAAGGAGATTAATTTGACTATGTGCGATTCAGAATGGGACGTGCTTGCCGAAATCCACCTACAAAATCGGGGCAGCACCACAGACTTCATTTGTGTATGTAGCAGATTTTTCGTGCGGTAAGTGCATCTGTCAATTGTCAGAAGTCCGTTACATTATTTCGTTTAAAAATTTCAAACGATTTGATTGCAATTTCGAGATTTTTATTTAAATTTCCCATGGTTATGAAGTGAAACATGTTGAAAAAAACAGTTGTATTAAAAGTAATTGAAATGAGGCTTTGATAATAATAAAATGACTACTGAACAAGGAGAAAAGCAAGGAGGAAGTCCTGAACCCGTTTTAAAGGACCCGGGAAAACTCCCTGATATAAACGATTTCATTATCATAAAACCGATAAGCCGCGGAGCCTTCGGTAAGGTGTTTCTAGGCTTCAAAAAGAACAACGAAAAGGTAATGTACGCAATCAAAGTAATGCGGAAAACCGAAATGGTCCACAAGAACATGGTATTCCAAGTGGTGAACGAAAGAAACGCTCTGGCCCTCACAAAGAGCCCCTTCTGTGTGCAGCTGTTCTACACCCTGCAGACGGAATCTTCTGTCTACCTGGTAATGGACTACATGGTCGGCGGGGACCTGAAATCCCTTCTCAGCGTTTACGGTTTCTTTGATGAGGCTATGGCTACGTTTTACATAGCCGAGGTGTGCCTCGCCCTGCAGTACCTCCACAAACACGGTATCATTCACAGAGACATCAAGCCAGATAATATGCTGTTGTCCAAAGAGGGGCACGTCAAGTTGACGGACTTTGGCCTGTCCAACGTGAACCTAAGCAGGGACCTGGAGATATCTGACTTCGAGAACTGCACTCCTAACCTATGTACTCGAACTCCTGGGCAACTACTTAGTCTGACTTCGCACTTGAGTTTCGGTTCAGGGAACTCCAAGTATGTGCATGACATTATTTCTGGGAATCTCCGAAAGCAGGATGGTCGGAAGCTGGATATGTCAATTTTAAACAATTCGAAGCTTGAAAACTGCTCTGCTATGTCTGGCATAACCTTCCTTTCAGCAGGAGATACTCCTTCGAAAGTAGATCCTGACAGTTCCTACTACACTTGCCAAAGCCTGGCAGTTGACGATAGCTCCACCCCTGCTTCTTCTCCAGTGAGCAGAAAGATCTCCAGCAGGTGTGGATTGTACAAATTGCGCAATGACAGAGAAAAAAAGAGAAAATACTCAAACACATCTCCCCAGCAGCCCAGGAAGGCCTACCTCAAGACCGGCCTGTCAGGGGAGATGGAAATCCTGCGAATCGAAGCCACCAGCCCCAAGGGAGTGACTTTTTCAACTCCCGTCTCGGGGCAGAAGACCAATAAGGTAAAAGCAACAAGATTCGAGCTGCCCCATAGTGATCCTCTAGCAATGAAGTCTGGAGACGTGTCCTACACTGTCAGTCCCATTCACGACGAAGTGGTAACGCCTAAAACCCCTAGAACTCCGTACCGTACTCCAAAGTCGGTTCGCAGAGGCCAGTGGAGCTCAGATCACAGGGTTCTGGGAACCCCGGACTACTTGGCCCCCGAGCTGCTCTTGAGGAAGGGGCACAGCAACGCTGTGGACTGGTGGGCTCTTGGGTGTTGTTTGTACGAGTTTGTGACGGGAATCCCTCCTTTCAACGATGCAACAGCGCAATTAGTATTCAAAAACATCCTCGAGCGTAATATTGAGTGGCCTAGTGAAGACGAGGCGCTCCCCGATGAAATTGTGCAGGCGATCGAAGCTCTGCTGGTGGAAGATCCGGAAAAACGAGCCAAGGCGGAGGACATTATGGAGATGGACGCCTTCAGGCATATAGACTGGAAGAATTTGTTGTCTGTGACTCCACCGTTTGTACCGGAGCCTTGTGACATGACTGATACTGGGTATTTTCAGGCTAGGAATGATTTGTTGAACTTTAACTTGTCAAACTTTGAGTTATAGCCCTGTTTCTGTTGTTGAATGTAAATAGTGTTGGGTGTTTGTGTGTATGGTAACTGTCATCGAAGGTAGAAAGAGAAAGTGTCTCAATGGGTTTTATAATTTTTAGTTTGTCTGATTTTTTTTACTTTGTAAAAATCTGTTCTTGCCACATTTTGAAACCAAAACATTGTAATAAGGTTACTGAAGTTGGTGATTATATTGCATTTTTCAGTAAACCATTGAAAATTAAAAACAATATCTCAAATTACCGCTAAAGTGTTTTCTTTGAAGAATAAGGAATAGTTTAACTAATAGACTAAGTGTAAACAAGGCAAGGCAATTCTTCATTCATCCATGAAGCTTTATACAGTGCAGCACAGTATTAAAACTCATCACCCTAGTCAATTACAAATATTCTAAACATAAGATTAATTTCCAAATATTCTCAATTTGATGGTGTTTTATGTCGTTACATAAAATGCAGTGACAAAATTCAAACACAACAAAACATTATTGAAAGTAAATTATCAATAATTGAATGAGGGTCTCTATAAATTAAATAATATTGTGTAGCATTCCTATGAGTGATGTCTGATTCAATTCCATAATGATTGTTTAGGGTACAAGCAATAGGAAAAAGTTATTTTCGTATAATTCAATATTTATGTGAAAATAGTCGGGAAGGCTTTTTCTTTCAGTTTGTATCTGAAAGTAACTATTATGCATAATGTACACATCTTTGTTGAACGTTTATTTCAAACCTAATTACTTTTTTCCTTCCTTTGTAAGATTTCCACAATTTTTTGTATACAGATGGAGAGACAAAAGCCATCAAGCCTGTTTTCTCCCAAAAACAACACTTTACAATAAACCCTTTTCAATTTACAATAATATAAGTTCATGATTGAATAATTTGAACCTGAAACCAACCATTAAAGGTGTTGAATAGAATCCTGCAAACTATAAGAAATTGGTTTTTATTGGTGTTGATAAAATGAAACTCAATGTGGGTAACACAAAGGCAATGATAATAACTACTCCTTACATCTGTAGAAAAATCTGCACTTTTTGGTACACGCTTGAGCTTTCCGAGTGATTCGGCTTTGTAAAACTACCAGAGGCCATTATTTGGACCATATTGGATTTGTACTGTTGTAGCCGTTTATAGCTATAGCCACTTTTGTTTCTTTTTAGGAGAATATTCTCGCTGTTTTACATGTAATGAATATTTTCGAAAATCATTTCGATGTTAAACTTATTTTACACGTGACAATTTCTTCAATTCAAGAACAAAGTATCAAGCAAAGCGCAACTCATCTTTTGAACACACCGCCTCTGAGGATGATCCACAGAACGAAGAAGACACCAATGAAATTCCAGAAGAAGTACCAGTTCAGAAAGATATAACCGCAAAATTAAAAGTGAGTTCCCATTTGAAACTATTACTAGATACAATTTCATTATGGTGTGAAAATAATCTACCAAACTTCTTATCATGAGATGTGTTCAATCATAACTCGAGAACCAAAAATAACTTAGTGTTACACACATGCAACTACAAATACAAGTAAAATAGAAATCCCCCTCTTTAACAGTTTGACATCTCAGTCAAGCAGTCATCATTGACCCCAAGAGACATAAATGTTTATAATAGGGACATTGACTAAGTTCATGAAACTAAATATAACACGAAATGAGATATGTTAATCTTCTTTCAGTGTTTGTTCATCTCCTTCCAGTGTTCTTCTCCAAGTGTTTGTTCTTATTTTTCCAGTATTTGTTCTTTTTCTAGTGTTTAGTCTTCGTTTTCCAGTGTTTGTTCTTCTTTTTCCAGTATTTGTTTTTTTTTTTTCAAGTGGTTGTATTTTTCCAGTGTTTGTTCTTTTTCCAGTGTTTGTTTTTTTTCCAGTGTGTTTTTTGTTCTTCTTCCAGTGTTTGTTTGTTTTGTTTTTCTCCCAGTATTTGTTCTTCTTTTTCCAGTGTTTCCTTTTTTTCAAGTGGTTGTTTTTTTCCAGTATTTGTTCTTCTTCCAGTATTTGTTTTTCTTCCAGTATTTGTTTTTCTTCCAGTGTTTGTTCTTCCAGTATTTGTTCTTCCAGTGTTTGTTTTTCTTTTAGTGTTTGTTCTTCTTCCAGTCTTCATTCTTTTTCCAGTGTTTGTTCTTCTTCCAGTGTTTGTTTTTCTTCCAGTGTTTGTTCTTCTTCTTCGCATTGTTCGTTATTTTTTGTTTTTTTTCTCGTTGTCGACATCTAGACAATTTTCCCACTCCTAATATTCCAAGTAATTTTTTCATAGACCGAGCAGGAAGCCGTCAGCTGTTACTGCAGCGCCTCTCAAACGGACAATCTGTCCACCGACGAGCACGACAGCTTGAGGGACTGCTCGACCAGAGGTATCCAGCAAAGCGACAGCGGCACCGACTTGAGGGAGCATTCCGTTCAAGACGTAGCCGGGGACTGGAACCGATTTTGGGCGTTGTACGGGGAGAAGTTGATATGGAAGTCTTGGATCGACAAATATAGCGCGTACATCAATCCGGACTATTTGCAGAGAGATTTCGGAGAAGGCAGTAGCTTTTCTGGTAAGCTCTTTTACGTTTATTACAATGAATGTAATGATAGTTGAGAAGAGGACGTATCAAGTATCTCGGCATTTTAAAAAATAATGAAAGATACAAGAATGTTTATGACAGGGATTAAAAAGAAATGATTATTAAGTGAATAGTTGAAGACTGATGAAAAATTTTATATAGATGTCAAGATTTTCCATAGAGAAACGAGCTAGAATCTTTTTAATTTGGATTTGAATTTTATTGCTTTTTGCTTTATTCAAAATTTTTGTGGAAGATCATATATTTATTTTAATGCCAAAATGAAATATTGATTTCTCCCCAAATTTTAAGCTATATGATATTTGATTCAACAAGTAGGGGTTTGGTTTACCGTGTAATATTACATAGATGATATTTATTTTACTAAACTTCAAAGTTGAATGATTTCTTTCTTCAATGTACAGTCCTAAAACCTTTGTAGTTTGACAATATTTAATAATTTCATTTTTAAAAGTCAAATCATCTTTATTGATGGTTCTATTTATGACTTTCAAAAAAAATACAATGTAATGCCATTACTCATGCTAGGAATCGCATGTAGAAAGGTAAGACCTCGTTAATATTTAGCTCGCACAAGAGTTCACGCCTGTCGTTCGTAAGGGGGTAGCTGTTGGTTAACGGAAAAAAGATTTTTCAAACATATATTGTTGTAAATGTATTTAGTATTACTAGAAAAATGAAGTAAAGTAATGCGTACGACCTCATATTTCTTTTTAACAATAACTTTGACAGCAAATATATGTGAATTAAATGTAAAATTGGGGTCGAAACTCTGCATATATCTCATAGTTTTTAATGAACTGGCATTTTTTTCTTGACACAGACTATGTATGTGTATTTGATGAATAGTTTTCAAACTATATGTTTATCGCTGAAAATTTCGTAAACTAGAACATGTAGGTTTATGACGTTAAAACTAAACTTCGCAACCGTTTGGACCTTACTTTTCATTGACTTCAAAATTTCCAATATTTTGAAATTATAATTAACCCCACTGGCTAAATAGCTGTAGTAGCTGAGGCCATGAAACATAGAAAGAACATAAGAACAGCGTATGCTGTCTCTAGATGATGTTTTCACCAGCATTTCAAACTCGGAATGTTTTTCCAAACTAAAAATATTGTTGAGGCTGTATTCATTAAATTTCAGTCATAGTCAGTATCAACAATGTTGCGGGTTGCCTGGTAACTGCTTCAAAAGTGACCTTTGAATTTGGATGAAATCTTCAACCCGGTGGTTGAATTTCTTAATGTGAGACTCCTTGTATTTAAAGCTCAATCTGTTGATGTTGTGATAATAATAGTAATGTACTAATGAATTGTAAGTATACATAAATTAAAAAACGTACACTGGGTAAATAGATGTAGTAGCTGAGGTCATGAAACGTAGAAAACGTATTTTCTTCTTTTTTGCGTTTTCTTGACCTCTGCTACCGGAGCTAGCTGGCTTCTTTTTTCTTTGAGGTTTGTAATTAGAATACAAGTACACTTTATTGTCCAAGGGGATATCATATTGATATAGGATAAAGTGTAGAAGTTGTAATCTAGGTATAATTAAATGTAAAAACAATAAATAATACTAAAATGAAGGTGAAGTATAGCTTTAATGAAAATTTTAGTCGAGGTCGAACCACCGTTATACACGCTAACCAATCTGCTATCGTTCTTCCAAAAATGATTGAAAATTCTCATCAATATGTATCTCGAATAATTTTCAGTTACGGACGTTCGAAATAAAGAGAAAGTTCCCCTGGAAGAGCTCCCACATTCCCAACTTCCACATAAAACCGACAACTCGACCTCCAAAGAGGTCTCCAAGAAAAACGTCTTGCTGCGCAACTTATCGCTGAGCGAGGAGAAAATCTTCGCCGACGTCTCCGAGGGCTGGAACCCCTTGTCGCCGGTCAGCGTCGACGAAGGCACCGAAGCCGAGCGTCTGCTCAGCTCCAGGTGCGGCTCCTACACGAGCGGTTCTCTTAAAACTCTGGATTCCATGACGAACGTTACCGGTTTGACGGTATCGTCTTTGAATTCGAGTCGAGCGACGTCTAGTTCGGATAGTATCTCGTCCGTCAGCTCGGTAAACAGCTCTATCAGTTCGGAAGACCTCGACGAAGACTACCAAAGCCAGTGGAACGAGCTGTGGCAGCGCCACTACGAAGATGAGTATCTGGTGCAGTACAACAAGTTCATCGAGTCCGTTATAACTGCAGGTTTGTATAATTTAATTGAATATATCTCGAATTTGGGCATTCTAATGCTCGGTTGAAATTTTGAAAAGTTGTTTCAGTCAAAAGCTTTATTGAGGTCACGCATAGTCAATAAAATATGCTCATTCCTCTAAAGACAATCCATTGGTAGCGGAGCTTTCAGAGTGGAGCTGTTTTTTCCTGAATGCAAATTGGCTTCGAAAAAATGTCAT